TTATTTGAAAATGTCTCCCCGTGACCACGGCTGCTGCAAAGCATCCGAAACGTCGGGCCGAAGTTTAAAATAATTTTCAAATAAGTTTAACTAATATATCGCGTTTTAAACCCTTAAAGTGTTTTATTTAAATGTGTACTCCTCGCGTAAACTATAGACAGTATTTACTTTTACGTCTGTTTATTTACTGAGAAAAAAGTATCTTTCTAAGCAATATATCTTAATACGAACTTTAAATCTGTTTTTACACAGTCCGTGCATATCATCTACGCATATCAAATGTTTCTGTAACACCTTTGTTACACGTATAACTGATATTTGACCATCACCTCAAATAAGTTACTTGCATATCTATCTAAGTTAGGCCAGATGACATCACAGATTCCTGACTCACGAGATCACCCGCCCACGAGCACAATAACGTGCGACAGAGTGCTTTATTGCTTTTAACGATAGTAAAGCCGTCAAATAATAGTTATTGTAACAAATAGCGTAAATACTAGTTCCAGCTATAACTAGCGTGTATAAGCGTGAAATATAAGTTAAATATTTTTTACAGATTTTTAACAAACATTTGTTTGGATAGTAATATTTTTCACATAGTGGCATTATATTAAGAAACTTTTAACTAAAATTTGAGCTGACGTGGTTCAGCCCCGGTCATAGGGCAAGTCTCGCTCGTGTCGATATTTTGTTTTAATCGACGCCATACATTTCGCGTTTTAAACCGTTAAAACTGTTTTAATTAAATGTGTACTTGCGTAAACTACAGATATTTAATAGTCTTTGTAGAAAGAAGCTGCCGCACCCTGTCCTTATTAAGTTCGGAGAAATGTAGTTAGTGAATGTCGCTCTCGGGGCCTTCGAATAAAAAGTGCAACGCGCGAGTCGTTCTAAATAGCTCATCGGGCGCCGGCGTCATTACTAGAAATCATTCTTTATTACTTAAGGTCCCTTACTAACATTTATTTAGTTATTAATCATACATATTTCAATATGGCAAGTGGGAAATTAACACTGAATTCAAAACAAACGTAGTGAAAATCACAATCCTACGAAATATCTTAATTAAAACTTACTAGTTACCTTCAATGTAATTACGTGCTTACTCCAAGTATAGTGAAAAATGCGTTAAAACCTCATATACATGCTTTAAACCCGATAATTATCATTATTAAAATTGTATATTTTACCAATTTAGCAATAAAATGGCTACTTCTATTCCCAAAATATATATTTTTTTTAGTTTTTGCCATTTTTCGATTTCTTAATATATATCTTATTCTAAAGCTTTTCCGCTATTCATTGATCTTGCACTAAATAAACGAATATTTCTCAAATTTCCCAGAACTGTTACGAAAAAACTTCAAAAGGATGCTTGGCTATATCCGTTCCATTTTCCATAAGGCGATTGTTCGGACGTTTTTTCTTCGACAATCTTATTATTGCGGTTAGGTTGTAAACGTTTTGATTTATTAAGTTTATGGTATTCGTTTTGCCGACTGCGTGGCTAAGTTTGTGAACTCGCGAAGCATGACTATATCTTTCATTATCTATGACAAGATGTTGGATGTAATTTTGGTATTGAATTGTAACCGCGTGAGTCTGTAATAAAAAGTAATAGCGGTCGATTATTGTATTATTATACTGGTTTGTATCTTCATCTACAATCCTGTATAGAACATGGTATTATAACTTCAATACTGAAAGGAATAAAAAATATATAAGGCTTTATAATTTTCCAAGTAATTCACTCGTATTTTCAGAAGTTTAACTTTTTTTAGGGGAAACACCCTATCTATGTAAAATTTTAACAAGATGCGCTGTCGAGCTATTTTGACTTTGGATATTCGGAAATCCACAAACTAAAAACTGAAACGTTATAAAACTTAACGGCTCGTTAACTGGTGCGTGACCCGGACGGAAGTACCATATTCCTACCATGCATTTAATATCTAGATTTACAAAGTCTTTCAGAAAAAAATTAATTGGATAAAAACGTTGGTCTCTTTGGGGACCGATCCTAAGACCAGTTAGTCATACATTTCTACCATAGGACAAACAAGTCTTTCCGAAGAACAATGTTAATGATAGCTTGTACAACAAAGACATTGATGTAATTCTAGCTTTAATTACATACAGTGATGACGCTGATGATAATGGTGCAAGGTGATTGATGTTTCTGTAATTGTTGAAATTGCCGATATTAGCATCTAATAGATAACGTAACTAAATTGTACATACTGTAACAACAATGTGTATGGACCTAAAGAACTTCTGGTATTAGTTTAAGATTTTTTTTTTTTAATCTGCAACAGGCATTTATTTTACTTTTTTTATATAAACGTTATTACTTACTAGCTGTGCCAGCAACTTCGTCCGCGTAGAATAATAATTTTGGGCATTCAAAGTTGTTTTTGCAAACCTCAAATCTTAATAAATTTAAGGTATTATCCATGTCGTCGAACACGTCCCGTCGTTCTTGCAAGTTAGAAACATCGACTTATACTGTTGGGGACATTTTAGATCATTTAAAGAGAAAGAAATCATTCCTTCCTACATATTTTTTAGGTATCTTGAACCGTTTTCGCAACGTACGCAAAGGAAACCCACAAGTTTAAAAATTTCCCCGTTTTTTTGACAGCTGTTTCTTACTTCCTTTAGTTTATTTATTATTCACAGTGCTATGTTTTATAGCCTTCAAACATACAAACAAACTCTTCAGCTTTATATATTAGTATAGAGTATAGATAGCAACACTGACTATAGATCTATATTAGGTACTTCTTAACATTACTTTATTGACAAGAAATTCTTTAAAGAAGATACTAACCATTTAAACTTATTGATTCAACATTATTCGTTCCTTTTTTTTATTAAAAAAAAAGTGAAATTCCGATTCCCCTCATGGGGTGAACACATTTCAGTAACCGTTTCACTCATCGGTTTTACAGACAAGAAGTAGATCAGACTTCTGTGCCTTGCCCGATTGATTCTGTTTCCCCGGAATTCGAAACCAAGACCTCTCGCGATTAACGCAATGCTTTTAAAGAACTACTTTAGTAAAACATTAAAATTAAAGTTATTCGGTTACGTACATAAATTAAACATGTCGGAATATCTGCTTTCATATACAGTCACAAGAATTAACCCGAACAATCTGCAAACAGGTATAGTTAAAGAAAAGCTTTTTAAAGTTGCATAACTGTTTGTTCTTATAAGTCCATGTATGAAAAGCCAACTTTCGCTTTAAATTGACGTTAATGTATATGCAATGTTGTATTTGTTTGTCCGTCTGACGATCCAGTGAGCCTATTTCCTCATTCTGAGCCTATTCTTAACCCTGGATGGTCGCCAGACGTACAGGACTAGTCATTCAGACTAATTAATATTCCTTAAAGTTGCTTTTACTTCGTCATATCCGCGTATATTTGCAAGTTTAACCGAATGGTAGAAATAACGGATTTTGTAAAGCCTAGCTATATATTTAAATAAAACACTTTAACGGTTCAAAACGCAATATATTTTAGTTACTAGTATAAAATTTTTTTTTTACTACGGCCCGAAGTTTCGGATGCTTTGCAGCAACGTTGTCACGGGGAAACTGAAATATATCGCGTTTTAAACCGTTAAAGTGTTTTATTTAAACTAAGTATCTAATTCGCCCGACATAATTAGATTAGCTTACTTTTAAAAATACAACGATAATTCATATCCTTAACCCTGTTCGAAGTATGTTTTAAAAGCAAAATGATCGCCCATCCAATTAAGATGTGCTATCAGCCTATGCGCTAAGAATGGTGAATCTTGATTTCTTATCTCGTTAATACAGTCTGGGATTATGTTGTTATGCAAATAACTTTTGATTGAGATTGTATTGTTCCCGCTTGATTGAACATGGTAACTTTACGAATTGTAATGCATAAATAGTACAATTTTTTAAAGCCCAATTAATCGTTTCGTTATGCCTTTAGTTTTCACGGTATGCTAGTGAAAGTTTGGGCATAAAACAGCAGTTTATTCTATACTATAGCTGTCTTTTATTTTTGTACAAGTGCATAAATTGTAAGGCATTGTTATAGAATTTCAATGTGTTATAGAAAAAAGCCTACTTAAAATGGGTTTTAGATATTAGCACAAACAAAAATAATGACGCATTTTAATTTTTATTAAAGTTTTATTTTCTACTAAGCATATCCAATTTATGACCAGTGCAAACACTAGTTTTGGTGATTGCAAGTTGTATAATAAAATTACTTTCGTAATAGCAACATTTATAATTAATAAGAAAGATATTAAACAACAATCTTACTTAAATAATTATTACGTTTTGTTAATTTTGCATTTCATAAAGTCACATGAAAATATAATGTCCGTTTGACCGTCCGTTCTTTTAACGGGCAAGTAGTTGATAAGAATTCTGGGCCCCGCCGGGGGGAAAAAAATTTTTTTTTTTTTTTGGGGGTGGAAACCGGGGCCCCCGGGGGGGGAAAAAAAAAAAAAAAAAAACATTTAACCATTTGGCTACAGAGGCGGTCAGTTTACGCAAGTAGTACGCTTTAATAATTTCTGTAAGGCTTTCACGGCCATCGTTCAACATATCATTGTTAGGGCTGTTCGGCCGACGTTAGCGAGAAGAGGTTCTCGACATTCGAATTCTTCGAGCAATCGAGGAGTTAACATATCTTGATGATGGCGTCCGCTCGTTATGGCGAAACGTCGAAAACCTTTTCTCACTCACGTCGGCGGAACAACCCGAAAAACACATACAGTTTAATTCCGAAACATCGGGTACTAACATTAGGATAATTTTATTACCATTGTCTAGCTAAATTCATCAAGATTTTAGTGTTATCTGTTACTGTTTATTTACTTTAGCTTAATTGCTACATCATTTGTATACTTATATCGTTCAAACTGATTTGTCAGATTTATTTTTAAATCTTATATTACGTGCTTATAGTTGTATCTTTTCAACAATTTTTTATCGTCTTTTTTAGATATCCGACATTGTGGTTGGTCAAGAACCCAATGTCACAGCACGAGAAGCTTTGCTTAGTTGGGCTCGCCGTTCGACCGCGAAATATCCAGGTGTTCGAGTGTCTGACTTCACATCATCTTGGAGGGATGGGCTTGCCTTCAACGCGCTCATACACAGGAACCGTCCTGATTTGATAGACTGGCGTAATATCAGGTAAGTTATTCATAATAGAGCAACATTTAAATAAAACACTTTAACGGTTTAAAACGCGGTGCTCGAGTTAAACTTATAAACTCTTATACTCATAAAATCTGCAAGGACCCGGCCAGTTTCGCCAAATACCAACTTCGACTGAACAGATAGCGTAGCAGTTTTTACTTTGTCGCGTACTACTCGCGTAAACCACACGCAGTATTTAATAGAGCAACATATAGAAAGCTAACAACACATCCTACAGAAACTTATATTCCTTAAATACTTGAACGGCTCATTAATGTTTTTCGTCGGATTTGCAGATCAAGACAGGTTCGTGAGCGTTTGGAGACGGCCTTCCATGTCGTGGAGAAAGAATATGGAGTCACCAGATTGCTAGATCCCGAAGGTATGTTTCTATAGTCTCAAACGCCTTCTCTGCGTTATTTAAATGTAAGGAAAGTTAGGGACGTCTGCGTTGCTATGGCAACAAAAAATTTGCACTGCGCGAGAGGTGCATGTATTAATAGGTTGAAAAAATTCGACGTTGACGTTAACGTAGGACACGCTAGCTCAATTGGTTAGAGCAACAGCACAGAACGCTATGCAGGTTCAGGTCCTAACTGTGTCGTACTTTTTTTATTTAATATAGATCTTTCTTGTTTTATTATATTTCGCTAATGTTTAAAGGCTAAAATTGAAGTTTCCTTGTACAAAACATTAAATTCATTTATTTGAGATGTTCTTGGTGCATTCGGTTGCATAAACCCAGATCCCATTGTATAGCCTAGAGCATTCTAACAATAGACATGCTCATTCAATTCAAAAAGTCAAAGGATCTCTGTCGTTTAGACAACGAGCGCGGTAAATGCAACGATGTCTATTGTCTTGCGGTGTTGCTATTATTTCCACTAGGAACACTGAAATTATGCCCTTGACGAACGTATATCTTAAACTAGTTGTGTCAGCGACATCGTCCGGCTAAAATTAATATTTGGCCATCCAAATCTGTCGTTGTAAATCTCCTACATATCTTTTGGGTAACTTGAATGGTTTAACGTACGCATCGGAAATTCACAAAAACTAATAAATATATTTACCTTATAGCCTTCCTTGTTAAATAAACCAACATTAAAATATTTTTTTAATTCGAACTAGTAGTTCCTGAGATTTGTGTGTTTAAACAAACAAAGAAACTCTTCAGCTTTATTCGGAAATCCACAGATCGGAACCGAAACGCGATTAAATTTTACGGCGTTAATATACGATTTTCAGGCGAAGTCCAACATGTTTCAGGAAAATTTAAAAATTGATTAGAAATATGTTGGATCCGGTGGGGATCAAACTCACGGCGATGACTAGACATACATTGCTACCATTACAGCATGAGGCCCGTCACATACCGAAAAAGAATTTAAATAAAAAATTACTTACTAACGTTTCGAAGCAATTACAAGGACTAGATTTTATCCAAGTTTGTTACACGGAGGTAGTTTAATGTTATTTTAGGCTACCAAGAAACCCTTGCACGTCCTGAAGATCTTAATTGAAAATCACATGTACTTGACGTCACGCTATTTAATTCTCGTCGAAGCGTGAACAATAGCTCGTAAACAGACCTGTCTGGTTCCAACCTGCGCCCGCGCCGCTTCTTTGTTACTCAATGAATTATTGACCTGACTATAGAAGCTATGAACTCCGATCGGGGTGTTAGACGTAGCGCCTTCAGTGATTTTATTATCTCATTAATATATTCAAACACTAGTCTAGAGAGTTGAAGTTAAGCCCAATTTTCCTAAAAGAACTAATCTAGAAAATAATGCATAATGAAGCACACATAACGCGAGAGGTGCATGTCTCAATGCGTTGAAGATGATGCGCACAGGCAAAATATATTATGTAGCCGTGTCAGCGGCTTCGTCGTAAAGTCTTTCTCGGAAACTTGTACGCTCTTACCAACACGAAAGTATTTTAAATTAGTGGTTTCTGAGATTAGCGCGTTCAAACAAACAAACTCATCACTTTTATAATGTTAGTATAGATTCTAACATTAGAGTTGCAGTTAAACTCACTTTTCTGCGCAGTAAAACTCATATAGAAGGAATCTTTTGCAATAATGCGTTGAAGATAACCCGCAAAACATAGTAGATTTAGTTAGATCAGCATGATAGGTATAGATGCCGGTTCGTATCCCGCCCGTGTCATCTTTTTTATGGATTTTTAGGTTAATATTTATTTGTGAAATAATTAATGAATTTACTCAAAACTTTTCAGATGTTGACACACACGAAATCGACGAGAAATCCCTTATCACCTACATTTCCTCCCTCTACGAGACATTCCCTGAGCCACCAGCAGTGCACCCGCTGTTCGATGCTGAATCTCAGCGGAGGGCTGCTGCGTACACTGAAAATGCGGCTCAGCATCGCGCATGGTTACACGAGAAGTGCTCTCTCATGCAGGTAATAATATGTTGAACCATCATTTTATGTCAAATATGTTTACTGATTATCGGGTTTCGTTATTATCCAGTCTATAGATTTTAATTGAATTTGTAAAACATGTGGCTTGATTTGGTCTTCGCCGTAATATTATAACCTTTTAAATATTGTCTGTAGTTTACGCGAGTAGTAGGTACACATTTAAATATTTATATAATATTTATTTGAAATCAAAAATTTATTACAATCATCAAGCGTCAACAAATTCAATGCAACTTTTGTCCTAATATTCAATGCGTGCTTTGCAGGACCGCGCTTTCCCCTCGACCTTGATAGAGATGAAGAAGTTATTAAGTGAAAGCACGCGTTTCCGTAATGAGGAGATACCGATCCGACAGAGGGAGAAGCAGAAACTCTTCCATCAATACAGGGAGTTAGAGGTGACAAGCACATTTATTACATTAAATTTTAGAACTGCGGGTAGTTGTAAATAATGCTTTTTTTACCTCATCATTCGGGTTATGACCTACTGCAACTGACGGTAGGCATTTACCATGAATGTTATTGGCACAGGCACATCAAAATGGAATTGCCTTGTTTTTTTCAGAAATACTTTGAAACGGTCGGAGAAATAGAAGTAGAGCCGACACTACGACCGGAAGCATTGGAACAGGCGTGGTCGCGACTGCTGATGGCGCAGCAGGAACGCGAACGCGATCTGTCCGATGAGATCCGGAGACTGGAGAGGCTGCAGCGCTTGGCTGAGAAATTACATAGGTACGAAACACACTTAATAAATGAGGCTTCCGCAAAGGGGGATGGAGACATTGATAAAGTAGTTAGCAGAGAGTGTGGACTGATCACCCGATCATCGGGGACACCGATAGAAGGTCAGATTATCAGGACTAATGGGAATCAGAAATAATGGGAAACATGGGGTAAATTATTCATTTTGATATAGTTGAACTGACTTCTGTATGCGCGTTAGAACAATCTATTGTTTCTCCAGCATTCGAACCCAGGACCTTTCGCGCTTAGCGCAATGGCAACCGTTTAACCATTTAGCTACTGAGGTGGTAATCATAAATGACATGTTGTTATATCTTATATTGCATGAACTATTTCAAATTATTTAAATTATTGCCTTTTGCTAAACTATAATTGGAGACTTTTTTCTTAAAAAAATATAAATATTTATTTATTTAAATTTTTAAGAAAGAAGTTATTTGTTGATCGTTATTTTAATTTCACGTACTTGTACAGAGACATAAAACAAACTGAAGCCGGGCTAGACAATGTAGAGCGACATATTGAAAGTGAAATACGCCGAGTAGAACGCGGCGTGCACCCGGCTGAAGCGAAAATGGCGGCCGAACAAATTGAACAAGAACTACGTACTATGGAACACACTATACAGGAGATGTTCCAGGACTCGCAAGCGTTGAGGGAAGGACGGTACCCACAGGCGAGCGAATTGCACAGACGGTAAGCTAAAATTCAGGAACTCCATGGTTGTATTAAATTGCAGAGTCATGAATCTACCAAGCCTCATCCAGTCAGGATGAGTTTTTGGACCCTTATTAAAAAGGCATAAATAAGCTATAAGACCATTTTATGCACCTTCGCAATTAATGATATGAAAGATTTTTTTTAATGACTTAGAGATATTAGATTTTTTTAATTTGTCGATTAATAACATAAAAACCACCTTAAAGAAATTAATAGTAATAAGCTATACTTAAACAAATTATATAAATACAATGCTTAAAAAATTAGTAATGGCAACTCCCAACACAGGAGCCACTCAGAAAAAAAATATGAATACGCTTGTGTTGTATTGCATGCAAATAGAAAGAAAATCCAAAAAAAATTAAAGGCAATTGAAAAGTGAGCCTTATATATACATATATTTTTTTCAGAGTTCAACAAGTCCACGATAGATGGCTTAACGCAAGACAATCCTTCACCGGGCGGCTAGTACCACGACTGTCATCAGTGCGTATGCCGGTTCAACAGACTACAGTTCGCAGGGAGACCCGCACGGTCCTGGAGACCAGGGTTCATGATACTGACCCCAGATTCCAGCAGCTGCACGATGCCACCCGATGGTGTAAGGAAAGACTGGTAAGTGATACGCTTCGAAATAAAAGAAAATTGTTATATCATTTTATGTAATTTTATTACTATGTATTTATTTTATTGCAGAAAAAACTTCACGAATCTGAATACGGTTCAGACCTACCGAGCGTTCAACACGAGTTAGACAAACACCAACGCGAACATAAACAGATTGACCAGTTTCATTCAAAGGTATTTCCTTACTCCGCATACATGCATACGATTTAACAGATTGAGATTATGCGGCGGTATTTCAAGTATTAAGGCGGCTTTTGCCTTTAGCAACTATCACTGCACCCTATTGGCCAGAAGATTACGTATAGACCGTAGCACAAAGTTCTCATTGCTTCACGCTAGATAGCGCTAGTGGTGCGGAACCTTCATTTAAGTCCATAAGATAATAATGCGCACTTACGTAAATAGTATCTCAGACCCCGAAGATAATTAAGGATCAGATTAAATTACGAATACATTGCCGCCTTTGTTTCGTATTTCAAAGATATTTTTCTACTGATTCATAAAATATAACTTTTTATTATCTCTTTTCAGGTTGAACAATGCGTTCACAACCGTAGTAACTTCAGCGGAGAAGAATTGAATCTATATAACCAACACCTCAGTCAACTGCAGAAGCTTTACGCTGACTTGCTATCAACTAGCACCAAACGGTAAGATACAAGTACTGGTTATTTTAATTTGAGTAAAAATGTATAACAATTTGAAAGCATTCACTTGAACGGTGAAATGAATTGAATTGAACTTGAAAATTATTTTTAATTTTCAGGATATCAGATCTCGACGCTCTGCAAGACTTCCTTCAATCAGCGACAGCCGAGCTGAACTGGTTAAATGAAAAAGAACAAGTTGAATTATCACGAGACTGGGCAGATCCACACATCAATCTACCAGCTGTACAGCATTACTATGAGGTAAACTTAAAGTTAGCACATATGCATGTACATCAATCATTCATCACTTATTCATACATGGGCTTGATGTTTGTGATACATAACTCATAGATGATAAGAACCCAAGAAACTCAAAGTCAAAGGAAAGAGTCAAAAAGGAGTAGTTAGTTTCTTTTATCAATCATACTGAATTTAAGATATAGACCTTAGATTCACACATTAATCAAATAGTTGTTTACTAGTTTTATAATGTTAAAAAAATACCACTCAAAAATGTAATTAATAAGCTCTCATGACCTATCTAGTTCGAAAAATCCAAAAATGTGACGATTACCATGAAATTAACTGGACTTTCATCGCTGAAGAAGTTACACTAATAACCTACCATCAGTACTGAAATATCGACGTAACATTTTAATGATACATTTCTACACGTATTCATTGTACAAATTCACTCACCTCATTGTAACATAGCTAGTTAATAAATCGATTGTTTTCTAATTATTTCTTTAACATTTTATTTTCTTTCCGCGCAAGCATTCATTTGGAGACGATAGAGAGGTTTGTTTTTCACTTTTCATTTGTTTTCCCTTTAGTTTTTAATTTATATTTACTTTTTAAATGTGATACTTCATTTCAAAAGTTTAGCATCGTTCTCTTAATCAGATTCTCAAGAAATAACATCTATATATTCGAAATGAAGTTTCACCTTTTTAACTGTACTATTGAATGGTCTAGTTTAAAGTTCATTTCTCCGACAGCAACTAATGTCTTCGTTAGAGAAGAGAGAGCTTCAATTCAGTAATGTGATAGACCGAGGTGAAGCGTTGATAGCACAGCACCATCCCGCCATGAAAACGATTGAAGCACACTTACAGGTATAACATTTAATTTAAAAAAGACACTATTAGTATACATTCGACAATTATCGTATTAAATACTGCAATATACGCGAGTAGTACACATTTGAATAAAACACTTAAACGGTTTAAAACGCGATATATCGGGTTTTAAACCGTTAAAGGGTTTTTTATTTAACTTATAGTATTAATAAAAAAAGCTTGTGTTTATCTAATTTATCATTACAACGAAAACGTTCATGATGTGCGGGTATTTTTTTTAGAATTTAGTTTCGTTCGTGTTAACAACAACAAAATATTTCTAGGTGATGCAATCACAATGGGCGTGGGTACTACAATTGACACTCTGTTTGGAGACTCATCTCAAACACACAACCAATTACCACAACTTCTTCGAACAAATTAAGGAAGCCGAGAAATGGATACAAAAGTAAGTTGAATATTGTATAAAAGTAGTTAAAAATTGTTTTTTTTATTCCTACATTTTTGTAAAAAATTGCAAAACAAAAGATTCTATACATGTCAATGGTTCAATTCGACTCGGAAGATGGACACACAGCCTACGTAATTATACCCTGTTTAATTAAAACATTATCTATGTAGCGCAGGTTTGACGAGACCATAAATATGTAATGAATTTAACGGGCTATTTGGTGTAATCGTAACAATTTATAGCCAATAATACTTGGTCGTGTTCGACACCGGGTTCAACATTTTATAATTCAATTTATAATTTTTCTGTGACTTGTTGAAGTTCGTCTGGAAATATTAATATTAAATGTGTGGTAGAATATTCTGGAATAGTCGACATTCAGTCAACACCTGAAAAACCGTCAAAATAATTCGCGTTTCGGTTTCACTTTGTGGATTTCCGAATATCCAAAGCCATAATAGATCGGCAGCGCATCTTGTTTAGATGTTCTACGGCTGGTGTATTTTACCTACCAATAAGTAATCCCCCTGTTTTCTGTCTTTCTTTATCATAAAAAAAAAATTTGGGTGTATGTTTTAGAGTACTGTTTTGACCGATTATTTTTTTTCCCAGGCGAGAAGAAGCCCTGAACACCACGTTCTCCCAGTCCGAATTCACACTAGACCAGGGCGAAAGGCTATTGAAAGGCATGCAAGATCTTCGCGAAGAACTGAACGAGCATGGGGCTGGAGTATCCAGATTAGTTGAGGAAGCCCAAGAAATCAGACCAGTTAAGCAACGTCGCGCGCCGATTACCCGGCCACTCAGAGCAGAAACCGTCTGCGCTTATAAACACGCCAATGTATGTTAATTTGTACCTAATACTATGTTTTTCCAGTATCAAGCCTATTGTTTTTCAACACTCTTTAAAACAATACTTCAGACACTAAATCTGTTATATAATCATGAAAATATTGTTCAGTTCTAAGAGAAAATAAATCGAAATTAGGTTAGGCTAATTCCATCTCTTAAAATTAAAATCTGTGAAAAAATATAATAGGAAGGATTTTAACCGCCAAAGCGTTCCATGTTGTTGCTCTGCCCAATAGAGTTACCATGTCTCATCAAGTCATCAAAGGCTCTCAAATTGTAATTTTAACCTTAGCACTAGAGAATTAAGGTTCAATATCCTATGTGTTGCAGCTATCTCTTTATGACTAGATTTTAATTAGAAATAGACATCACACTTCTTCAATAATCCAAAATTTTAGCCTTACTTATTATAGTATACTATATGTCTTCCTTTAATTTTTTCTCATGTCGACGTTAAAATATCATCTAATTTTAGTCTAAGTTAAATTTATTCTTTTTTTCTTGTTGTTCTATGATTTTGTGCTTTGATATAGATTATATATCCCTTTTATTGTATACAGGTTGCAATTGAAAAGGGATCAGCTGTAACAGTAGTAGACAACTCTGGTAGAAGTCGCTGGCGTGTGAGACTGGGTGGCGCTGGTACTGAGGTCCAATTACCGGGTGCGGTCGTGGCGTTACCACCACCATGTCAGGAGGCCTTGGATGCTGCGTCCAGATTAAGAAATGCTTATGACAGGGTAAGTTTGAAGTTAATTTACTGTTAGTTATAGCGTTAAGTGGATCATAGATATACCAATTATTTTACCAGGGAATCGAATGCGGTCTTTCTTTTCGCAATACAACTATTACGACCAAACTTACTCATATATATTACAATTCTTAATGAGTTAAAAATATTTGCACTGGTTTTAACATAAAGAGACCTGTTTTTAGTTTACGGGAGTAGTATATATTTACCTAACCTAATTCTAGCCATGACCACGGCTTCTACAAAGCATTCGAAACGTCGAGCCGTAGTTAAAGTATTGTAAATAAGTTACCTAATACATTTCGCGTTTTAAACCGTTAAAACTATTTTAGTAAATCTATAGAGTCAGATCATTGTGTCATAACTTAAATTACTTATTTATCTATTGTAGAATAATAAAAAAACCTAGTTTTTTTTCTATCTGGGTGTCTAGACCCAGTAAAGATGTACAGTTTATTATTGCACATTGACCCAAATTATTTATGTTTGTGATGGACGTATTGTGTTGGTATCTTCTGTCTCAATCGATACACAAACAAGCAATTAATTTTATATAAACAGTGTTATCATTGTTTTGTAGTATTTAAAAACCGGTATTTAAAACCGACTGCTGTACGATAACTATCACAACATTCACAAATAAACATATTTTCGGACTAGTTTTTTATAAATAAAACTCTTTTAACGGCTTATAACGCGAAATGTATTAGTGAAACGTATTTATAAATCATTTTAACTACGGCCCGACATTTCGGAAGCTTTCCGGCATCCGTGGACACATGGAGACTAAAATTGGAAGGTGTCCCTAATTTCAAAGTAAAAAAGTTGAAGTTTATAGAGATTCAACCCTATTCAGGGTTTTAACTAAATCCCATCTTTTAAGTTCTTGAACGTTCCGTAATAACCGGTTTTAAAGCCGGTTATTTTTTAATCTGCAGCTTTGTGTATACCTCTAGTTGTCAGTCATGTGTTTGTGTGCGTTGCGGAATCTGTGTTATGTGTGCACACTTTTATTTTTATGGATGTTTAAGGTGATACAATTATGGCAGAGGAAACAGCTGAGGATGCGACAGAATATGATCTTCGCCACCATCAAGGTGGTCAAGGGATGGGACTTCCCACAAGTAAGTTTTATATTGTGAACGACTTTTGTACTTTAATTTCTTTAAAAGAATAAAAAAAATTAACGGACTCGGTGGTTAAATGGCAGCGAAGTATGCCTAATAATCAACGGGTTGTGGGATCGATCTCCACCGGGTTTCTTATATTTCAATTTATAATTTTTCCGAAACATGGATTTTATCTGGAAATCTGGATATGAAACTATGAATAAGCCGTGAAGTTTAATCACGTTTTGGTTTTAGTCTGGATTTTCGAATATCCAAAGCCAAAAATAGGCCGACAGCGTATGTGTAGATGTTATATGGTTCGGGTATTTCACCCCTCCTCTATCAAAAAAAAATCTATTTATTATTGTTTAATATTCCACTTTTAATACTTTTTTTCTATGGCTTAGTATAACTAGAAAAGAGAAAGTAGTAAAGGTGTAGTGTAAAATGGGAATACATACTTATTCTTAGAATAAAAAATACTTCTCTCTTTTAGGTTATGTTAGTTTAGAATAAATCTTTTTGTAACACTGCGTATGACCGTCATAGAATAATTATAATTACGTTTATCGTCAAATACGGACGGAAAGAACACGGTGGTACATTACATATTCCCTTCAGTTTGTCGCTATGGGCGCTGAACAACGACAAGCGATACGTCGCGCGCTGAACGAAGACGCTGAGAAACTGTTAGCTGAAGGCGATCCGGCTGATCCTCAACTGAGGCGTTTGAGACGAGAGATTGACGAAGTCAACAGATTATTTGATGAGTTTGAGCGAAGAGCAAGAGCTGAAGGTACGTTTTTGATATACAGCTTGTTCCCCTTAACCCCCTTTTTTACTGATGTTGTGAGTGCCTCATGCACGTCCACGTCGGGCAATAGTGACGTGGGGGTGTGGTAAATTGGCATCTCAATTTGTTATTGCAGAGCTTTATAAATCTAAGCTATTTCCTACAACGTCGGCCGCGTCCCTTCCAAGTTAATCTTAAAAAATAAGATCATTTGAAGAGAAATCATTATTTCTTACATATTTTGGGCATCTTGAATAATTTTCGCAGCGCGCGCAAGGAAAACCCTTAAATATGAATAAGATCACATTTCCTTCTGTATCTCCGCTCTTACAGGTCCGCATCGTGATATTTTAAAACCCAAAGCCTCTTAGATGCTCTAAGAAACACAAAAATAATTTTTCAAACCGAACCAGTAGGACTCAGAATGTTTAGCGCGTTCAAACAAAGAAATTTTTCAGCTTTATAAATTAGTAAGGGAACATACATTTTCTTGCTGGTGTTCCGTATCTAAATAGTAATGTTATGGGATTTCGTTGTCCATCAGTCCGTTAGGATATATCTTATAAATAACGATGTTGGACAATTAAACCCTATTTCACAGTGGAGTAATTATTTAAGGGAATTCCATACAAACACTCATTTGTTTTTGGCTGTCACCATAGTAACAGTACCGTATAATTGTTCAAGTATTTGATTACTGCAATTAATGTTTCTCAAGAAGTCCTCGTAACCCAAATTTTGGGATAACGACAATTATCCAATTTGCTAGTACTATGAATTGTTTTAATGGTTTATCGTTCAATGTAATCTAAAATTGTTGCCTTATATCATAGCTAGTAAGAACAATAGTTGTAAAATAGTATATTTCTTCCTTCTTTGTTGTTACGTTTTGTTAGTTACCTTTCTTTGGGATTCAAGTCGTAGCGTAAAAAACTTTCTGACGCGGTGTTTGGTCCAATTGGAACCAATGTTCGTCTAATATTCAACGGGTCGCGGGTTCGATCCCCACTGGGTCCAGTATTTTTCTGAACATTTTATATTTTTTCTGAAATTGAATTCTGTTAAAGTTCTTCTTCATAATGAACAATGAAAAGAAAAAAACGTCGATATATCTCGTTAAACTGTCTTGTTAAAGAATAAAGAAGTGTGCAATATGTTTATGCGATTGCCAAGTACACTATAAATAAATATTATTCACCATTTTCTCACTTAGGTTAATTTTAGGTCGTTGCGATATGAATTGTGAATTATCAAGAACAAGGCAATTAAGATGAGTGGATGTCTCGTTCCTAAGTTCAAGGTTTGACGCCTTGTGTCAAACTGTGTTATTGTATGAAAGACTCTTTGTCGATAAACGATTTACATAACATTGAAAATGTTAGTTAGTATGCAAAATACATAACCGATACTTACAAACAATATTACACGCATAATTACTTTAAAAAATTGAATTAAACTGTAACACAAATACACTATGATGACACGATGGCAGCTTCATAAAGTAACTTTTATAAAGTACTAGTTAATCGATGGACGCGAGGAGGACTTGAAAGTGCATAGTTAAAAAGTAAAGATATTTTTATGGCAGGGAGGATAGACAAGCATTCTTGAATCGAGATTTTGATGACAGATAAAATGCCTTAGTCATAAAACATCTGTCGATGTATTTTTGGTTTTGAACATTCAAAAATTTACAATCTGAAACCGAAATTCAATTACACTACGATTTTTTTCCAATGTGTTCGATCTCCAACGGGTCTAACATTTTTCTAATCAATTTATAACTATTAAGAAACATGTTGGACTTCGTGGATTTCCGAATATCCAAAACCGATATAGGCATGTCTGTCCTCGTCTATCCTTAAAAAAATGATATTCCTACATTGATCAATTAGATTTACCAAAAAATGTCTTAAATGCCAAAGAAAATTGATTTTTAAAAACACATTGGACATGCTGATTAGGCGCATTAGTCGCTTTTAACATATTGGTCCCTTTTTAAAAGTCCTCAGACAACCCATTCCCTACCGCAACAGAGAAGGAATATTAATAAACGCTTCCTTAATGTTGTCTTAAAAATAACTCCTTGGTCGTCAATATGACAGCGTATGCGCATCTAACAGGATTGTCATTCACAATTAGTTCGTTGTAGGGCGTAGTAAGTTTTTCATTTATTGAACGTGCTAGCAACACTATCTTTAGTATTTTTGTAATCCGTTGTAGACCGTCTTTTGTTTAGTTTTATATTATACTATACTTTTTTTTTTAATATAGCGTTTTTCAGTGTGTAAGGCACACTAAAAATCTGTATCAAGTACTTTTGTAGTTCTGAGATAAATATGTCATTTTTAATTCAGATTTGTAAACCGACTGATACTGTTTTGTTTTATTTTTCGCCTTAACAGATCAAAACAACATCTAAACTCATTCACGTTTGAAGCGAATAGTTTAATCTATATTTAGTGGTTTTGTGCCAAATGAAACAGTAAAAAGTGAAGTGTATTTTTTGCGTAAACAAAATCGATTTTAAAACCGTTTAATCGAATCTAATACGACGATATGAAGAAATTTAAACGTTTGTTTTCATTGGGAAAGGGAGGTGAGTAATTGTATTAAAATATTGGAAAAGCGGCGCTTTCTCTTAGTATGAGTGAAAATATATTTTCTCTTTTAACTAGCATCCACTTTGTTTGCATATGCAAAACTGTTTGTTATTCATTTTGATTAGCTTTATAATGTCTATATGGTGTAGCGTTGATTTTATGCAATTAACATGTGCAACATTATATAGCAGGTATTTTATGTAATTGGAGACCGCCTCTGCTCAAATGGGTAAATGTCCACGGTTTGAATCTCGGAGATTAGTTACGGTCGCCCAACGCCCAAACCGTGAAACGGACACAGAAATTCGTTTTTATATCTTTTGTCTATTTACAAAAATTAATATTAATCGTAATACATCTTTTGCATGTCAAATTTTATCAAGACGACAATAAAGCTTACGTCACAGGACAGTGGTCTCTTGTGATAGCAATCTGGTCTAATGAAGGTAATAAATAGATCTAAGAATAGAAACTGTTCATACTTTGCGAAAGACACATGTTAATAATTAATAGATTTTAAATCGGAAAATTTATTTATATTTAAAAAAATCTTTTGTCTAGATCTGTCATCCACAGAATTCTTTCAATGAAAAAAATATATATTAAACCACCATGTTCATTAATTATTCGCTAAAATTATAAAAATATAAAAGTTTAAAACAATTTTTTTTATTAATTTTGTTAATCAATTTATGCTTGTCATTGAAGGCGAAACGGCTTAGCAGATTTTGATAAAATCCGACGTTAATCTAGGTGACACCCAAGAAATACTACTATATCCAAAAATCGATTGTATAAAGGTAGAGCGAATCTTATACTTCTATCGTAACTCATAAGTAAAATAAAACACTATTAACGGTATTATATAATATCAAATAATTTTTACCAAGATTCAGTCATAGTCTTTAGGCAAGTTACTCGCTCTTTTGTATTTGTTAAAACACACCTTACGCTAAAAATAGCTATATAATAGTATGATCTCCTATTTATTAGAGTTACAACATACAATTGATAAATTACAGTTATTAAGATTGTAGAATTTATTATCATTGCCTAAAACTGCTCGCCCACTCCCAAAGTGTAAAGGATAATTTAATTAGATCTGTTTTCATGCTATGATGTAATTGACTACGTTAAAAGTACATATATTTCAAAATCTCAAAAGATGAGGTAAATCTTTTTAAAACAACACGTTTAACGGCTTAAAACGCGAAATATATTAGGTAAATTTCACAACGGGGACGGCCACGGCTGCTTCAAAGCAAACATCGGGTCGTAGTTAAATAAATAATTAGATAACTAATATATTTTGCGTTTTAAAGCGTTAAATTTGTTCTATTTGCCTAGACTAGAAATAATACCTATACCTAATCTATTACTGAAAACTACGAAGTGAGCTGTTAGTTCATACAGACTGAGAGATGAGATTATTTTAAAATGTTTTCTTATGTCTATCTAATTGTGTTGTGTGTGTATCTAAATGTGTCTATTTAACTCTTGCATACTCCATGTTTAATGCTTTTATTGAATTTACAAACTATCGCTTGTACTTTATTCAAACTGAGTGATGCCCAAATATACACCCACAATAATTACTAGGCAATAGAGTTCTTCTCGTTAGATCTGATGTCATAAGTTCAATTTTATTAGCCTTGTACCGGTGTTTTACCGCTCCACGTGGGTTTTCGGACATAGGACAGAAAAAGAAGTATGCAAATGTTTAAAACAACAATTTACTGACTGAAGGAAAAGTTATCTATGTATATATATGTACTTACACTCAATTGGTAATAATAACGCGGTTCTAATAGTTGAAATAAATAAATATTTACTGGCTGGCGCTTTTCACCTGGGATTACTATGAGTTACTCTAAAACAGTAACTTATATTAAGATTGATAAATAATTTTGATTTTCGTAATATTTATTTAATTTTATGCCAAACATCTTTTCATTAACTAACGTTTTAACAATTGCTAGCTGATAAATTTATAAACTTTAATATTAGAAATAGGTTTATTAATACCTTTACTATCTTAAATAATATGTATGTAACACTATTTACTATATGTAAGAGAAAGTAGATTGAGTTCTACTCGGAAGCCTTTCGAAGGCTACTGTTAGTAGCTTTAAAGACTGCAAATTGCAATATCTAATTATCGATATAACTTTTAAATAAAAAACACACATATCCACAGATAACACTGCGTAACTCTTGCATCGTTCAATACTAGATGAATCCAGGCAAAATAGACGACGCCTCATCTGAACTAACTTAGACACTACATTTTTTACTCTGCGTATTCCACAATCAGTTGTTTAGTGACACAGTGAACGATACGATCTCTTTAGTGCTAAACTGGATATGATACGTAAAATATTGTCGGTGTGCAGAGAGAAGTCGTTCGAGAGGCGTTGGACTGAATATCGATTTTCAGGTATCCACAGCCGTCTGTGTCTAGATTTCCGACCGTGACCTTGTGTTTTTTATCTGTGTATTGTTAAATTTTTTTGTCTATGACTTATTTCGTTTTGAGTTCTACAATGAAGCGATGCGACACGTTATTTTTATTTAAGATGAAATAAATAATTTATTACTTCCTATAACTTACCTTGTTATATGGGAAAATAAACGAAACAATATATTTTTTAAATAGGTAAATACATTACAAAGCGTTTTACGATATAAAATATGACTTTTCGGGAATTTTAATAGTGACTAATTTAAGTTACTGTTATTAAAACTTATTATTATTCTAGACTCAAGTCTCAAATGCTATAATCAATACTTACTAGCTACGTAAAAGGTCACACATACTTTGGGAATTTGCCACATCCCGATCTCGCTACAAAATTTAAACCTAGTTCTTGGTATGATATCGGAAAAATACTTTAAGATATCTTAATTAATTTGGGATAAATTCTTTAAACTTATTTCTTCTTTTCAAACTTCAAAAACTTCAAACAACACGTGGTCAATTACAGAAGATAAATTAATAATTATATAAATATTTAAAAATAGAACTCGATTTCTTATTATACACTGTAATTACAGAGGATTCCAAAAATGCTGCCCGAATCTTCACGGAACAGTCTTCAAACCTCCTGGAACGCCTGGAGGTCTACGAACGTCAATTACACGAGAGGATCGCCTCACATATACCCAGAGACTTGGATTCTTTGGAGCACCTGGTTCTACAGCATAAAGATTGGGAGAGCAGCTTACTGACGCTGTCTACCGATATTGAGGAGGTCCAGAATACGTTTAGAGGTAAATTAGTGGAGCGTTTTGGAATCTAAATATAACGACGATATATTACAAGAAAAAAGTGTCGTAATAAATTTTTTTTGGTGACATTTCTGTTTTTATATATTTTTCAGTGATATTGTTGAGTTATTTGTAAATTATTTTTATACTTACTTACAAAAATCCATCAATCGTCAAGTAAAGCATTTTAATAAAAACTGTGTTTATATATTTCAGGTATCGCCCTTAAAACTCCTGCCATGAAGAAGAATTTAGATAAAGTGATGGGCAAATGGAACGATATGCAGTCAAAGAGTCAGTTATTTGTGGAAAGGTAAATAGAAAAGGTTTTTCTAAGAGAAATATTGATACATACAACCTTTCCTGGTGGGAAAATAGACTTATATTTTTTTAAATAAAATACCTTAACGGTTTAAAACGCGATATTAGTAAACGGGTCTTTCCGTGACCACCGTTGCTACAAAGCATCCGAAACGTCGGGCCGTAGTTATAATATTCTTACACACAAGTTTAACGAATATATATCGCGTTTTTAACCGTTAAAGTGCTTTATCTAATGTTTTACTACTGGCGTCAACTACAGACAGTATTAGACTTATAATTCCCGCCTTTTTTGTAGAGTGTACTTTCTCATTCCAGTATTAATCGGAAATGTCTTTTCTAGGTTGAAGTTCGTAGAAATAGTAGTTAACAGCATGGAAGAGAATAATCAAACGATTTCCGAATTCGAAATAAAATTGGCGCAGTTCAATGACCTTCCTAATGATGTGGAACTGCTAAAAGACGTAAGCTTTTTGTTTTTTATTTTATATTATCTAATAATATATATATTTTTTTCCATTTTAATAAAACTTAATTTTTTAGATGCACGAAGACTTATTGCGAATGCAAGTAGCTGTGAGCAAACAACAAATTCAGGTGGATCAAATGAATGATGATGCGGAGAATTGCCGTCGTCTAGTAGAAAGCTCCAGGGCTGCACTACCACATTCTTCGCTGCCCAGAACTGGCAAGCATATTGACTTGGAGCGATTGGACAAGGAAGTCACACAGCTGAATAACCGCTGGAATAACGTTTGCACCCAGCTGGCTGAAAGGTAAGTCCTATTTTTAAGGGCGAAGGTTTTGACGGGTTTGTTAGTAAGTAGTAGTGCAATGGTAGTAACATATAGCTAATAATAATCAACGGGCTACGGGTCTGTTGACGCATGCACAGGTGAAATAAGTGAAGTTCAAACGCGGTTCGATTGCAGGCTGCGGATAGCCAATATCCAAACCCAAAATAAAAAATCGAAAATTCGAAATATAGGTCCACTGCGCCCAAAAGCCTATGATGCACGTATCTCTAGCAAAACTCCGACTCAAATGTTCATGGCTGACAAAACCTTGAGTCGTAGTAATGCATTAAAGAATAAAATTACCTAATATATTTCGGGTTTAAAATAGTTAAGAGTGTTTTAATTTTTGTAGTACTCGCATAAACTATATACAATATTTACCAAACAGATTACGAAGCTGTGAAGCAGCTTACCAACTCCTGCGAAACTTCAACGCTGGCTTCGAGAAAGAGGCTGAATGGATTGATGACTCGTTCAGCAGACTCCAAGCGCAGCCTCCGATTGAAATCCGTCCCAAGGAGCAGTTTGAACCAACCAGGGTATGCTAAATAAGTGAATAACACATAACTTATAGAGGGTGTTTTGTTAATATTGGTTAGGGGCACGAACAAGGAAAGGATATTTCAGAGGAAACATTTTAAGAAGGTTTAACATACATATAAGATAAACCTAATGTACCTTTTAGTCAGTCACTGTAATTTTTACGAAACCTATTATAAAAGCTCTTAGTATAAGAATAAAGATCGTATCGATAATTTTAACTCAATCGATGTCAGAATTTTAGTGGGAGTCTAATGACTACTAATCGAGTTTGAAATTTAAAATGCACTTTGCATGTACAAGCACCGAAATAACATGATTACAACGTGGGTTGTCTTGTGGTTGTTTTACAGAATTTACTTACGAGCGTTGTGGAGAGGACGCCTAAGATTGAAAAAGTTAACGTAGATGGTGGAAGGTTCATACGAGAGGCGAAGGTAACTATCACGTAGGCTAGATGACGTTATTTCAAACGTCGGCCGTGATCCCCACTAGAGCCGTTCTTGGATCGGTTTAATATCGGAGATCAAATAAATAAAAAACCTGTGTTTTAAGCACAATTGAGTCTTCTAGGTACTGCTAAAGACCTTGAGGTCTAATGATTAGCTGTGATCTGAATACTGTATCCTTGGTGCCAGAGAATTTGAAAGGTTTTTAGTCGTCCAGCATTCCCCACGATCCTGTGAGCTCGCATTTTGGTGTTGTCAATCATTGGTCTCTTAGCTTTGCTTATAATGAGTTTGCCTAAATCTATCTAACGCTACGCTTCTTACTAACTCTAACAAAAACTCCTTTGAATGCGGGATGTTGTGATTGTGTTTCTTCTGTATCCTTCTATGTTATTGAGACGCTTTAAAATTTAGAACGTGTTTTTGTCTCATATTTGTCCTAGTGTCTTATCTAACAGCACCCAATACAAAATGGACTCAATAAAAGGCAATATATAACTGCCCACTCGATTGTACAAAATGGTGTAGCACGCCTTCAAATGCAAATTTTAAATCCTAGTCACGTTTAGCAAATCATTAAAATACAAGTTCAATAAACTCTGACATTTATAGAGCAATGTACTTCATTCCAAAAGTGTAAATATTTAAATTTGGAATGCGTTAAAGCTTCGCTTTTCTATATATACGACATATATCTTAAATGTACATAAAAAAACCTGAATCGATTCAGGATATGCACGCTGGGTTAGCACACTAAGGATTTTCTAAGCATGACCCCTTTCCTGGACCTAGCTGGACCTGTGTCGCCATTTAAAAATCGGCCATTGTTTTACTTATATAGATGAGACTATGTTTGGACGTTTGAAAGAGCGATGACTGTCTGGATGTTTTTAAAATTTTGAAACTGTTTGAATGAAAGGGTGTCTGGATTTTTTAATACTATTGACTAACTAACGATACGCAGACTGCTTTTACGCAAAATTTTTTTGAGTATTACCAGTTATAGTGAGCGGGGTAGATCGACAAGACTCTATCTGTTGTCATTCTGATCAATGAAAAGCAGTCTGTGCCCACTAACATAACAAATTAACCCTAACTCGCTTAGATCCACACATCGAGATGTCAGAGGTATGTCGAATGGCTCTGCGAGGAAATACACCCGTCACTGGATGTAAAACAACTGAAACGACAAGCGGATATCGATATGGCAGAGCGGTTACGCAGCAGGGGTCGAAAGGACCTCGTAGGTGCCGAATTGACATCTGGAGCTGATGCTGTGGCGAGGGAACTAGATGAACTGAATGCTAAACACCAAAGACTATTAGATCTGTTATATGAGAGACTGAGGCGGATAGCGGCTGCTAATCCTGGAGATATTGTCACATTGGTGAGTCCAAAAATACATAATAATTTACAAATTTGAGTAAAAGGCAAACAAACATCAATCTTCATTTAGTTTATATATGTTATGATAAATATAATGTTTATCTGGCGGTAAACCATATATTTTATATTTTTGGTAACCCGTAAGTAATCGATTTTACTGTTTTCAACATGGAAAAAAAAATAATTTTTCGTCACTCGCGTCGCTAACGCATAGAAATTTCTTGTCAGCTTCTTTCTTATGAAATAGAGATCCAATTTTATTTCTTACTACAATAAATAGTTAGAAATTGGTGCACTTATAACACATTATTATTATTATTATTATAACACACGTTTCTCGTAATAAAAATTGGCCGGTAAAATAAAATTCAAATCTAAGTAAATATGGCGCCTTAAAAGTGCTTTAACAAATAAACATTATTTAGTAATGCCCTAAAAATAACTTGGTAAGTGATGATATCATAGTATCATTGGACCTCGGGCGACGTCATTTATTTTTCAGTTTATAGGATTTGAATTATATAGTAACGGCCGACATTCTTGTGTCAAGGTCTTGAAAGCAATTAGCCTTTGACAAAGGTGTTTGGAGACTAGACAGGACACTATAGACAACTGTCAACAAAAAATAGACCTGGCTTAGATTTTATCTGGCTTAGAGTTCGAATCTCGCAACAAAGATTTTGCGTATAATAGATAAATCATTTTGCTATTTTTTAAAATACTAATACAAGAAACAAGCATAATTGTATATAACTTAATTCAATAATAACGAAACTACCAAAAATATATCTTATAAACGGGACTTGAACCCGGCATCCACAGCGTTCCGTGCTACTCGAACCAATGGAGCTACGTTGTCAGTGTCATTGTCACAGTAAAACTTTAAAAGCATACAGAAAAGAAGTATTTTAACTTCTGTTTATATTTCCGCCTCTTGATATAAGTATGATCGAATCTACTTCTCCTTACGGTAATATACCCACAGAGTATAACAATAATTGTATTATTATTGTTGCCTTTGCGAATCCGTAGGATGGTAATAAATTGCAAATGGCCGCATTTGTTGTCTATTCGTAAGCGTGTCAGAGATTTATGGAAACTTATATTTTGTCCTTTACGTAGAAATGCGGCCTTGATTTAAAAATATACTTGTATATACACGAATGCGTTAAAAATCGCAGTCAAATAGAATTTCCCGCGTTCTTATCAACTTTATAGTTATACTTTTGCAACGAACGTGCTTTGTTTGAAGATCGTCATTGAAGCGATAACTAAACTATTAAGACGTTACTGCTTCTTGTATCTAAGCTGACGGCGAAACATTTGCGGATGCGCAACTGAAATAATTACAAATCAAGCCATGCACTTGCCAACCATACAAAAACATAAATCAGTTACTTTAATAAAATGATATATTTAAAAGTAGAATTTCTCTTAAAAATAATTCGAATTTTAAAAATTCAAAACTACAAAACGTACAATGACCGTTGCTTAAATTAATACCTAGATCTGTTTGTATAATCTTTAAAGACGCTTATCTTCCTATTTGAATCCTAATCAGTCATTCAGTGTGCCTGAGTCTTATCAGTTAGTGTATCACGCTGCAATAAACTAAGCTAGATACGCTTCCTTGCGGTTTCTGACCTACTTGCAGAACTGGTTAGGATAGTTTTCTACAGCAGAAAAAGACAGGTTTTTCCAGTCTGAAAACAATACCCTTATACTGCTGTAAACCTCATGCAATTTATTTGTATATGAAATGCTTAGTTCGAAAATACTTTTGTTAGATTGTTTAAACACTAATAAGCAAATAAATTTGAGTAAATACTGTGTGTAATTTACGCTAACTAAAATAAACTTAAAATCAGTTTAACCAAAATATTTCGCGTTTTAAACCGCTAAAGTGTTATCAATCCTTTTCAGCAATCTAAAAGAGATTGAAGCTTAGAGCTAAATAGGACTACCACTTTAGTTTATGTTAGGTATTTCTCGCTGAAAATGGGTTGTAATGTCAAACCGACGTTTAAGATTAACTCCGCGAGTCGCTAGTCGAAAAAGCAACTCACGAATCCCACTGTGATGCCAATAAACGTTTCGTCACCTTTGATCTGGACGTAACCCAATAATATAAAATGACGTAATTAAACGTGGTCTATCGACGCCGGTCGCCGATTCGCGGTTTTTAGTACCACGCGAACGACTACAGATACGTGACGTTCGTTACAACCGGTCTGCCTATTCGCGATTCGAATTTCGAACGAAACGAGCAAGTTAATGTCGAGTGCCAGTGTTAAATCAGTGAAAGAAGGTTTCGTGAAAATTTAAAATACGAATGTTTTAAAAATACGTCGTTATGGAAACGGGATACAAGCTGTGTTTAAAAGAGTTTAAATAAAAATTTCGTATACACAACTAAGTTAACACAAGACTGCTTATTTATTATTATGTTATATAAATAAATAAATTGTATTTATTTACCTGAATAGTGTCCCATTAAAGCGCATTTCTTATCGCTTATAAAATAATAAACAGAAAGTTTATCGATTTCGCTATCGTTGCATTGATAACCTTGAAGATAATTATGGTGGCGATTAACTATAGATCAGTAATTGACAAGTTAATTTTAAAAGCAATGAGAAATGTTACTAAAACAACATTTTCTCTCTGAAGATTTATCTATTTTCACGAAGAAGCGTTCTCATAAAGCGATGAACTTTACACAACTCTGTTCTCTAAACACTAAAACCTACTCCAATACGGGTTGGGGGCTATAACAACGACCAATACCAATTTAGTGATGATTACCTACGGCTTTACGTCCTCTCCAGGTCACAGTTTCTGATTCCTGTAAAATATTTTCTTCATTCATTCTTAGAAATGTTACCCGGATATACTGTTTAAGTGTGAAATTCCATATATCTATGTTATTTTTACAGGCAAATATTTTTATATCTGGATTCGAACGCTTGACGTCGCTAACTTAACGCAATGCGTATTAAGTCACCCAACGTGCCCTTCAGGCTACCGTGGCACGAATTATTTCGCTTCAATGAATTATTTGTGTGGTCACGAATGACATTTATAACTGTACTACCGGTTTGAGTTACACTAGTGTTTACATACAATGTTTTTATTTAATTGCGTCGAAATTTTAAACAACTGCGCCTGGGGTTAGTTTGAAATTATCGATCTCTATTAAGCAATTTAATAAAAATAACGTAGGTTTATAGACACAATTAAAATAATAGCTTAAATATATTTTATAAGTAATTATTGTTGTGTCTCTATTTTACGCATACACACACTAAATAAAACTACTGTAAACTAGTTGAAATTATACATATACCTGTTAGTATATTAAATCACGTCTGTAGCTAAATGGTTAACCGTGTTGCCTAGAATTGCGTTAGGCGTGAAAGGTCTTGGGTTTGAATCCCTGGAAAATAATAGTTTGTTTCAATCGGGCACAGAAGTCTGATCAACTGTGTTCCCATTATCTCCCACAGGGGGAAAATGGGATTTCACTAATAAATTTGACTAGGTTCCGATATTTCGAGTGCTTCTCAGTGGCCATAGTCACGAACGCTATATTTAAAAGTAAAATCTTCTCAAATTGACAATTGACTGATCGTTAACATAAAATAGGTACATATACTTGTACATATTACCTTTTAAACAATAATAAATGACTCGACCTCAAATGTACGGAATGATGTCATTTGAAAATCAAGTATTTATGTTACAAATTAGAAAAACATTGCTCCGTTTATCTATAACCTTGGATTGAGTTAAGTGTCATCGCTATGAAAAATTCTCGGCAGGTAACGCGTTTTTAGGGATCCGTACCGAAAAGAAAAAACCATAGTCGATTGAATAACAACACATGTTTTGTGCCATATTGATAAATAACAATACAACACAATGTTTTATTTAAACAAAACACGTTAACGGTTTAAAACGTGAAATATATTAGTTAAAGTTATTTACAAATTATTGTAACTACGGCCCGACGATTCGCTGCTTTGCAGCAGCCGTGATCACGGAGAGACTAAAGATGGAGGGTGTCTCAATGTCAAAATAAAAACTGCTACGTTAGCGCCATCTGTTTGCGTCGTAGTTGGTATTTGGTGAAAATGGCTAGGTCGTATGTAAATAATTCGCGTTTTAAACCTTTAAAGCGTTTTATTTAAACGTGTACTACTCATGTAAACTACAGACAATCTTTTATTCTAAACAGATTTATGTTATACCACAGTTATTTCAATACGAACTTAAATATTTTCCTCAAAATTAAGTTTGTCGTATTAAAGTGTCATTTATATCCCGTTGCGGTCACATTTAGCAGACCTTGACTAATTTAACGAGGTGACATTGCGCATGCAATTCTGACTATAAATTGTTCACTTACACTGCGTAGCATAGGTACATTTGTTAATCCAATCTCGAACTAGCGTTATTGCTATAGCTTACAATAAAGAAAATCTAGAAAAAATAAATAGGTATATTTTTATATTCCTTTTTCTACAAATACATTGAAGGCAAGGTTCTAAGTTAGAGGGCAAAACGCCAAAAATAAAACTTATTACAAAATTATTTGCACTACGGCCCAAAGATGCTTTGCAGCAGCCGTGGTATTTGATTACTTTCAGGACTTCGGTGGAATACATAACTGAATACTGTCAGTAGTTTACGCTAGTACTATGCGTTTAAATAAAATAAGAAAAATAAGTATTTAATACATGTAAGGAATATATTTCGCTATATAACTGAATTATTTGACATGACATAGATATCTAACGAGCTATTACCCTGTAAAGAAAGTCTATAAGTGAAACGGACCCAGAAGTGTACATGTCCCACTAAGAGATGAAGGGAGAACAGGCTTTCACACACCAGGGACCACGTAGAGAATAACGAATTTCAGAACAATGTCTAGATTGAAGTAGGTAAATGTCCGAATAAAAATTCCCATTATTAACCACCGTTTGGCACCTCTTGGATTACCGCTGCCAAGCCTATTTATACAAACACGTGACACACATATTGTCTCTTGTTATTAAACAATGCGATTATAGTATTTTGTATATGAAAGTTACGACATAATATTATAAGTTTAAGGAGTATAATATCTCAGTAATTATCTTTTACTTACGTTTGTAAGCAGTATTTCCTCTATTACTAAATTCATTCGTAAAGACCGCCTCTTTTGTTTAATAGTTCAACATATTGCCTTGGAATAGGCGAGGCGAAGTCCTGGGTTTGAATCTCGGGGTAATATTATAGGTTAGTATAGTCCATCGAAACTAAATAATCTGGTTTGTCAATTTACTCAAAAAGTCAAGTTATGTACTTGGGTGCGAAAAACGGAATTATACACACGTATAAATTGGTGAAATTCATTATTATAACGTAAATATTTTATATGTATAGCAAGAAAGTTGTTGTTGTAGTAAGTGGTTGAACTAAGGTTTTACTTATATGTCTCTAAAGATCAGTTACGGAGCGATACAAATAGAGAAACGTCTAAGAATATTATTATGTAGGTACTGGAATCCTACATTCATTAACTTCATATAATATACTAGCTGTGTCAGCGACTTCGTCCGCGAGAATCGAAATCGTCATCTTTTTTCTTTAGATCATTTAAATAGGAATATTTTTTATACATGTTTTTTGGGTATCTTAAACCGTTTTCGCTGCGTAGGCCTCGGAAACCCTGATGTTTAATTTTCCCAATTTTTTTCACATTTCTCGCTGAATCTTCGCTTGTATTACTCACAGCCAACAGGGCGATGTTTTGTAGCCTTCAAATGAATAAAAAAAATATAATTCGAACCCGTAGTTCCTGACATTAGCGCGTTCAAACAAACACACTCTTTAGCTTTATGTATTAGTATAGATCTACCAGAAACGTACATTCATTCATTAACTCGATATAATATATTTTGTCACCGTATAAATTGCGCGTGTAAAAAATAACAAGTCTACTAAAATCTCGTTTCATTGTCAAGGTGTTTTGCAACGATGTTCGTAGGTAGTCGAAAATGACGTTTTGCCAAAACAAACGTTTTCGTGTCTGTCCAAGGTTACATTTATATGACTTCACGTGGGCTCCGTTTTCCTGCGGCCAAGGTCTGATGATATAATCGGAATAATAATTAACTTTAAAATGTATGCCTTACATATACATTGAGAAATTTTATGTTTCCTTATAAAATTACTAGCTGTGCCAGCGACTAGTTGTTTTGCGCATCAAAATAAGGTTTTGCAAACCCCATCTATATAAAGTTAAGCTGTTAGCCACGACGTCGATTGCGTCCCTTTCTGTCGTTCTTGAAAGATAATCTTAAAAGATAGACATATAGCGTCCCGGGCTTTTTTTTAGATCATTTAAAGAGGAATCATTCTATTAATACACATTTTTTAGATATCTTGAACCGTTTTCGCAGCGTACGCAACTGAAACTCAAAGAGATGAAAAATTACCCCCGTTTTGTTCACCTTTCTCGCTGTATCTTCACTCCTATTAGTCACATCGTAATGTGATATAGCATATACCTTCCTCGATAAATGCTCTAACCAACACAAAAATAAATTTTCAATTCGAAACCGTACTTCCTGAGATTAGCGCGTTCAAACAAAAAAAATCTTCAGCTTTATATATTAATATTAGTAAAAGTTAACTGTATGGCTAATTAAATACACCACATATCAAATTAATATATAAAAGTATTAATGTTGTCTTGTCTTTCTTATTTGTAAATAGCTACTAAAATCAGATTTATTTATCTTAATCATTAACTTTTTGGTCTAATACAACAGTTTTATCACAATGGCTTCCCATAATTTATAGAAATCCCTTTTTCATCTGTCAAATTGGCTTTAATAAGCCATTAATTTATGTAGGATTCCACTTTGTTCGATTTCTTTTTAAATAGAGCGTTGCAAAGCGAGAATGTGTATGTCTGCAATTTTGCATGTTCAATTCCAGTGTTAATGGTTATATTGACGCAGAGTTAATAATAAGAGTTGGGCTGTAGAGATAATAATTAGTAACCTTAAGTATCTAAATACAACCCTTTAAATTTCGGGACATATATTATCTAAACTTATTTGAAAATTATTATTAATACGGCCGTTGCAAAGCATTCGAACGTCGGGCCGGGTAGTTAATATAATTTTGAACTAAGTTTAACTAATATATATCGCGTTTTAAACCGTTAAAGTTATTTTATTTAAATGTGTACTACTCGCGTTAGCTACAGACAGTATTTTACCTTAAGTATATTTAATAATACATGTTTAATACGGTACTAAAGAAAAAAATAACAATGAAGCTTTTTTGAAAAATGGATCATGGTTTATTTAATAACTGGTTGGGCTTAAATCCATACTTTGGGGTTGATAATATTACCTTGTTACGTCTCATGATCAATCAAACATTATTAAGTTAATAAACATTCGCGACTTTATACGGCGCATAAAATCGATAGTAAAATAAAATTTAAAATTTGTAAACTAAGTGCAACAGCGGTCAATGAACTCTGAAAAATCACGTTTTTGCTGTCATCACAACTGAATGCTTCGCTGGCTACATAAAAAAACTATCGTTATTATCTTTCTCTGTAATATCGCTAAAGTGCTACTTTATCTTATTTTTGTATTCTAGTCGAAATAAGCTTACTACGCCTAGAAACCTTTACTACATCATCATTCAATTGCGAGTGTTAATAAAGAATTATCTTCTAATTACAATCAAACTTCACACCTATTTCAATTCTCCTAAAGCATCTTATCAGTTGTAGATTCTTCGTGCCCCATTTCGTAACCGCATCGGGTTGCGCGCGCAACCCTCAAATATCGAATAACCCTAGTCATTTTCCTAACCTCAAATAACCTCAAAACAGCTGTTGTGTTCGCTAAAATCGTGTAATAAGTTTCGGAAACACATAGACCGCGTGGATGCGTCGGAACCATTACGAAATGATTTAAATTTAGAACCGGCGTTATTTATTTCGTTTTACGTTTTCTAGCTTCATTCAGTTTTCAGCCAGACATAGAGGCACATAAACTGCTTTGAAGTATTTAAAATACTACAATTTAATGACAACAGCGAATATATTTATTTTTTCATAATACTAGGTTACATTTAGAACGTGTGTGTTAGTGTGTGATTATAAATATGAATAGTTAGTGTTGAATAGTGTGAACTCATAATACTGAGAATGGAGGAGTTTGAATATGATTTCGCGTTTGAGTGTCGGGTGTGTATTGATAAATTATACATATTGGTATATTTTTCTTTATTTATGTCGCTCTATCAATCAAACCATAAATTATAACAAATATATTTAATTCGTCTGTCCTTGAATCTTGATTATCAATACAAAACTGATTCTGTAAAGATATTTTCCTCGGCAAAATGTTGGTAACATTAATTATTAGAAGACCAGTTTGCTTATGTTTTTCCATATTAGAATCTGAACGTATTCAATATTTGTTTATTTAGTTTGTTCAAAGTATATGAATATATTGTATCTCCTTAAAGTTAACTATAATGTTCTATATTTTTTAATAGAAGATAAAATAATTTCAGCGCCTTGTGGAAGCAATGGCGCCTCGCTCAGCCCGCTCCTTCCGACAAGAATTCAATATGCAAGATGTGGCAAGCACAGAGCATACGTACACAACGCATTATACCTCAGAAAAGTAAGTTTTAGTCAATAATCACTATTTACAGTTCGGTTCGGTTTTGGATTACGGGATACTTACTTAAGTACGCTATCAAAACTTACAGATATGTCAAGACGTCTCAAACAACTGAATTAGATGGACATACGTCCGTTAAAACAATGACCAATGGCAAACTTCCTAGTTATATAAGTAAAACAAAACTCGGCGACGACGATAGACCTGACGTTAGAAATTTAAAACGAGTCCACAAAATGTATGAAGGACCAAATATCATCGAATCCAGAGGTATAGTCCACCCCGAAACCAGAGAAATTCTGACGGTTGGTCAGGCTATCAGCATGAGAATATTAGACGTACGGACGGGAAGATTGCTAGCTTCACCCGACACGCGTCAAACAATTTCAATAGAACAAGCAGCAAAAGAAGGTCTTATTGATCCCAAACTAGCTGCTAGACTGACCGGACCTTGCGGTATGACTGAAGACGGAAATGAAGTAACCTTGTTAGAAGCAATCCAGAGAGAGTTGTACGACGCGGAACAAGGACTTTCAGACCCAGCGGAGAAAAGGATAAAGGTGAATGTTGAAAACAAACCAAGTCAAGGAATGAGTATTTCGGATGCGGTAAATCGAGGCCAAGTTGATTTACAGCGAGGTGTATACATACTGCCCAACGGAACACATATTACTGTGGCCGAAGCCTATCAACGCGGCTACCTAATTTACAATGAGATTATCAAAATTAAATCAAGTGCTTTGTCTTTATCAGACGCGATTAGTCAAGAGCTTGTAGACAATAGTGGTTGGATTTTGGACAGAAATTCGGGTGATAGGTTCCAATTAGACGTAGCAATAGACAAAGAACTCATTAATCCAAACGTTAAAGAAATCGTTGATCATAAAGATGACATGAAAATAACGCTTGCTGAAGCGTTAGTGAAAAATATTATCAATACTAAACACTCTAAATATATTCATAATGTAACGAAAGAAAAGTTATCTTTCAAAGAAGCTGCTAGGAAACGCTTTATTTGTAAACCCATGACATTAAAAGACGTCTGTGATAAAAGTTTAATGACAAACGATGGTAAAATTATATCAGCTGCGAATAGGTCACATCTTAATATAGTAGAGGCAATATCCACTGGTGTACTAGATAGTGATAACATCAAATGTATTACCGATACAACTTCTGGTCAACTCCTTACACTCTCGGAAGCCTTGACCGCCAGAATCATATTACCCGACAATAAGTTTCGGGACAATTTAACTGGCGAAATATGTACAATACCGGAAGCAGTAGATCGCGGTCTCATAACTTCAGTCTCTCAAAAATCAATTTTCGATATAGATGGTTTTAAAGATCCAAAAACGGGCGAATTTGTGTCCTTTAACGTAGCTTTAAGCAAAAATAACCTTAAATATGTTAACGGTGAAACCTTTTTAAAGTCTGAAAGTGGAGATTTCGTCTTTATTGATGATTGCACTAAGGTTTCGATCGTTCGTCCTGAAGTACTAGAAATGTTCAGTCGAAAAATAGGTGTTTTTGATAATGATCGGGAATTTACGGTTCTTGATGCGGTATTTAAAGGTTTGCTCGATCCAAAAACTGGATATTTGATCGATTCTAAAACAAAACAACCTATCCCATTTAATAAAGCTGTCGAGATTAATATGATTACGCCAGAGGGGGCTGCTTTGTTAAATTCGCTTTTAAATATAACTCTTACTATACAGACTGTTACCAAAACCGTTAAACGATATGTAACAGTTACAAATACCAGCGAAACAAATATATCCGAAACGATAATTACTTTTTCTGAAGCCATTAGGCGTGGTTTGATAGATGAAAACACTCAAACATTTACAGATCCTACAACGGGAACCGTTTTTCCAATTCAGCAAGCCTTAGATGAGGGTCTTTTAGGAGTAGATCAAAATGATCCTCGCATTGCTCGCATTTCAGATCGTGTAACTAGAAAAGATTTAATTCCAGGTCAAGTTGTAGAATTAAAAATAACAAAAAAATCTTTTATCAAAGAATTACCTCCTAGCCCTGAGAGTAAACTAAAAGAAGATGATAGACCAGAGACAGTTAAAAGTCCAGACTTTATGTCTGAATCAAAAGTTCACAAGGAAACGTCTCGAATGAAATCATCCGCGTCAGCAGGAATTGAACCGACTGTAACATCACTAACTATAAAAAAGAATACCATTGAATTACCGCGCGGCGGATGGTCTCTTAAAGAAGCTATTCAACAAAATTTATTTAATCCAATTAATGGGCTATTTGTAATACCTGGTACTGATAGAGTTCTTGATTTACAAGAAGCTCTTAAACTAGACATAATTAACAGCGAATCAGCGTATGTAATTGATCAAAAAACTAAAACTGAATTTACATTGCATAGGGCAATACAGCGTCATATTATAGATAATAATGGTCAATATAAGCAAGCAAACGGTAAAATAACAATGCGGGACGCTTTAGATCAAAAATTAATTGTTTTTGTACAAACTATATCGAACTTAACTTCAACACAAAAAATTTTGACAATTACTTCTATGGACGGAATGCCAGACAAAATGGAAATTTCAGAAGTTCAAGAACCTTCAACAACATACCCCATGGAAAGTCAATCAGTTCTAGAACCGGTCCAGGTTCAGCCTGGAATAATTTACGACCCCTCGACGGCTTTAGTTATTTCTACAACTTCAGGTGTGTCTGGTAATATTTTGGAAGCAATAGACAGTGGTCTTGTTTCGAAAAAGAATGTTAAGGTTTTGAATCCCCAGACCAATGAATTAGTTACTATAAATGAGGCAATCGATAAAGGATTTATAGATAAAAACACCGGTGAATATCGAAATCAATCCGGCCAAAAGCTTAATTTAGTAGATGCCGCGAAGATTGGTTTAATCACGGTCTTAGGTACTCCATTAATGGCTGCTTCTAAAGTTATTCAAGTCGTAAAAAATACAATGGTTATAGATCCCAAAACAGGTGAAGAACTGCCCATGGAAGTTGCTTATGAAAGAGGTATAGTCGATTCTGATTCTTATAAAAAGTACGAAGAATCGTTAGGTGCCGAAACCGTCACCAATGATAAGACAACAGTAGATAATTCCAATACGGCTAAATCATTCTCTTTTAATGATGCTAAAATTAAAGTTCCAATCAATTCATCTATGAAATATGCGGTTAGTAGTGATTTTGTAGATAACATAAAACCCAAAACAATTGGAGCTGCAGTATCTGAAGGGTTTATAACAGTTGAGTCTATTCAAAATAGTCTTTCGTTTGATAACAGAAATTATATAAAAACGCCCGAAACGGTTGTGGGCGATGGTCGAACAGAAGTTGTTTTTGTCGCAGAATCTCTCGAAAAAATTAAACCCAAGTACTTCCCTAGAGAGTCAGAAGATTTTATTAATAATAAAACAGTAGAAACAAAGCCGAAAATTTTGCAGAAATTGAGAAGACGCGTTATTACCATTGAAGAAGCTTTAGAAGAAAATCTCTTAGATGATCAAACAGCTGGAATGTTACAAAAAGTAAGATCGACTACCCATCAGGATGGTTCTCCCCTTACTCTACGCATGGGTATAGACCTAAATGTTATAGACAGTAATAAGGGCAAGATAAATGATCCCGTTCATGGGGACAGTGTAAACATTCAGGGTGCTATGGACAGAGGCCTGTTAGATGAAAACGGGCAATGTGAGTTACTTATACCGCTATTCAAATGTTTGTCTATACCTGAACTAATAGATCAAGGGTTATTAAATTGTGGGTCCGGAAAAATAATTCATCCAGAAACTGGTGCGTATTTAACTTTAAAAGAAGCTATTATCTGTGAAATTGTTGATCCATTATCAACTATTTCTATTGCTCCAAATAAAAATTTTACGATTGAGGAAGCGATTCAGCGTGATATTATTGATTCTGAAAAAAATATTATTAAAACTAACAATGGGCCAATAAGCTTTTTAGATGCAACGAACCTAAATGTGTTCCCTAAAACAGAAGTATACTGCGACATACCACCTGCTGCAATGACAATACCTATCGCTATTCAGCATAATGTATTAAATTCAGCGGGGATATTTAAACACCCTGTTATAGAACAAAACTTAACGTTAAAAGAAGCAATAGATAAGGATCTGATAATGGCGATTCCATACCCACAAACAACATCATCGGTGACACTTGTGGATATAGCTCTAAAAGAGGGTTTACTTAACATAAAAGATGGGACTTTTACTGATCCTAACACTAAAGAGGTAATCTCAATAGATAAAGCTTTAGAACAAGGTTTGCTAGTTGTAAATTGTAACAATAAAGCGTTGGACGTAAAAGGTGTTATTACTACAGTCACAGAAACTTATTCCTCCCAACACACCATTACCACAAAAATGGTTGAGCTTTTATCAGACTACATTTTAATCAACTCTCATGAAGTCCAAAACATAACAACTGGTGAAGTTATGTCTATGGATGAAGCACGACGCAAAGGTATTATTCGCGATGAACAAACGAAAAAAGAAAAGTTTATAACAGATGATGAAATAAACTTTCAGGATGCAGTTAATTTAGGTTACGTAAATATCGAAGAGGGTACATTTACTCACCCAACTACAGGAATTACTTGTTCTATTACTAAAGCTGTCAAAAGTGGACTCTTAGACCCAATAGCTCCCTTAGAATCTCGTGATACAACGAAAGCATCCGATTTTGAAATGCTTGATTGCCAAAAAGCTTTTGATCTTTTATACGACGATAAAACACAAAAGTTTAAAGATCCCCGATCACCTAATAACGTATTAACATTCGAGGAAACTGTTAAACAGAATATTGTTAATCCTAATGCAGTTTTATATGATATCAGTGCTGAAAAGCCCATTACAGTAAAAGAAGCACTAAATACAGGTTTGTTGGATAAAAAAACTGGTAAAGTCAAAGAACCAGAAACTGGAAAATCGTTCGATATCAAGAAAGCTGCTAAAATGGGCATGATTGCAATTGTTGGGGCCCCGGTGTTAGCAGGGATGGCTGCTGTACAAGGCGCAAGAGCTATAAGTAGTAAAATAACAGAACCTAAAAGTGATCTTAATTTTCAGAACACCACTGTTGTTAAAAATAGTCCCACAATATCCACCAAACAAGATTTCATTCAAAACAAAAATACTTCTCTAGACCAACAAGATATTTGTTCTGTAAAATATGAAAATAAAAAACCTGATGTAACAGATCCAGTCACTATCCAAATGCTTACGAAACCAGAAAAACGTGAAGTGATTGAGACAAGTCAACAAAGCGATAATAAATTCATAAGACCAAGGGACCAAAGTATAAAAGCTTCTGATAAACTAATTCCTCTCGATACACAGTCCACAAACGCAATGGCACTTGAAAGTGGATCGAACGTAATGGTATCAAAAATAAACAAAGGTGATAAGCCCAGTAACGTTAATATAAGCGAATTAGTTGTAAAAGAAAAGGAAAATTCCAGACTGCCAAGTATTTCGACTTTTGTAACTCAGGAATCAAATTTAACACGCGATACATCTCTTACATCTAACGACCCACCCAGTGCCGTTGATAACCTTAGAAATAGTAATGTAGAGGATTACATATCAGATCGAAAAAAAATTGAACACACAGATAATGATATTATACAACCTAAAGATACCATAACTAACACTTTAGAGAAAGATTTATGTACCCCAACGAATAAAGAACTGGATAAAAAATCCGCACTCCCAAAACTTGATACAAACACAACAGATTTACCTTCAAACTTTCTTTGCAATGTCGATAATAATGCTTCATCTTTACCAGAGAGCGCCGATAATAATGTTTCATTTTTAACAGAGAGGGACGAGGATACTATGGCCGCTATTAGCCAAGGAATCATTAAATCTGAAAACGTGTCAATTATTGACCCTATATCAAAAAAGAAAATAAATTTCAGAGAAGCTGTACATACTGGTGTAATCAACGAAAAAACTGGGGAAATCAAGGATCAAAGTGGAAATAGTATTTCTTTAGCAGATGCCACTAAACTTGGCCTTATTGCTATTGTGGGTGCACCAGTAATCGCGGTATCCAAAACTGTAGGTTTTCTAAAAGATTCATTAACAACAGAACATAACGATTCCTCTACAGTTCCAACACAGAAACCATCTCTCGATACACAGATTTCTTTAGAAGTACGACCAAATGCAAGAGTGAGTAGAACTGAAGACGATTCGGTACAAAATGATGGTAAACTTAGTGAAAGTCCCTTAGTTACCGACAACAAACTTTTGGATTCCAATACGCCCAAAATTTATGACCCTACAAAAGGAGTAAGTGATGCTAAAACTGAATCGTTTATGTTAATTGAAGCGGAAAAGCAGCCATTACGTGTTATTGAAGAAATCACAGAGCAAAATATCACAAAGGAAAAACCTAAAATACTTTTCGAAAATATCCCACTTATTGATGCAATTGCGCAAAACAAAATTGAACCAAAGATTTGTCGAATTATAATGAACGGTATAGAACTTCCGTTAACAGTTCAGGATTCTCTAGATCAGGAACAAATTAGTAGATTTATCCCCGTTGATGTTATTTCGAAAAACTGCGTTATCGTTCGAACATCTAAGCTCCAAATGAAAATTTCTATATCTTCAAAACTAACTCCGGAGGAACTATCGGAGCTTGGAATTTATGATATTGAAAAACAAATATTTTTAAATCCAGAAACAGGTGCAAAAATATCATTTGAAGAACTTGTTTATGATCTTCACATATTTGACGCTAAATCCCTTTTAGTAAAAGATTTAACTTCTAAATCTGACAAATTTATAACATTTGATGAAGCAATTTCAAGGCCAATAATTGATAGAAGCACAGGTCAGATGGTGAATCCAAAAACAGGAAAACGGGTGTCATTTTTGGAATGTGTGCAAATTGGTTGGATTGTAGAAAAACCAGAAGATATATCCATTCTAGAACATGTTACTATTGAGTCTGCATTAGAACAAGGCTTATACGATGCAAAGACCGGGGAAATCAGCGACTCTAACACTGGTAAATTGATTCATATTTCTGAGGCTATTCAAGAAGGTCTTATTGATGAGGATACTCTTCATGTAACAATACCGACAATGAATGAAACAATGACAATATTTGAAGCTAAAGAACGAGGTATAATTGAAATTTGTAATGGTGTCATCACAATAATAGAAACAGAAGAAAAAATTGAAATAACAGTTGCTATACGAAAGGGTGTTCTTACCTTTACACGTAGACCTATCTCTATTAAAGCAGTTATCGATAGAGACATGTATGAACCAACCACTGGTAAAATAAAAGATAGTGCTACCGAACAGTTACTTTCCGTTGGGGATGCAGTTTCACGAAATATATTACATCCCACTATTTCTGAAATTAAAGACACTTCTTTAGAAAAATACATACCTTTGAAAGAAGCTATTGAAACTAATTTACTTAATCCAGAAACCGGAAAGATTGTTGATAAAAAAACAGGTACCGTAATTTCATTAGATGACGCTTTAAGAAAAGGACTTGTGGCAACTAAAGCGATTCAATTTTCCTTGTTTGACATAATTGAATTAGGCTACTATTCACCAGATACGTGTAAAGTTTTAGATCCAAAAACCGGTGAAATAGTAACTTTAAGCAAATCTATCCAAGATAAACTAGTTAATCCAACCGGTGTAAAAATAAAGGACGATAATGCAGACGCTGTGATAACTTTCGATCAGGCGGTAAAGTCGGGTTTATTGGATTTAGAAAAAGGAATAATCACATCACCCCCATTAAATTTAAAGGACGCATCTGAGAAAGGCTATTTAATAAATGACAAAAAGCCATGGTCGTTACAGGAAGGTTTAGTTCAGGGATTTTACGATCCAGCTACTGGACTTTTAACAATTAATAACAGCACCATGACTCTCGAAGATTCAATTAAAATTGGTAACATAAATCCCGAAGCACTCACAGTTCGAAACTCTGTAACTAGTGAAATTATTTCTCTTAGTGATGCAATTAAAGCTGGGATAATTGATTCTAAAGAAGGAAAAGTAAGGGATCCGGTGCAAGGAGATAAAATATCTTTAATAGATGCATCAGAGCGAGGCTTGATTGTTCCGGCCAAGCGCAAACTGAGCTTACCCGAAGCTGTCTTCAAAGGTTTCTATGATCCGAAAACTGGTAAATTTTCCCACCCTCAAAGTAAAGAAAAACTACAAACAGATAGAGCCATTAGAAAAAGAATTATTGATCCACAGTCAACATTAGTTCATGTGGCTGGAAAAGTAATACCATTTGAGTTTGCTGTTGACAAAGGCATTGTTGACGGTAGGACTGGGACCATATTACTGGGGGAAGAGAGAGTAGATTTCCGCGAAGCATTTGAGAGAGGAATTTTAGTTGAAGTACGTAGACCTTTGTCGCTCGTTGAAGCCTTAGAAAAGGGCGTTTATAATGAGATCACAGGTCTTTTTATGGATCCACAAAGCGGTAAGAAATACACACTCTCAGAGGCAATAAAATTAAATATTATCGACCCTCAATCTGTTCACATACAGGACAATAGGCTAGGAAAATGGGATAAAATTAGTGTAGCTGAATGTCTTGAAACCGGTTTGATTGATGACAAAACTGGAAAAATAAAAAATATAAATAGCGATAATGAAGAAATCAGCCTACGTAAAGCCTTAGAAATCGGCCTTTTGATTGACGGAAAAGCGCCAATAAGTCTACAAAGGGCGTTGCATCAGGGTATATACGACGATAACACAGGTAAAATTATTGATCCCATTACTAATCGTAAAATTACTCTACACGAGTCTATTAGGCGTTCCATTATAAGTCCAAAATACCTTTGTTATTTTGATAAGAAGTCCGAAAAACCTTTAACGTTAGCTGAATGCTGTCGGAGTGATATTATTGACCGAAGAAGTGGGAAGTTTAAAGAACCAGGTACAGATGTCCAAATATCTTTATCTGAGGCAATGAGTTTGGGTTTAATAGTTGATATAGAAAGTGCAGGATTTTCACTTTATGATGCATTATCTATGAACATGTACGATATTACTGAGTTAGTTTTTGTGCATCCGGTCACAGAGAGAAAAATTTCTCTTAAAACTGCGGTCTCTGAGGAGCTTATTAACCCAGAAACATCTTTAATTAAACACATTCCCACGAGTAAATATGTAAAACTATCGGAAGCTGTTAAATTAAATGTAATAGATGAAAACAAAAGTGTATATATACTACCAAATGGTAGCCAAATTAATTTCTTAGATGCTAAACATCGAGGCTTAGTAGTGACATCAAAGAAAAATCTTAGCCTCGAGGAAGTAATAAAAAATGGAATTTTCAGAGCCGATACAGGAAAAATAGTAGATCCTAGTAATAACGAATTCATTGATATTAGAAAAGCAATTGAAATTAGCCTTATTAATCCGGAGTTAACTGTTGTAAAAGATAATTCTACTGGTAAGTTCAAATCCTTACCTGTCGCCATTCAACAAGGTGATGTGGATATAAATAAAGCTAGGGTACTTGACACAAAAGCAAAGAAATCATACTCCTTTGATGTCGCATTTGATAAAGGACTACTAGTTACTGTGGCTCAACCCCTGACGAGTCAAAGTGTATCGAAAAGATATATTACGGATTCGTCATCACCATCTTCAAAAGAACCTTTATTACGCGAATTCACATTAGATGAAGCCATTAGGTACGAATTTATCAATCCGGAAACTTCTGTAATAAAAGACCCGCACAAAAATAAATATATTCCACTTAAACAAGGCATCAGTGAAGGCATAATAGATAAAAATATTAAAGGCCTCTTTGATACACAAAATTCAAAAACTCTTTGCTTTACATTTGAAAATAGTTTACTTGTTTATCTTAGACAACCACTAACGTTTGAGCAAGCAATAGAGGAAGGCCATCTAAACGTTAACAATGCTCGATTTACTGATCCACAATCTAAACAAATATTTTCAATTAAGGATGCGGCTATTTTAGGGTATATCGATTCAGACACTGCACTTATAAAAGATAATCTCAAAAAAAGGTTAGTCAAACTTCCCGATGCGTTCCGTAAAGGGCTCATGGATGCCGAGAAAGGCAATATTTTAGATACTGAAACGTCTAAGCTAAATTCTTTGACTACTGCTATTGAATCGGGTCTTCTGATGACTCCCAAAAAGAGCTTCAGTTTAATTGAAACCATAAATTTCGGTATTTACAACCCGACTACTGGTGCTCTAAATGACCCGTTCATAACTACTAGCGTCATGGACAGAAAGAGATTAACATTAGGTGAAGCTATACATCAAGGAATCGTTGATCCTTCTAGCACGGTCGTTAAGGAACCGAATACTGGAAAAATATTGCCATTGGTACAAGCAATTGAACAACAGATTATTAACCCAGTAGAAGGAAACTTAACAATTGATTCGAAGAAAGGCATCAGTCTCGATTTAGTCAAAGCTTTTAAGAAGGGTTACTTACTGCCAGCAGAAACGAGGGTGAGTTAATTTTCTTTTTTGTCATCATTGTGCTTTGACAAAGCGATGGTGTTGCTTTAATTTTTCCTTTTCCCACTCTTAATTGGTGAACTATATTGTTTAAACGTGTGGCTTAAAAGCATGGCAAAACGCCCACATTTAATTTAAAAACGGGGGTATTACACAAATTCAACATAGCTGAAACTTATCGGGTGATTCAGTGTCATCATTATAAAAATTACCAATTTAAGTATCTCAGGTATCTTGTATTTTAAATGTTAAAGCACGTTTTATATTTAGAAATTAGCACACATTGTTATTGCAAAAAGTAGGAAGAATTTAATGTAAGATTTGACATGCTTTATTCTTAGGTACACTGTACTCGTTAGATTACCTTTATCTTCACTTTGTTTACCTTTAAGCTTAAGTCAAAGTTATGCTTTACAATTATTGTTTACTGATCTTGGCTTACATGTATGTGGAGCTTAATGCACCATATTATGTGTTGTAAGAAGATTCTACGAGTTAAAAATTACAAATATAAGGGAAATGTTATATCAAAGAAGCTTACACATTTGTAATAAGGCTCGATGTATGTTGTTTTTTATTTCCAGCCGTTGCCTGCGATGCTAAAGCGCCCTTTTGAGCTAAATCGTGAATGCTTGCCTTTGAGGGATCATATTAACGACGATTTAAAGAACCATCACAAATATCTAACATCCATTATCACTTTGTGCTAAGAATGTTAAAGGAAGATCGAAATGGCCTCGACGTCATCGATCTTTTGCTTTCCTATGTTTGCTTCTTCATTTAGACACCAGCTATATATGACAGCTGGTGTAATTATAATTCACTTAGCGTTATGCCCGTATTACGGTCCGAAGTACTCATTCCTTGGACTATAGTTTAAAAAATCGGAATGCATGAATGACGCTAAGTTGTCGTTGTCTCGATTATAAAGCGGAACTCGCGGCGCAAACATTCACAAAATCAAATGGTAAAACATTTTCTACGAACACAAACACAAAGGTAGTATTTATAAATTCATTATCGTTTAAATAAGCGTCTTATTGGGAACTTATATCATTTGTTGTTTTTCTTTTGTATTTTTCTTTTTAAGCTTATCTTCCAAATGAACAAATGAAATGAGATCTCTATTTAATTCAAACATATTGTTATCGTTTAAAATGGCATCTGAATGTACATTTACGTTTTACTTAAAATTCTTTCCGAGTTTCAGATATTCATCGAGGTATTTCTTTTCTTTATTATTTTTAACACTTAACTCTTAATACAATATTAATCAAAATACGAAGATGTTGATACCATTATCATGCTCGTGTTGCGAATGTCAGTGCATTGTTGACATTCGCAATAAAATTTGTTCACAGCTTGCATGTTACGCTTTCTTGGCACCTTTGTTGTGACACACCAAAACAGGATGTGTTTCTTCATCTTAACAATCTGTTTAAGCTGTCGTATTTTTTTGGGTTGTGTCGCGCTCTGTAGTTTCGCTTCTAGAGGCTTGGGTGAAGTTCGTGACGTTTTTGTTTAGGAGTAGCATTCGCACTGTTTAGTGGCACCTTGTGATGTACAGTGACTGACTGCACTTCAGTAGTTAGCGTTGTACAATAAGCTTAGTAGATAAAATAAACGCTACATCTCGTTTATTTGGTTATTCATCTACTAATATTACTTTATTGACTGTTTAGCAAGCAGTTGAAGAGAAATACAGGCTATGCGACGAGACTCTGTCGAAATTACTAGAATGGATCGCCGTGGTTGAAGAAAGACTCGCAAATCAGGAAGCAGTCAAAGAGGATATTGATGAATTACGTAACCAGATCAATATTTTGAAGGTCTGTTTATAGATTTATTTTTTTATTAATAGTGCAAGGATCCCTAAAATCTTATAGAGGTAATCAGTGTTTAAGTGTGACAGAATAAAAATTACTATTTCTTTTTTTCAGTTGATTAAAGACGACTTGGAAAGTCACCAACGTCAAGTTTCCGCTTGTGCTGACCAAGCTAAGCAATTGCTGGTGTCAGGCAGTGATGTTCTTGCTCCTCATGAGGTAATTAATCACCCGGACAGGTATCTTTTTCCATCACAATAGCATACTAAAAGTACACTATCATAGAAGTAGTACAAACAATTTTAAACAGTGATAATTAATGCACTTTCGTTTGTGCTTTTATTTATTATAATTTATGTTCGAAGATATTTTCTTCTTCTTTATGTTATATATTTCTAAATTTTCGCATCATATCGTAGGTGGCAGCACTTGAGCGCGGAGTGAGACAGCTGAAACAGCGCTGCGACAAGTGCGCTGAAAAGTGTGACAAGATGCTTAGAAGACTAGTGGTCGCTAGAGACGAACTCGGCAAATTCACGTGAGTATATCATACTTATTACCTTTTCTTCTATTTTATTTTTGACAGTGAACCCGTGTCCATCTTAAGGCCACTTTTTTTAAATATTTCGTTCTACAACTAAATATTTTAAAGTCACGTTTGCCTAACAGTGCCGTGCAATTGTCGAACTTTATATGCATGTTTCAGCTCGATACATATCACTTAACTTAGCCGTGATCCCCTAGTGAATACCGTTGCTGCATACGGAACGTTGGGCCGTAATTAAAATATTTTGTAAATAAATTAACGTATACATTACGCGTTTTAAATCGGTAAAAGTAGTTTAATTATTTATTGGAATATTAAAAAATAAGAAATAATGTCAATACGTGAACTTATTTATATAGTTGATGATATGCCACAATGAAAGTAGCTATTGTAAATTTTATAATTATATTTTTCCTATTACACCTCGCAGGAATGAACTGAACACGTTTAATTCGTGGATGGAGAACGCATATCGCACCCTCGAAGACAAGGAGGTGGCGCTCTCAAAAGTGGACAATCTGTCTGGACAGAGTGATGACGTCAGAGAATTTGTGTCTGACGTCATTGCCCACCAAGCCGACTTGAGGTTCATAACAATGTCAGCGCAGAAGTTTGTGGATGAAAGCAAGGTATTGTTACAATGTTAATAATGACAATTATAACATTTGGAAATCGGGATATTATATGAGTGGTAGAAATATCGAAAAAGTTTATACATTTATTTTCGTGCAACTAATCTACTTTCTGCAATTCCTTTCATTTTCATTTTGTGAAATACCGCCTCCCCGCGTGGGGCGTGAAGCAGACACATTTCTGTGTCTGTTTCACTGATCCACTTTATAAATGACACGGTAGCTCAATTGTTTGAGCACACCAGCACGGTTCACGTCTTGCTCGTGTCATATTTTTTTTCCATCTAAACTCGATTTTTTTATTTATACCAGAATCGGTTTATTCTAAATACTAATTCTTAAAATAATGTTAAATCTATGTAGTGTAAAACCGTTTAGCGTATACTCCCGAGTTTCGGGTACTAGAGACTGTTGCGTATAACAGTTCGGAAAAGTATACGTGAATGTGATAGTTATAAGATAAATGATGAAGAGAAAAGTTTAAGAGGGAAGCGAGGTAACGAAACCCAATGAGTGCTGTAGTGCAACTTATTCATTTCCTATCAATATTGTTTTAATATAATTTACAAGAAAGTGGAAAATAGGACGCTCACTAAGCTAACCTTATGAATTTGCTTTTAATATAAACATTGAAGTGAGCACGACGCTGACATAGATTTAGAATTATGCTAGCTATGCTATAAAAAAATATTATAAAAAAAATACAATCTTATTATTCTAGGAATTCCTAAACATCCTCAACGACTACCGTACATCTTTACCCGCGAGACTGTCTCACGTAGCAGTTCCCGTTGAAAGTGCGGTACGGGAACACGCTGGCTTAGCAAGACGAAGACATGCAGACCTCGCTTCCAGGGCCCAGAGACTACTCGATAGACTCAGGATGGCTAACGATGGCTCAGCGAGATACCGGGACGCCGTACAGAGGGCGCAAAAATGGATGAGATCGGTAAGTGTATTTAATAAATATGTAAGTAAATGCTGATATATAAAAGAAAGCATTTATAGCTCCCATATAAAAATTGAATAGTTCAACATTTAAATAAAACACTAACGGTTAAAAACGAGAATTATTTTAGTTAAACTTATTTACAAATTACTTTAACTACGACCCGACAGCAGTATCCGACACATCGGGCTGTAGGTAAGATAATTTGTAAATTAGTTTGACTAAAATATTTCGTGTTTTAAGCAGTAAAGTGTAAATCTGTACTTCTCGAATAAACTACAGACAGTATTTAGTTCACTATTTCCCCCCTTTTTTTGGGGCGCCGTTCAATAGTTTTCTTTGTATTGTATAAAAATGTACATGTTTGTATTACGTATTACAATTTGGAAATGAAAGTATGTATGAAAATATATGAATACTAGAATACAAGTTCATATTTTGTTTCAGTTGGAGCCACAAATTCGGTCAGTTCTCTCAGAGGGCGTGGCTGGTGAACCGCGTGCTGTAGAGGCTCAGCTGTCCCGGGCAAAAACATTACACAACGAGATCCTCTCTCAAGGAAGACTTATTGATAATGTAAAAGATGTAAGTGATGACATTACTTAATTAATAGTCCTTAAATATTCAAAGCAGAAATAGGCCGACAGCGCATAGCGCGGTATTTCCCCTAGCAAGTGATCCATGCTTGTCTGTCCTCTTATTTTTTTTTAAATCTGATGTAAACAGTAGTTATACTAGTAATTTAGGTTATGAACTTCTAATGTGATTTCAACAAGTTTTTCTAACGAAGGAATTATACTATTATAACATTTTTCTAAGAACAGACTTTTAAAGAGGGCGTTCGTTTCTTATTTTATGTCGGTATTTTTCCTTTTTGGAATTATAATGTTGTATCCTTACACTTTAATGTATATGTAAATTACAAAAACGTATTTAAATGAAACACGTTAACGGTTTAAAACCCGAATATAGTAGTTAAACTAATTTACAAATGATTTTAACTACGGCCCGACGTTTCGGATGCTTTGCAACAGCCTTGGTCACGTAGCACCATAACTGATAATTTGTCAAAATATATGTCGCGTTTTGAACTGTTAAAGTGTTTTATTGATATGTGTACTACTCGCGTACACTACAGAGAGAACAAAAAAAATAAATAAAATTGTTATACATATAACTGTATGTTTATCTATTTCAGGCTTGTGATCAACTAGTCAAATCGCTTGAAGGTAATTTAACTCCATCAGAAATCAGACAGCTAGAAGTTCCAGTGATAGAATTGCAAGAGCGTTACGCAGAGATAAGCAATGCCGTAGCTGGAAAATGTGGGGAGCTAGAAGCTGCCTTGTTGCATTGTCAGGGTCTTCAAGACGCGGCTGAGACACAAGCCAATTGGCTGAACCAGGCCGAAAATAACTACAAGTAAGTTTCTACTCTAAATCGTTTTTATTGACTACTGGCTGTACCAGCGGTTTCGTCCGCGTAGAAGGTTATTTTAGGCGTCAAAATTAGTTTTTTCAAACCTCATCTTTATGAATTATAGCTGTTACCAACAACTTCGTCCGTGTCCTGTTGTTTTTGCAAGTTTTAGCACATTTAGTGTCTGGGACTTTTTTGTAGATCATTTAAAGAGGAAACATTCTTTCATAAATTTTTTGGTATCTTGTTTTTACGGGGTACGCAACGGAAACCCTTAAAGATAAATAACTTTCCCCGTTTTGTCAAATTTCCACTATACCTTCTCTCTGATTGGTCGCAGCATAATGCCCAAAGCCTTCCTCGATAAATACTGCAACCATCACACATTTTTTTTAATTCGAACCAGTAATTCTTGAGATTAGCGCATTCAAACAAACAAACTCTTCAGCTTTATATATTCGTTAGATGTTGTTGAGATATGTATTTTGACTGGTTCCAAAATTTTACGTAAACGTCTTAAAGCTTTTTGGTAATGTGTACTAATAATAATTAATAAATGAAAATATCAAGCTCAAATTAATTAATGATAACGTAAACTAGTTTTAATGCCTTAGCCACTTACAATAAACACATTTTTTTAGAACTCAAATGAAGCCAGCATCCCTTATACGCGAGCGTTTAGAAGAACAGATACGTGAACAGCGCATCTCTCAAGCTGAAGTTGAAGGCCGACGCGCGGCGCTTGCGCAGTTACAAGCAGCTGCAAGAGAAGCTGCATTAACTCCATCTAACGCAAGAATAGCTAACAAGCTTGAACAACGTGCACAGGATATATTTTCGAGGCGAGTATTTCTTTGTAATATGCCTTTAAATATGCTAAAATGAATGCTGATCCATATTTCTCAAGTGTATATTCAGTTATTAATAGTGTGCTCATTAAAGGCCTTTGGTTCTTGTTGTAGATATGAGAAGCTCGTGGAGCGCGTGTCAAAGCGTGGTCAATTCTTGGATGAAGTCATGTCGGAGTTGAACCAATTCAATCAACTAGCCAGCCGACTGGAAGCAGCGCACGCGCAGCTTAGTGAATTGGACTCGAGGGACCTCGCAAGGATGTCAAGTGACGAATTAGCTTCAAGATTGGCCGATTTGGCTCATTCTAGGTAAGAATTATTTAAAAAAATACAGAAAACTCTTATTGACTCCTTGTACTTTGTAGAAAAGGAACTTATAAGAGTGAGTAATTTGCTTATGTATAATTCTAATATTTTTTACAGAGATAAACAAATGCCGCTACTTGAGGAATGCCTACGCATTGGCAGACAACTTGTCGCTAAAAAGGACGTCACTGATACACACGTAGTTCGTGATAGGATGAAGGTAGATATATAAAATTCCGTTTTTAATTGTATGACTTATTTAAGTTTTTTTTATACATCATTTATCTTAACTGTATAATTAAAATGAATGCATCTTAACAGGCGATCGAAAACCAATGGCGTGACTTCAACACCTCTCTAGAAGAGAAACAGAAACTCTCCAAGCAGAAGTCGGACCAACTCAACCAGTATGAGACATTACGAGCACAGGTTCGTTCTACAATACATCTATACACCCTCTTTTTCCCTTTTAACTCACACACAGTCATTTAAAATTAGTAATCAAAGTTTTAAAAAGATTAGAAAGAAAAATAAAACGTGCACAAACGAACAGAAAAACAGACAAAACTTTCAAAATCATTGTTTTGGACACTTGAGCTGATAAAGGTCTCCTAAAATATTTTTATCGTATATCATCCATATACAGCAATTGGTTACATTTTTATTGTACGCATCAGAATCTTTACTAGGTTTTAACATATAAAAAATATATTAAATAATTGCCTTTCTTTCTTATTATCAGGTCCTGGAGTGGCTTCAAGCTATCGAAAGTCGTATCAGTCACTTACGACCAGTGGCCGTTGATTTAGATGTTATCAAACAACAGCAAGATGAGCTTCGACCTCTCAATAAGGAGTACAGGGACTTTTCAGTAACTATTGACAAGGTGAGACAAAAATCTCATTTCCTTTTCTTTGGCTGAACCACTTAGCTACTTGGAAAGGGTTTACAACGTAAAGCAATATTTCAATGATAATAATTAAGTGCGTAAGGAATTTGTTACAAAAACTTGGTGATGAATGTGGAGTGGCGGCGAGTTTCTTGCCCATTCTTATCGTTCCTCGCCCTTCATTTGGAAAGTGTTAATAAATGTAAATATAGTGATTTTAATGTTTAACTACATTATCTTTCATAAATGTGCTTTCGTGAATGAATGATTCTTGATTTGATTTATGACAAATTTGTACTAAAAATATATGTAAACCCAATTACTTTTTAGCCACGGAGGAGTCTATGTATACGTGAATGTATCATAAATATTCATTATGACACATACTTATTGGAAACAAGTAAAAACCTCTACATTCAATTTGATTTCTTCCAGCTCAATGAAGCTGGTGCGGCCTATGAAGCTTTATCTCGTGGCGACCGAGCGGAATCGCCCAGGCGAAGACACGTCTACAGTCCCACTAAAAGACATACACCTAGTAAGTACATTTTCCACATATTTATTTAAATATGCGAATATACGACTACTAGTAATTGATTAATGACAGTAACAATAACTTGACGTTTTTGTTTTTATTTTGTAATGTTTGTTTATTTATTTTCGTCCAGCCATATTTCATTTATAATGTGTTATTATCAGGTCGTACTTTGGATACTCGTTCTCCTTCACCAGGAAAGGGTGGCGTGGTAAGCCCCGCATCAGCGCATTCTGCTTCTAGTGGATTTTCCTCTCGGCGTTCCAGTCAGGATGGATTCCACCTTGAAGGTTTGTAATAATTAAAATGCTTTATTAAATGGGGTTTGCAATCCTTTCACGAAAAGCTGCTTTCAATAGAGCACAAAAATAATGGTCCCCATTATAGATTCATTTAATCAGCTTTTAAACGTGTTTTAGATCTATCTCCAGTCCAACAACAAGTATCAGAGATCAACAACCGTTACGAACTAGTCGGAGCCAAGCTTTCTGATAGACAGAGCGAATTGGACGCTATGAAGGAAGAAGTCAAACGTCATCTTGACAGCTTCCGCACACTTAACAACTTCTTAGATAAGGTAGGATATCACTAGGTTATAAGTTTGATCCTCCGTTATTCTAAAAGCATATTGATGATATTTTCGGTTATCTATTTATTTATAATTATATCCATTTTCAACGAATTATTAACTTTGTAGGTTCAAAGGCAACTACCGAAGGAATCAGTGCCTAATACAAAAGATGAAGCGGATAAGATAATCAAACAGTCGCGCGCTGTCTTAGAAGAAATTTACGAAAAACAGAGTATTCTTGATTCCACTAAGACACAGGTAATAATACAGCTACATACGATTATTTAAAACCAATAGGCTTTGACAGTAAAGCAATATATGTATATTTTTTTTTTAGGTGCGTGAACTACTAAAACGCAAACAAAGCGTCCAAGGAGCCGATCGCTTACACGATGAGCTTCAAGATGTCACATCTAGATGGAAGGCTCTACACGATGCCTTCAAAGACAAGTAAGCTGTATAATAGATGCCTAATAGTATTTTTAGCTTTTACAAATATATACTCAAAGCTATACTTTCCATTTACCTTATTTAGGGTCCAATTGATGGAGGAGATGAAAGACCTACTTGACACTCACAGCAGCTTAGCTCTGTGGCTGAGCGCCAAAGAACGTATGATGAACGCTCTCGGACCTATTTCATCTGATTCGAGAATGGTTCAAACTCAAGTACAACAGGTACTATAATTGAAAGTAACCGTCTTTATTTAGTTTTACCTTAAAATTTTACAGATATTATAATTAACATGATCAAATCAGGTACAAGTCCTTCGGGAAGAATTCCGCAGTCAACAACCGCAGCTGTCTCACTTGCAAGAAGTAGCTGGATCGGCGTTCCAGAAGTTACCACACAATGACCTGGACGTTAAAAAGCTTCGCCAGAAGGTCCAGGACCTTCAAGACCGGTGGAGCGATTTACTCAATAAGTTAGTAGAGAATAGTTTTTATATACCTGTTCCGAATGAAATTTTGTTATAAATTGAATAATAATACATTAAAACCGTTTTTCGCTTGAAACTTGTAAGCTCCACGAAGTAACAACTCTGGCATCTGTAAATAAACAGTTGCGTGACTTACGTAGAATACGCTGTAATTAAATATATGTATCCCTGGAAGTTTATATTAACCTCTCGATATATTATATATGCTTATAATATTTGTTTTTTTTTATTAAGACTGGAACAACGAGCTCAAAGCTTAGGAGCAGCAGCGGATACATCTCGAGAATTCGATGCTGGCCTGGAGCGATTGCGAAACGCATTGCACAACATCTCTGACAAGTTGGACGACGTCTCCACCCGACAGGAACCAGCGGATCAATTGCGAGAGGTTGAGGTAATCATTCAATCAAAAAATCTTGTCATAATATGGTTAGAAAGTGATCTATACGTTTTCAGAAGTACTACATGGATCATCGCCTTTACCAATGCAATTAGGCGTATTAATACGTATTGGGTTTATTAACCCATGTAATAAATTAGAAGATAAGGTCAAAATAATTATATGCCTATAAGATAATCTAGCTGAATTAGAACCGTCTAGCTCAAATTCGCGCGCCAACGACGACCGTTGGTTTTCCCGCCATTCATGCTCGCACCACGTCAGGCCACAACAGACCACCTTAATCCACTTGACGTCACGCTTAACTCCACCTCTTGTTCAAATATTTCTAATACTAGATTATATTCGCTTAGAACCTGGAGCGTCAACTGGAAGGCCAGCGTCCTCTATTAGCAGATCTTGAAGCAGCAGGAGCAACGTTAGCTGAAGTGCTGGGAGAGCCCAGTTCACGACAAGACATACAAAACAAATTAGCAGCCGCTGTCAGGCAATATGACCAATTACAAAGAAAACTGGATAACAGAAAGGCAGAAATTGAGGCAGCACTAAAGTAAGTTATGGACCTCCAGATAGAATTGGTTGTCTCACTATTTTGTATACTGAGTTTATTATTCACAGGGACGGTCGCAACGTGGAAGAAAGTGTGTCCCGAACATTAGGATGGTTGCAATCAGAGCTGGGTGCACTACCCGCTCGCTTACTGGTTTCGGCTGACAAGACACGTCTGCAGCAAGCGTTAGATACACACGAACCACTGTATCGTGGCCTAACACAGCGTGAACATGAAATCATTATGCTCTTGGATAAAGGTAATGTTTAAAATCTATTCAAAATACTAATTCGTAGAGGTTTTTAACTAGTTTTATGATATATAATATGTACTTACTATTTTTGTAGGCCGCGAAATGGAAAAGAAACCAGCATTCAGCGGTCTTCGCAAAGATCTAGATCGAATTCAGAGTCAATGGGAAAAGCTTAAGAGAGAAACTGTTGACAGATACACTAGGTTGCAGACAGCTATGGTACGTCAATATTTATTTAAGTACTTATTTTATGGTCCTTTGAGCCGGACAGAAAGTCACCTAAGTATTATTTAAGTGTATTTTTTATAACATTAGTCTGTTTCTTATAGGAACATTGCCGCAAATACAATAAAGCGCAGGAATCATTCCTACCTTGGCTTAGTGATGTAGAGAAACAGTTACGTGACTTACCGCCAGTGGCCTTCACACGTAAAGAGCTTGAGAGACAACTAAGAGATCTGCAACACATCAGAAATGATGTCTGGAAGAGGTATAGTCACAATACTATATTTTACTATTGTTGTATGATACTTAATATCCTATGCCACTAAATTATAATATTTTTGTAGGTCTGGTGAATATGAAAATAACAGAACGCTCGGCGAAACATTTATATCCGCGTGTGATGTGGACCAAGACATAGTTAGAAAGCAACTCGATTCCATGAAGGAGAAATGGGATAGGATCAACAACGGTATGTGATTTTTGAATATTTAAAGATAATCCTATAGACATTATTTTCAAAGTGATTTAACATGAATGCGCAATTAAGCAGCAATATTTTGTTGTTCCCTCATTTTAATAGATTTGGTTTTTGAACCATAATACTTCTGTTAATACTCACATACTATAAAATGAGTATGTTGAATAAGTCAATTCTCAAATACAATTTTTCAGAGGTGCTCCAACAAATCGAATACTTGGAATCTACGAGCCGCAAATTGGGTGACTTTTTGGAGAAAGTGCGTGCCGTAGAAGCGCCTTTAGCTAGATGCGAGGAACGCCTGGAGGCAGCGCTTAGCTCACCACCAGCTGCTGCAAAAGAGGCGATAGCAAGATTAACGGAACACGTGCATGCATTGCAAGCGCCCTTACAGGTAATAATCGATGCAAACATACTTGCCGATTACTTACTCTACTATGTATATAGTTCCTGGTCCAGAGACACAAGACTCAGTCCTAGAAATATATTTTGGGCAGAAAAAAAATCAAACAATTAAATATAACATACGAGGAAAAATTGCAATGGTATCATGCAATGAAAACTAGTCGCATGATATAATGCTCATGAAGGACTAAATCCCATCTCTATGATATTATAAAGCTGAAAAGTTTGTTTATTTAAACGAGCTAATCTCAGGAACTACTGGTTTGAATTTAAAAAAATATTTCTTGAGAGCATTTATCGAAGAAAGCTTTACTCTATAAAACATTACGCTGAGATCTAGTTTAGCGAAAAAAACTGTAGAAAATTCGGAAACAACAGTGTAAATTATTATTTCGCTATAAAAAATGTCCCCGACAGAATCTTTTACATTAACTTGCAAAAATGTCGCTGAAACAACTATAATTAAGAGAGTGAGAAGGTATTGTGCAAACAAATTTGATGCACAAATTCACTATTCTTCGCGGGCAAAGCTGGCACAGCTAGTTATAATTTAAAGATCATGTCTACAATAATGAAGTGTTTAAATTAATAAATTTCAGAGTGTCAACATGGCAGCAGATGATATAGTCGCTCTTGCAAATGAATTTGCTGGACCTGAAGCAGCGGCGCGTGCTCGGCAAGTACTAGACGAAACGACGCGCTCGCTAGCTGATCGCCTTCGAGATTTGGAGACCAGCACAGAGAAGGCCGGTGAGGAATTGGCTGGAGTGGCGATGGCCGTTTCTGTCTTCCAGGTACGATTTAATTATAAAATTCACTGATTGTCACGTTATAAATTGATGCATACAACATTTTTTATAAGAAAATTTCTTATCGATTTATCGACAACCGGCATGGGGTTAATCCCATCGGGTCTAACATGTAATCAACTTCTCATTTGGACTACATCTGGAAATCTAGATATTAAATGGGTGATAGGAATATCGAACTGCCATCTGAAAACCACCGTCCACAGGTGAAAAAGCTATCAAGTTAAATCGCGCTTCTGTTTCAGTCTTTGGATTTCCGAATATCCAAAGCCAAAGTAGGTAGATGGCGGATCTGCGATATTGTTTCACCTACATCAAGAGAATCCAATACTTGTCTTCTTCAATTGCACTCTGTCTGCCTCTAAAAAAATCCTTAAATTTATAGTATCAATGACTGGTTTATGTCATTGATGGATTTATAATTTTTTTTTGATTTTAGGATAAAGTGAAGGGCGTGCAAGTTACAATAACGGACCTAGAAAAGGAGTTAGACGCTATGAAGCCGCCTGGTCGTGACCTGAAGACGGTGCGATCACAACTCGATGAAGTCACCAAGTTCTGGCAAAAATTGGAAAGCGCAGACGCAAGAGTGTCTGAAACTGATATGTACGGGCAGAACCTTATTGACATGGGCCATGGGGAAACAGCGAAGGCCAATGAAAATGTAAGTGACATTCTTGTGTGGGCATGTAATTAGATGCACCAAATTGAAAGTTCCTCTAAGCTTTGTTTCACAATTTATAATTTATATATTTTTTGTATATGCTCTTATATATTTTACTAGCGACTCGCCCAGGCTTCACTTGGGTCCAATGCTGATAATAAAAGTTGTGAACGTTGTATATAAAAACATTCCTTTATCTATTGAAAACCCCATCAAAATCCGTTGCGTAGTTTTAAAGATTTAAATGTAAATAGGGACAGAAAAAGTCACTTTGTCTTATACTATGTATTGATACGAGTATAGTCTAATAATGAGTCACTACGTTACAATTCTTTTCCTAGGTCTCGGTTCTGCGTCAACAACTCAAGAAACTGGAACAAAAAACCAGACAGAGAGAACAGGATCTAGACGATACTCTTAGCAAGTTGGAAGCCTTCTACAAAGCTTACGACTCGGTCATGGATGATATTGATGAGGTAAATATTGAATAAGACTTAGTCGAACATAAAAGAAGAAATATGAATAAAAATAAATGAAAAGACGAATTATTTTTTGAGTTTAGTTCAATATTTCGCATTTTTTTATTACTTTACTTGAAATAATGTCTGTAGATTACGCGAGTAGTACACATTTGAATAAAACACCTCAACTGTTTAAAACGCGATGTATATACATATTAATTAAACTTATTTGAGAATTATTTTAACTATGGATCGACATAACTCCCCGAGACCACAGGAACTGCAAAGCATCTGAAACGTCGAGCCGTAATTAAAATAAATTTCAAATAAGTTTAACTAATATATATCGAGTTTTAAACCGTTGAAGTGTTTTATATAAATAGTTTTCTTTAATTTAAATTCAATGATTAAACATTCTTCAATTAGTTTACTTTACTACTCACATAGACCAATTAAGTTATATTTTTTTCCATTGATATTATATCATACTAATCTTCTATGCAGGCGGCAGAACAAGTTCGCAGCCTCAAACCGGTTTCCACAGACGTAGATCAAATTCGCGCTCAACAAAAGGACTTCGCTGATCTGAAACAGCGTTCAGTGGAACCGTTAGGACAAAATGTATCCCATTGTAACAAGATCGGTCAGGGCCTGGTCAGATCTGCGTTACAAGGTGTTTCAACCCAGGAGCTGGAGAAAGATCTTGAAAAACTTAACGACAAATGGAATAATCTAAAAGAAAAGGTATGTAGAAAGACTAATAAATTATTTATTATAACAGAGTGCTAGGAGTTATTGTCATCACGAGCGTAATATCGAAATTTGGTTTCTATTGGAGTGTAGCTATTTATTTTTAACAAGCTATTGTCGCGATTTCGCGTTCAATAGTTATTTGGTGAATCAAAATTTGTTTTTGCGTTTTCTCCTCATCTTTATTTTATATTTTTTGAGCTGTTATGACATCGTCCGCATTTTCGTCTTTCCGTCCGTTCTTGCAAGTCAATCAAGAGAAGTTTCCTAATAATAGATAATAGATTCAAAACTTTTGTATATAGTTGTCTTATGTACTCCTTTTAAATATTTTAGCAATAATTTATGTTAGAAACGAACGTAAGTCGATGTACCGTGTATGTGAGACCCGTAATAATGTTACGCGAGAAACCGGCGCTGATCCTTACTTTGATTCTATTACAAGTTGTAATAAAAGAGAATTGTGACTATACACACTTTATTATAAGTTCGAATTCTGTACTCTCAATAATTTGAAATACTAATTTAATTTATTAACAGCAATAAAAAATAAATATATAAATAATACATATCCAATGTTTCCTAGATGAACGAACGCGGTCGTCGTCTAGATGTTGGCCTTTTGCAATCGGGCAAACTAGCGGAAGCCCTTGCAGGTCTCGCCCGTTGGCTCAGTGACACAGAGGAACTTGTACGCAACCAAAAACCACCATCTGCCGATTACAAAGTGGTGAAAGCTCAGCTACAAGAACAGAAGGTATGGCTTGACTTAAAAAAAGGAATATATAGTATTTTTGTTTTTCATCAAATATAGTAATAGTGAATTCCCATTTCCCCACGTTGAGCATGGGGCGAACATATTTCTGTGTCCGTTTTACGGGTCGGTTCTTTTACTGGCAAGTAGTTCATAATAATAATATTTTCACATGCTATTGCACTATATAAATTAAAATCGATTTTAGATTGATAAAAAATCTTAATACGTAAGTGTTGAGGTTGAAATTACAATGTGCGACATGTGCATGGTATCAAAAAATTGAAAATATTCGACGACGATGTGTAGGACACGGTAACTTAGTTGGTTAGAGCAACACCATGAAACGCTTTACATGCATGTTCAAGACCCGCCCGTGTCTTATATTTTTCAACTTTTTTCAATCTCAAAAAACACTCAACGGTTTAAAAACCGAAATATTTTTTAAATTTTTTTTAAATTTTTTTTTTTCTTCCGCCCCCCCCTTTTGCTGCCCTCCCCCCCCCCCCCGCCCCCCCCCCCCCCCCCCCCCCCCCCCCCCCCCCTTTTTTTTATTTTTTTTTCCTCTTTTTTTTTTTTTTTTTTTTTTTTTTTTTTTTTTTTTTTTTTTTTTTTTTTTTTTTATCGATTTTTCTATTTATATAGGCAAGTAGTTGATCAGACTTCACCCTGCCTGACCCATACAATGTGTCGTTTCCCCGGGATTCGAATCCAGGACTTAAAGCGCTTTAGGCACGTTTAACGGTGTGGCTCCAGAGCCATTAAATAAAAGCCAAACGTCGTAGTTGTAAATATACATTATTTTGTAGCACTTTAATTTAATTACCTACTATATTACCTTAAATAAAGTTATCTAACATAAAAGAAAAAGGATTCAAGTGATTTTTTCATCTACAGTTCCTCAAAAAGATGTTGATGGACCGTCAAAATTCAATGTCGTCCCTCTTCGCTATGGGCAATGAAGTTGCAGCTGATTGCGATGCAAATGAAAAGAAGGCCATTGAGAAACAGCTTAAAGGCCTCATGCAGAGGTTTGATGGTCTAACGGCAAGCGCTCAGCAGCGGATGCTAGATTTGGAGCGGGCTATGAAGGTAGGTCTACAAACATGTAATCTTCGCAATAAACATAATACACACACAGACACATGTAACACACACACACACACATGTAATTTGATATATATATGAAGCTAAACTTTAGTACCAAATTGTAGAATCACAAATAAATCTCTATTAACGATTTAAAACGTGAAATTTATTACTTAAACATATATAGAATTTTACTCCGCGGTCACGGCTGCTGCAAAGCATCCGAAACTTCGGGGCGTAATTAAAATAATTTGTAAATAATTATAATATATATTTAACGTTTTAAACCGTTATTTTATTTAAATATGTAGTACTCGCGTGCGGACAGTACTTAAAACCAAGGTGTGCTTATAATTTGTCATATGATGATTAGCTATATCATTACAATTTTATCATGGGTAATTAGCAAACTTCACATCATTTTTTTGCTCAGGTTGCAAAAACATTTGAAGAACAACTCCAGCCCCTAGTAGAGTGGCTCGGTGTCACTGAGAGGAAAGTGAAGGCATTGGAATTGGTGCCAACTGACGAAGAAAAGATTCAACAGAAAATCAGGGAACACAAGGTAGATTTGTTAGGCCTTTCAAATTGTATGTTCAAAGTCTTCAAAGTTGAACAAAATCAAGTATTGTTTCCGACATAAAAAAAACAACATTGATAATTTGAAAACTTTATAATTTTTTACATGTTACAATTTTTTTTTGACTTGGTTGAGCTCAATTGGTACCAACAGAACGGAACGCTGACGATGCCGGTTCAAGTCCTGCCCGAGTCGAAAAATTTTTCAATTTATTTTCGATTTTTAAACACCATTGATAGTATTAATTTTAGCTTGTTTACCGTTTTTTTATTATGTAATGTATTTTTATATTTACAAGCAATTTTTCTCGATATTCATAAACTGATAGAAAGTAACTAACAAATACTTCTTACAGAACCTTCACGACGATATCTTATCGAAACAACCTCCATTCAAAGAGTTGACAGAAACAGCGTCGACTCTCATGAGCCTTGTTGGTGATGACGAAGCAGCAGCTCTTGCTGACAAACTGCATCTAGCAACTGACCGGTAAGATTATCCTTTGAAAGTATTTCTTCTAAATAAATAGATAGAGCCTAGGAAATTGTCGTTAGTGATATTAAAATTAAACATAAAGCTTTCCAATCTTCTCTTTTAAAGAAAGACAAATGTGACGTTTTGGATCTAGAAACTTCATTATTTTTCACGTCTCTGCAATCATCATGGGTATCAAAATATAAAGTCTTCATTTTTCTTAAATTTTAAATAGTGCTTGAAAATATGATTATTTTGATAGAATAAGTTTTATAACTATCTTTAACATATTTTTAGAGTAAAACTAAATCTTTTAATTTGAAAAATTAATGTATAATATTAATGAAATGTAAAGAATTGTTGCTTAATTATTTTTATGGTGTAATTATATAAATTGTAAATCAATTTAGTTATTATTGTTAGTTTACATATTATATTAGGTTACTTTCAGTATATACTAGCATCATTTTGTAGGACGCGTACTTATAGATACTGTCGCATTAAGGTTTATACCGGTTCGGCCTTTATTGTTTAAATTATGTCTTAAGTAACAATATTACAATACCAACGCAACATATATTACAATATTGACGTAAATATCTTATTTTCTTCTAGGTACCAAGCGTTAGTAGACCACAGTCTGAATATCGGTGAACTTCTGGACAACTCGCGTAAAGGTCTCCGCCACTTGGTGCTGACTTACCAAGACCTGTCCGCCTGGATGGATGGTATGGAACAGTATCTAGCAAAGAGAAAGATACTACCTGTGCATATGGAGAAACTGCTTAGACAAATGGACGAACTAGCTGTAAGTAAATTAATAATTGATTTTAGATTTTTAAAAATTTACGACACGGACAGGACTTGGTTCCGTACCGGGTCGTAAATCGCCTTCGAATTTTGTTAGCTTATAATTTCTACGATAACAAAAAATACGTCATCTAAATTCAGGCAGTTGCTCGACAATTGTACTTACATTTATTTTTATTTATGCTTATTAACTGCACACTTTCCTGACAAAGGCAAAAACGGAAGAAATCTCCGAAAAGCAGCAAGAAGTTGACGGCACAGTGGAGTCAGGACTTGAACTCATGAAGCACATATCTGGGGACGAAGCTCTTCAGCTAAAAGACAAATTGGATGCCCTCCAGAGGCGTTATAACGACCTTACTTCACGCGGAGCCGACTTGCTGAAGCTTGCTTCTGATACATTACCCCTTGTGCAGCAACTATACAACTCGCATACAAAGTAAGTAAAAGTTTTACAATATCGACAGCGCATCTGATGCAATTGTTATATATTATATTTCACCTCCTATCAAGTGAATCTAATGCTCGTCTGTCCTACTCTTAATATTAAAAAATATTGTAGTTTTCTTTACTACTCTTGCAAACTAAATTCTTCGCTCAATATAGTATAATAAATTAAGCTACAACATTCATGATATAGATACAAATTTAATTACGTGAGTTTGGCTAATTTTGTTTATTAATTTAGATTGACAGAATGGATGGCCAGCGCAGAGACCTGCTTGCAATCCGTAGAACCAAGAGAAGAAGACATTTTGAGGCTTGAAGCTGAGCTGCAAGAGTTCCGGCCGTTGTTAGACAACATTAATCTTGTTGGACCTCAATTGTGTCAGGTACAAAAAATTAAAGGTTTTATTCGTTACATTGGATGTTAAAAGAATATAGAAACAAATTCACCAAAAACATAAATTTCATGCTTAGAATTAAAAAACATCAATATGCATTTAATGTTTTCCCCTTTATGTATTATATCGTCAATTTCTTTTCGACAGATATCGCCAGGAGAGGGCGCTACTCACGTAGAAGGCATTGTTACTCGAGACAATCGGCGGTTCGACGCTATTGCAGAACAAATACAGCGCAAAGCCGAGAGACTGTTGCTCAGTAAGAAGGTAAGCCAAATTCTTGTTTTTTTTATCACTTACCTCATCATAAACAAGAAGCGAACAAGAAGTGTTAAGTACAATGTTTATTGTAACGAAAAAATCAATTGTAGTGCTATCGCTATGAAAATTGTTCTCTACTTGCTACCGGCAAACTTTATAGCGTTTTGTTATGTTTCATTACTTGAACATAACGCACGATAGAAAAAAGTTTGTAAAACTACAAAAGCCACAATATTTACTTATGAATTTAGTAATTCTTAAATGTTTTTGAGTTATTCTGGAACTTAAAACGGGTGCATTAACCGCCGAGCTCGTTTCATACTTACTACGTTAAAACAAATTCAAAGCTTTTTTGGAGCATATTTTTCAGTTGTCTCTTTGACATTTTACACATTATTAAAAACAATTAAAATTTCCAGCGCTCTCTGGAAGTAGTAGGCGATATGGAAGAACTCGTTGAATGGCTACGGGCTGCTGATGCTCAGCTTCGGGCTGCGGAACCTCCGGCTGCTTCCGCCGATGTGCTACGGGCTCAATTGGCTGAACAAAGGCCACTTAGTGACGATGTGGCAGCACAACGCGTACGAGCTAGAGAACTTCTTAGTCAGGCTAAAAAGGTAAGATAGAAAGCGCACTAATTAACGACTTCTTACGGTAGTCGTATCGAGTGATTTGTAAAACAATGTTTGACAATATGCAGAAAGTTTCAAAGTAGCTATACCATTTTATTGCAAATTCCCACTCTCTTTTCTTGTGTCTTGGCATCAATAACTAAGTAATAATAATAATAGTAATAACTGGCAAATATAACAGATTGTGGCTTTTAGAGAACTAATAATCTCAGTTTAAGTCCACTCCACATTCGTTTGTAACTGATTTGTTATCAGTTATGTTAACTCTATCTTCTTCCCCCTATTGATCCCCTCCTGATGATAATCTATCATTTTAATGCCTTGAAATGCCGATATATTGCCGTTGTAATATAGCATTTTTAAATTTTGTCTTTCAAATAATTTTAATTATATTACAAGTAATCACCGTTCCTTACAGTTAAATAACTTTAAAATTCCAATAGGTACTTCGGGAGTGTCAATCAGGTGACGAGGCTAGTGTGATCCGCGAACGAAGTGAGGAACTGAAGGAGATGATGGAAGAAGTCGGCCAGCTTAGTGCTGCTCGACTTGCCGCTTTGGAACAGGCTTTACCGCTTGCTGAACACTTCGCTGACACTCACCACGGGTATGACATGTTAAATTAATAAGCCGTAATATGTAGAATAAGTATACATTGACCAAAGGATTGGTCTCCCTGTGACCACGGGCTGCAAAGTATCCGAAACGTCGGGCTGTAGATAAAATATCATATTGTATACGTTATAGCCATTAATTCTATATATACACTACTATATAGTCATATTTTGTAACAGACTCTCTTCCTGGTTGGATGATATGGAAAAGCAGGTGCAAATGCTAGCGATGCCGGCGCTCAGACCAGAACAAATCGTCCAGCAGCAAGACAAGAATGAGGTTCGTTGTCCTTATTTATTAGTAGGTTGCCAGAAGCAGAGTGGCCTAATGACATGAAACATGATTTTCAATAAGGAGGAAAATGAAAATGCGCTTACTTAGGCAAAAATGAATTTGTGCTATTATTTGGGTGTGCATTATGTTAACAATTTTCGGTCTCGTGTAGGTTTCCTATTGTTTAACTATAGAGATTTAAATAACTCAAGTGATAAAATTACAGTTAGACTACTCTACCTCTAGCGGCCGAAAATTACAATCACATTTTATCAATTTCATAAAATTTATGATACAATACCATTGTTTTTGTACAGATGCTCCAACAATCGATCGCCGGGCACAAGCCTCTAGTAGACAAACTCGTTAAGACAGGAGAAGCTCTATCACGCCTTTGTGGTGAAGATGATGCCGCCAAAGTGCAGGATATAGTTGAAAATGACTGCGACCGATACAACGCGCTTAGGGCAGAGCTGAGACAACGACAACAGGAATTGGAACAGGTTTGTAATCTTTGGGATCGTTGTGATCTTTCTATCTTTGGATTTTTAACCGTTTCTTTAACTCATGTTATGAATATTACAAGATGAAAAAAATACGATGCTGGCGGGACTCTTATTAACTTAGCTACCGTGTCCGTTAATTTTTTTTTAAATCTAAGATCGATTTTTAATTTATATTAACCCATCAATCAATATATTAAACATTTCAAATATTATTACTATTTGCATAATCTGTTTTTTGGTTTTCACACCGTTTTTATTCTATAGGCCTTACAAGAATCTTCAGTATTTGCTGAACGATTGGAAGGTATGGTTCGCGCCCTGGCTGGTGCTGCTGATCAATTACAACGTGCTGAACCTGTATCAGCACACCCGCATAAAATACAGTAAGTTTATTTGGATTAAAAGTGGTGATTAAAAATACAATGAGTAAAATCAGAAATGTACTACAATTGTTTTTATTAAGAATATAGGAGAGCATAAAATATATTTTAAAAAGGCTTACAATAATGCAGTATAGGCGTCCTTTTCGCTAACAAACTAACTCTTCCACAAAGTCAATCATATACTGCCTGTTATTTACACGAGTAGTACACATTCAAATAAAACACTTTAACTGTTTAAAACGCGATGTATATTAGTCCCCTGTGACCACGGATGCTAATTAAAGCATCCCTCACTTCGGACCGTAATTAACATCTATGTTTAACTCATATACATCGCGTTTTAAACCGTAAAGTGTTTTATTTAAAAGTCAATCATTATGTAATTTACAATGTAAATGAAATTTGTTTATTCGTCTAGAAGATTGGGGTTCTAGATCAAATCTAAATTGAGCCGTATTTTTGCAGAGACCAAATCGAAGAAAACAACGCATTAATTGAAGATCTGGAGAAACGTGAAGAAGCGTATCGTGCAGTGCAGCGAGCAGCTACCGATGTCATGAGCAAGGCAAGCGCCACTGATCCCGCTGTTAGGGACATAAGGGGAAAACTCGAAAAACTTAACAAGTACGTAAACTTCATGATAACATAGGTAATAAATAAAGATTACACAGTAACATAACAATCATAAGATATAATTTATTTTATGTGGATGCTGGTTCAAAAGCTGCTCGAGTCTTATTTTTTTAATATATTATATGATTTTTAATAAAGTTGTTTCTTTAATTATTAATATTCTTGTAGACTATGGGACGAAGTTCAGCGCACAAGCAACAACCGCGGTCAATCTCTGGAGAGTGCTCTAGAGTTGGCACGACGCTTCTGGGAACAGCTTGAAGCCATAATGGGTCAGCTGGGTGAGCTGGAAGATACCTTGGCAGCTCAACCGCCGCCCGCCGCTCAACCCCACCACATACAACACCAGCAACTGCAACTCCAGGAGATCAGACAGGAGATCGATCACACTAAGCCAGAGGTATGTAATGATAGAATAATTTTTGACTCGTTGGTGTAATGGTAGCAATTTACGGCTAATAATAAATGGGTGGTTGAAATTCTATCCGGGTCACGAACCGACCTCTACAGATGGAAAAGCCATGAAGTTTAATCACGTTTCGGTTTCAGTCTGTCGATTTCAGAATATCCAAAGCCACAATAAGTCTCTGTCGATCTTCTTTAGATGGTATAGGGTGAGATATATCATGTATTACAAGATAACTTGAATTTAATTTACTTAAACTAAGGATTCATTTTTTTGGCTCTTTGGCAAGCTATATATGGGAGCCATCTTATAATTTGGAATGTATCTTAAATTCAAAATATTTTTTTTCATAACAAAATATTCTTATAAAGGTTGAGAAAGTACGCAAGACTGGTTCAACTCTGATGTCGATATGCGGCGAACCGGACAAACCAGAAGTTAAGAAACATATTGAAGACCTCGATACCGCCTGGGACAATATCACCGCTCTGTATGCGAGAAGGGAAGAGAACCTCATAGATGCCATGGAGAAGGCTATGGAGTTCTATGACACGCTAAACGTGAGTATACATTACTCTGTACTTACTAGAATCTAGTGTATGTGTAGACAATTAAATATAATAATAAATCACTTATATAAACAAGGTAAAACTCGAAGTAAGTATTAGCTATGCTAGCGACTTCTCCCGCTGAAAAAAGGTATTTTGGGCGTCAAAATTTGTCATTTTTGCAAACCTCTTTACTTTCATAAATTTACAGCTGTTACTCACGACGTCGCCCATGTCCCGTTGTTCTTACAAGTTAATCTTAAAAGATAAACCCATACTGTCGGGGACCTTATTTAAATGAACTTAAGTGGAATATATACATAGATTTTGGGTATTTTGTACCATTTTCGCAACGGAAACTCTTAAATATTAATAATTGTTCCCTTTTTTTTTCATATATTGTTTTTTTTGCTCCTATTGGTCGCAGCGAGTTTTATTTTCCTCAATAAAAGCTCTAACAAAATATTTTTTCAATTCGAAAACGTAGTTTCTGAGATGAGCGTGTTAAAATAAACTCTTTAGCATTATAATATTAGTGTAAATTTAAGAATTTTAAAATATCGTCTTTAAAAAGTTTTTTTATTTTTCTTTGAGTGCATGGTAGATATTATCAAGCAAAGTCTACGTTTTATAATATATGCAAAATTATCTTTCTAGAACCTCCAAGAATTCCTGGACTCGGCTGAAGAGAAATTCTCGCGTATGGGACCTTTGGGATCCGATATTGATGCAGTCAAACGCCAAATTGCTCAACTGGCTGCCTTTAAAACCGAAGTCGACCCTCATATGGTGAAAGTTGAAGCGCTTAACAGGTATGTTTTAAGATGCCATGTGTTATAAATTACAAATACAAATTGTTTTTCTTTTTCCCACTGCTTAAACCAAAGGTTACGGTGTTATCCTGACTAATTTCACATCTTTTCTTAAATACTGACAGGCTGAAGATAGACAAACTTTGTAGTTTTCATTGTTTTATCGACGTGACAACTGTGTATTATATGAAAAATATATCGTTTGTCTGTAATTAGGATATTCCTAAAATCCAATTAACTATCTCAATGTTTAAGTTACTAATTTAATATTTTGTTCCCGTTCCACGAATCTGGGCACACCAACAGGAGTTTAACGAGGCAAGAAATAAAGTTCAAATTTGTGTGTCGCTTTTTGTGCCGTGTATGCGTAGTGACCTATTTCTATTTGTCTGTATATTTGTTACTAAAGTGTTGAAGAAAATAAACATATAACCAACGCAACGCAAACAAAGTATAAGAATCAAAAGAAAACGCTTTTACTGTGTGCATGTTCCTAAGCATAGTGTTTATTTTTCGGAATAAATGTCTCATAGAGTTTTATGAAGCATCATGCACTAATATTTTAACAGCTTATAAACCATTTCTTGACATCTTACTTTCTTCGTTTCATTGTTCATTTCTTCATATTCAGTCTTTCCATAATTAAGGCCGCTAGAGGCAGAGTAACCTAACTGCAATTTTGTGACTTGAGTTATTTATATTGTTAACATAATATTTACACTAATAATTGTACAAATTCTTATTCGCCCATCATAATTGCACATTTTCATTTATAATTATGTTTTTTTGTTATTAGGCCAATCTGCCTCTTGCAGCCTCAATTTATCTGATAATTACAAAGTCTTCATAAGAATTCCAATTTTAAAATTGACTTCAATACAGGCAAGCTGCGGAACTAACGGAGCGAACATCCTCCGAACAAGCTGCAGCCATCAAACAACCCTTAACAGAGGTCAACAGCCGCTGGTCTGCGTTGCTGAGAGGCATGGTCGAAAGACAGCAACAGCTGGAAAGGGCTCTGCTAAGGCTAGGACAGCTACAGCATGCTCTTCGTGATATTCTGGCTTGGATACAGCACACTAGCGACACTTTGGATACCTTAACACCGGTGAGAATTAAGATCCTTAAATTCGACACACTTCCGTCCAAAATTAAGAATGTTTTAAATATTTTTCACATGTTAGCACTATGTAACTTAAAAAATGGATTCTCTTGTTCTAACAGTAACGGTTGATACTGTAGCTCAATTGGTTAGGGAAATAGCAAGGAACGCTGTGTGTGTATGACGGTGCAAGTCTTGCCCGTGTCGTAAATTTCTTTAATAAATATAAATATGGCTTTTAATTTAGAAGAAAAGTGTTTATAAGATTTTTTATCTCGAAAATCGTTGTACCAATTCTATATTTCTTTTTTAGGTTGCCGGAGACCCTCAAATCTTAGAGGTGGAACTGGCTAAACTAAAAGTGGTGGTTAATGACATCGCAGCCCACCAAGCCAGCGTTGATACGTTGAACGAAGCTGGAGCGCACATTGTACACCACGGTACGAATGATTTAAAAATATTCTTTTTAATGATAGAGAACAGACATGGGGTTCGCGTGAACGGTAGATGATATACCCAAGCCACATAAAATCTACCCAAGATGCGCTGTCGAACTAATTTGGCTTTAGATATTTGGAAATCCACAGACTGATACCGAAACGCGATTAAACTTGATGGCTTTTTCATCTGTGATCTTACGTGTTCGTACCCCGGACGGAATTTCGATATTCCTACCACCCATCTAATATCTAGATTTCCAGACGAAGTACAATATGGTGAAAAATTATAAATTAATTAGAAAATTGGACCAAGTCGGGATCAAACCTACGAACCCTTGATAGTAAATTACACAAAAGCCCGACAAAATCTTAAACACTTCAGAATAATATTATATTTAAGCTTTCATCCAATTATGTGATCTCTAGGCACCGATGAAGCGGGCGAAACCGCCGAAAAACTGACAACACTCAATAGGAAGTGGCGCGAATTGCAACAAAAAGCTAGAGATCGCCAATCAGAACTCGAAGACGCACTGAGAGAAGCGCAAAGGTATGAAATTATGAGTTTAAATGGTTATATTTTTATTTTATTGTAGCTTTATCGCATCTGCAATTGAAAACCGAATCGAAAAATTTTACGACAAGTCCTGTACTTGAACTGGCGTACTCAGCGTTTTGTTGCGCTACCGTGGTCTACACGTTATCGTCAATATAATTTAAAACCTTAACACTTACCCATTAAAGTTCAATGTTCAGTTCTTGGCAGCTTAAGTAATTGAAGATGAAATAACAAAGTTTTAGCTGTAATATTTGTCACATGTGTATATAATTTATCATATCTTTTTTAGCTTTAATGCTGAAATCGGTGATCTCCTATCTTGGCTATCTGAAGTCGACAGTGTGGTAGTCGCATCCAAACCTGTTGGTGGTTTACCGGAGACAGCCACTGAACAACTGGAAAGGTTTATGGTAAGTTATTGTAGTTTTTCGATCTAACTCTAAATACACTTTTAGATTGAAATCCTTTAACATATAAGAATGATATGAAGTAATATCTTAAGTTCTTATTAATGTAATAGTTAACATATAAAAATATGTAATACCCACTCTTCACGTTATAGGAGGTATATAACGAAATAGAAGCAAATCGCCCCAAGGTGGAGGCAGTGTTGCAACAAGGCCAGGAATATATCAAGAGACAAGAGAAACCAAACCCCACAAGCCAACTACATCTTAACCTCAAAAACTTGAAGTCGAGATGGGATAATGTCACATCAAGGTAAGTAACATATCAACTTATGATATTTAAAGCTTTTATTGTGCTCTTATAGGCAGACCACATCTCTTGACATTCTTATCCTTTAAAAAAACACTTAACGGGCGATATATTGTTAAACTTATTTGAAAATGATTTTTAATTGGCCCATTTCGGATGCTTTGCAGCAGCCGAGTCTCCCCGTGACCACGTCTTATCAAGGCAGACCTAAGCACGTCCTCGTCTATAGACAGTATTACTTATCCTGCTCCAAGTATGTATCATATCTACACCATTTTCTTACAGAGCGTCAGACAAGAAAATCAAGCTGGAAATAGCTCTGAAGGAAGCTACCGAGTTCCACGAAGCATTACAAGCGTTTGTGGATTGGCTGACTTCAGCTGAGAAGACCTTGACTTCCGCTAAGCCGGTGTCCAGGGTTATGGAGACTCTACTCAGTAAGTCATGTGATTTCTTGTATATGCTTAATGTTATTTCCGCACTATGGTTCTTAGGGGTATAAATTACTGGAATTATTGTCCTAACATAATTTTGACCTCAACAGCTCAAGTCGAAGAACACAAAGCATTCCAAAAGGAAGTCTCTACCCACCGAGAGACTATGCTCCAACTAGACAAGAAGGGAACACACCTGAAGTACTTCAGTCAGAAGCAAGATGTTATCTTAATTAAGAATTTGTTGGTCTCCGTACAACATCGCTGGGAAAGAGTGGTCTCAAAGGCCGCTGAAAGAACAAGGGCGTTAGACCACGGTATCAAGGAAGCTAAGGAGTTTAATGATATGTGGTATGTTATGTGTGATCTTGATTCATCATTAATATAATTTTAACCTTAAGATTTTGCAATTGAGGTCCAATATCCTATATATATATATTAATAATTATAGGAACAACCTGATGAACTGGTTGAACGACACCGAGCAACAACTAGATCAGCTCAATGCGGAAGCCAATGTCAATGATCCAGAGAAGATCAAACAGAGGTAAATTATAAATATTGATTACCACACGAATAACTATTACTATTTATTATTAATACTCTAACTATTTACTACTTACTTTTTAATTAATATTATTTACTTAATTATAATTATATAATTTATAGAAGCTAAGTAAATTTCACTTATGTTATTTTATCGAAGAATGAACTGAGGCGTATAAAATGATTCATATTTGACTTTTCTAAATAACATATACATTTCGATAGGCTGACGAAACACCGTGAGTTCCAAAAGGCCCTAGCGTCCAAGCAGCCAGCTTATGACCTTACCAGCAAGACCGGAAAAAACCTGAAGGACAAAGCGCCTAAGACTGATGAACCCGTTCTAAAAGAAATGTTGAGCGAACTCAAGTCCAAGTGGACCACTGTTTGTTCGAAGGCTGTGGACAGGTAACATTTTATTATTTTCCACTCGGTTTTTATATAACCTACTAAAGTTCTATTAAACACCGCACACTACCGGATGTATTAGTCTTCTATGTTATCAGAAGGGAGTGGAATTTGAAGTGTTCTTTACCATGATACAGGCAACGGCGTCTCGAAGAAGCACTGCTGTACTCTGGTCAGTTCAAGGACGCGATGTCAGCGTTATTGGAATGGCTGAAGAAACAAGAGAAAGATTTGTCCTCAGATTCTCCCCTCCATGGAGACTTGGATACTGTTATGGCGCTGATTGAACAGCATAAGGTATGACTTCAGAACCAGAGTAATCAAAGCGGTTTTAGATGTATGGAGGGGCGGGATATAATTTTTCAATGATTATATTAATCTGATAAATGTAGTTTAAATATTGTTTATATTTTAAAGATTTAAAATGATTTTAGCAATTTGAGGAAGATCTTCACTCCCGCGAACAGCAAATGCAGTCCGTTATGAAGACCGGAAGGGACCTAGAAGCGACGGTAAATAAGTTCTATATTAGATAATAACCATATTACATACATATATCACTTTCCTTATTAACATTCTGTTCAAGGACCATCGCGTAATCATTTTGGCATTTATATAAACTTTGACATATAACATTTTTGACCTACCTAAAAAGCTATACAAAATTCGTGTTTTGTCTCAGCACCGTATTATTCTCCGCTAGATTCATGTAATTTCCCTGTATTAAGCTAGTATATGTAAACAGGTGCCCGCGGAAGACGCATTGAACATCAAGCAGCAATGCAGCGAATTGCAGCAAGCCTGGAATACTGTTTTGACGCTCAGTGAGAGGAAAGCTCATAAATTAGAGACTGCTCTTAAGGAGGTAAGAATTCATCTCATACCAATACCATATGTAAGAATTTAAGTTATTTAATAAGTGAAAACGCCCAAGCTTTACTTTACTTGGTAGTTTAGTAAACCTACGTTAAACTAAACGTTAAAAATAAACATTTTTCATTTGATGGCACTTTATGAATAAAAAATCGATAATAAATTGAAAAAAAACATGCGACCCGGGGCGGCCGTAAACCGACATCCCCAGCGTTCCGGGCTGTCGCTCTAACCAATCAAGCTACCAAGTCCTACACGTCCTCGTCGAATTTTTTCAACCGATTGATGCGTGCTCCTCTCAAAATAAACTTTTTTTGTTTGAATGTTTGAGAATACCATATGGCTTTTCAAGACACGACTATTTTTATGAACTAGAAATTCAGATATTTCTAACAAATTCACATTTTCAGGCGGAGCGTCTGCACAAATCCGTAAATATGCTCCTTGAATGGTTATCCGACGCCGAAACGAAACTTCGCTTCACCGGTCAACTACCGGAAGGCGAGCAAGAAACCCAACAACAGATCCGCGATCACGAGAAGTTCATTAAGGAGCTGAACGAAAAGAAGAGAGACAAGGATGACACGATATCGCTCGCTCACTCTATCCTCGGCAAGGCTCATCCAGATGCGGTGACCGTTATTAAGCATTGGATAACAATTATACAGAGCAGATGGGATGAGGTAAGAAATAATTAAAAAAGAAAATGTAATCTTCAACCTTGCAACGAATTAAAAATCAATGATTGCGAATCATTATTACATAGATTATGTATATCACCTGACTTTATCTTATGATAATTTATTTTTAATTAAAAACAAAACAGTCAGGGCAAACAGTCTTATGTAACAAACAATTATGTTCTTAAATAATCCGCGAAAACTAACAGTGTCTGTGCTACCGGTAATAGGGATATTTAGTAAAGTTTCTGCTGGACAGGTAAAGTATATCAGTGCTCTGAAATCTTAAAATGTATTTAGGGTGTATTTTGATTAAATAAATCTTAAATTAGAATCCCAGGGAATCAATTCATTGTTTCGGTCGGGCAGGCCACAGAAGCCTGATCAACAACTTACCTATAAATAAAACCGATCAGTGAAGCGTGAATTTCAAAACTATTTATACTCTAGGTATGGCAATGGGCAATGCAACGTGGTGGAAAACTGGAGACTCACATGCAAAGCTTAAAGGACCTCGACCTAGTATTAGAGGAATTACTGCAGTGGCTCAGTGGACTTGAAACTACCCTCATAAGTAAGTTTACATAGATACTACTAATAAAGAGAACTGGAATTTTAGTTAAATTGAGCGCATTTGTTTATATGTAGTTTATGAACTTAACTTAATGATAAGTTGTATTTAATAAATATTAATCTTAGAGTTTCAAAGTATATTTACAAAATTATTTATCTCGCCTAAAAATTATTTCTATATCTTGAACATAATGTCTCTCTGTTTTTTTTATATCGTCATAATAACGTTAATACTTTTAGCATTGGAAGCCGAACCTCTACCAGAATCTATCGAAGTATTAGAAGGACTTATTGAAGACCACAAAGATCTGATGGAACATACACAGAAACGACAGAACGAGGTGGACCGTGTCTGCAAGGCTTATCAGGTAAACAGACAAACTAACTATAACAGAAGTACACAAATAATGGGCAATATGTTGCTAGGATCACTTATGTTGTCAACCTTTTACTTTAGCTGTTTCTGATTTTTATGTATTTGTGTTTTACCCTAGGTCAAGAGTCAGAGTGTCGGCCGAGAGACTTCTACTCCTCGAAAAGTATCAGTTAAAAGTGCAACTAAAGGCACACCTGGGTATGTAACTAGTGTAACTGTTTATTTTGCTTCACTAATTGAACATATCTATTTGTTGTTAAATTATACCACTGTATTATGTTCAATTGTTTGTAAATTGAGTATTTATTTTTTCTGTGTTAATTTTGTGATTTTTGCTTCAACTGTATGATTTCATTTCACTTCCGCTCATTCTTTATCGCATTGTTTTGTCTCTTTCACTCGCTCGCGGCCATCTTGTGACGTCATTGCACGTGTGACCAATAGCCGCGGTTCTCAGCACGACCTCCATAGAGATAGATCTATGTCACCTGATTATTATGGCACTAGACGTTATAGGTGTGTATTGTTTGTTGTTGTTTTTTTTTGTTTTTCTTACGTTATAATATGATTTTGGTAAAAAGAAAACTTTATTACTGACATTTTTTTGGATGTTTTAAACAGTTTTTTAATTTAATTTTTTTTACACTCAATTAAAAATAGTAAAAATTACGTGCAAAATTATAACTAATAAATCTGTGGTGCGACGTTAAATTTGTATTAATGAATTGTTTTACTTACACAATTCCCCCGTACTAGCTTTGTCTCGCTCTAATCAATGTAAATGTGGCTTTTTGTCTCATCTATGTCACGCTTGGTCGGCGCAGGTCCCGGATTCATTCCAGAAGTAGGAGAGGAAGGTTTGATGTGAATTGTTATTAGGCTTGTGCTGCTATTTGATTTGGTTCTAAATAAATTACTGCAAAAACATCCTTGTGCTATTTAGGATGTGTTTAGTTTGGAAGTAATTTTTAGCTTCGATGTGTGTGGCAGCTTACAGTAGATAGTATTTTGCCTTATTTCAGAACGCAATATTTGTAACATTGTGTGAAGTAGTTTAGTGTGTTTAGTTTTATGTCATGATAAAAAAAAATCTTAGATTGAATAACTAAGCTATTCTAAACATCAAATTATTCCTCTGTTACTATATACGTAAAATTACTTTTTTCTAACCAGCCAGTACATCATTCTCACGTCAAAAGTCATAATCCGAGCATGAAAATTATCGTGGACACCCTACTTTTTCCCCTCAACTTAAATGTTACAATATGTAACATGAGATATATTAATTTTAAAGAATAAATGCATGTTTTCTGTTATGCACCATTTAATTGACACTTATTTACCGTAAGTGTAACGAATGGGTTATAGAGATCTTGTCTTCTCCTTTTAACACCGATATACAGCTTGGACTAACAAATCTGCGCGTACGTCTAACCGGTTTGTATGTATTCACCATATTTACTCTGCACGAATGTCTAACGATCCACGCGACTCACAAATGGTTCTGCAACAGAATTAACCACTTCCGAAACGAGCACTAACACTTGGCGGTAACGGGTTTGTATTTTCTGTGTGTTTTGATCCCATGTGTTGCTTTAGTCGGATGAGCCCTGGAAGAGATTCGCCCGACCGCATCCTGCCGCACTACGGACCGCGTTTCCCGCCTAAGGGAAGGTAAGGATTTACATTTCCCCACCATAAGTCTCCTAAGTATCCCGTTTGAGTCGATACTTTGCGCGGGTAGTTTCAAAAAACGCGATATATTCGTAAAAGTATCCGAATAGTCTATTTTAACGCGAAAGTATCGCGTTTTAATCCGGTAAATAGAAAAATATTTGTTAAATATCAAATATATTTATATGATACTAGCAGAGCCGGCTACGCGTTGCTGTGGCTGAAGTTATTGTTTGTAGCAGTGCCATCTATTGATTTCTTACTCAATCCATTGTAACTGTCAATTATTTATAGATAAATAAGTTGCAATAAAATAAAATTGCGACTATAATTAAAGATCTAAACTATCCTACGTCTCAAGTAGGACCAGACTGCTCACGGTGAGCCAATTTAATTTAAAATCGGTTTAGTAGTTTAGGAGTCCATAGCGGACAAACATCGTCGTTATATGTTAAGATAATGCATGTTTTTACGTTATGAAGTCGTATGTTATATTTTTATTTTCATTCCATGAATGTCTCATTAATTTTCACATCCATTGACTTGTGAAGAGGGGTTGAGTGGGCTCGTGATGGGGTGGTTTTTATTTTATTACCTTTGCAAGAGCTTTTGAGTTCGCTGCGTAGTTCTTAAATAATGTTTTTGCTTGGTTAGATGCATGAGGGTATATTGTAAATTATATTATTATGTAACAGGTACATTTTATGGCCTTGATTACATTCCATAATATAATATAATTATCGACAATTTTTACATTGCTGTTTAAAACAATTTTCGAAGTATATCTACATAAAATTCGTAGTTTAGAGCCAAATTTGATGTTTTACATTTTCATTGTAACTTTTAATTCTCACATCAAATATACCCCTTTTTTTAATAAAACCCCCCCTTTTCTGACAAAAGTGATTACAAAGCAAAGTTTCACTTTGAAACATTTATTTTGTTATATTTCTGGCTTCACCTCTATTTACTTAAATAGCACACAATATAATACTATACTAATATTTGGATCTGTTTAAATTTAGCGTTGGTGCTGAACCGGAGTTCAGATCAAGCCGGGTGAAGCAATTGTGGGACAAATGGAGGCACGTGTGGTTGTTGGCTTGGGAGCGACAGCGACGCCTACACGAACGTCTGATGCATCTGAAAGAACTGCAACGTGTATCCAACTTCAGCTGGGACGATTGGAGAAAGCGGGTAAGGCACCGAGATAGTTATAGAAAGTCTGAAAATGTTGTTTTATCAAGTAACAGGCATCTGCAAAATGTAATCCATATGAACGATTATAAAAATGATCAAAGCAATTACAAAACAATAATAGTATTAGACAATCGAATCGGTATTAAAGAATCTTCTAATCGTTTGATAAATAACGAAGTTATGTGCGGACAAACATAAAAAAGGTATTTACGAATTTAATTAAGAACCTATTGTTTTAAGTGACATTGAAGGACACATAAGACCTATTCACGTTTTTTATCTTAAACATATTTTTAGCAATAATAGATTACTGTATTGTACAAATAGCTTCTCTGTTATTCTGTCGTATTAACGACAAACTTTTTTTCAGTTCCTCAAATTCATGAACCACAAGAAATCTCGTCTGACAGACCTTTTCCGTAAGATGGACAAGGATAACAACGGGCTCATACCCAGGAATGAGTTCATTGACGGGATTATTAACACCAGTAAGTGTTTTTAGTAGTTAAACAACATTATTATCAGTTATCATTAAATGCGTTGTGATGATATTATATTAATTAGTATGTTGCCACCAATCTATACTTAATATTATAAATGCGAAAGTAATTCTGTCTGTCTGTCTGGCTTTAACTAAACTACTGAACTGATTCAAATGAAATTTGGTAAATAGATATTTCAGAGCCTGAGAAAGGACATAGGCTTTTTAATACCAAATAAGGGTTGAAAGAGGGGATGAAAGTTTGTATGGAAATTCGTGGTTTTGAAGCTAGAACAATTAAACTTTCTTCTTTGGCTTTTTGGGAATAGGAGTGGGAGTGAGTGTGAGGGTTAGAGTAGGAGTGATATGAGACGGAAGGAGTGACATCTCATATTATAATTCTGTGAGATATCAATACATTTTTTATCTTTTTGTAGAATTCGATACATCGCGTCTGGAGATGGGTGCTGTGGCTGATCTTTTCGATAGAAACGGCTCTGGGCTTATTGACTGGGAAGAGTTTATCGCTGCATTGAGACCAGATTGGGTAAGTTGAATATAAAATATTTCCAAACATCAGTTATTACAAATTATAAATATATTCTCCGAATATCCAAAGCCAAATTAGTCTACATCATTAGCGCATCATAGGCTGGGGTATTTTATTCTCCATCACTTGATGAGGTATTTCACGCCATACTTATCAGTTCAGTTCAGTATTTATTTTATCAGAATTTTAACTCTAATTTTGTTTTTTTATTCTCAAAATAAACATCTTTAGAAGAAATACATACCTACTTGTGTTTGGCTATTATCGCGATGTTTTTACCACACGAGGAATAATCTCAAACACCCCCTTTCCATATTAGGTGGAACGAAGAGGCCCTCCATCAGACGCAGATAAGATTCACGATGAAGTAAAACGACTGGTTATGCTCTGCACCTGCAGGCAGAAGTTCAGGGTATTCCAGGTTGGAGAAGGAAAGTATAGGGTAAGTCTTAAAAGTTACCAGTAACAAAAAATCGGCTACATTTGAGTCATCTTTCCTTAATGTAACCATAATATCGTATCCAAATAGTTTGGAGACTCACAAAAACTCCGTTTGGTCCGAATTCTTCGCTCCACCGTTATGGTTCGCGTGGGAGGAGGCTGGGTGGCTCTGGACGAGTTCTTAGTTAAGAACGACCCCTGCAGAGGTATGTTTTCTAAAATACGATATTCCTTTACAGGTGGCTGATAACTTTGCTTATTACAAAAAATAAGGTTTAAATGATGATACTAACTTTCTTTTTTAAATGAAGAACTTATTCTTATAATTGAAATACAAAATGTTTCGTTACGGACGAAATATGGATTGAATACCTACTGTGATAAGCAAGGACAAATTTTAATACTAAATAACTATAATCAAAGACAAGTTTACTACAAATATGATTTAGTCACTTGTGTTATATCAATGTATTTGTATTGTTTATTATACAAAAGGCACCCATTAAAATCACATTATACATTGGTCAAACACTAGTGGAAAAATCAAATTTTTAGGGTATCTCGATAAAGATTAATTGAACTAAAAGACCTATAAAAAATTTAGAATCTAGTCTTCAACATTAAATGATAAGAAATAAATGAGGAGTCAAATCGAAAACTCTTGATTATATGCAAGGCTGTTAAGACAGTGTAAAGGCAACTTTAATTTGGCTTCTCTATAATATTTTTGACTTTCTAATGTATGCGCAATTTAGCTCTGAGCAGCATTGAAAGTCAATTGGTGACTTTTAACTGAGGAAATTCAAAGTGTCAATCCTAACGCGTAATGTGTTTAACCCTTTAACTAAATGTTTTAATGTCCAATAACAGGTTTGACGGGCAATGACAGCTCTGTTTAACACTAAAGTTTTAAGCAGTATGTGTTTATCCAAAATAAGGCATTAGGGCGGAAGTAATACATATGATACATTTGAAACATTTATTTTCTAATCACATACAAAAAATACACTACAAGCTATGATACTGGCAACTAATGTTATTGTAAATGCAAGGACACAAAGTAAAATATCACAGAAGATGGCGAAAAATTAGTAATTCGACTTGGAAAGATCAAGGTTAATATACCTGAGAATAAAATACTTGTCGAGATTCAGTCAAAAACAGCTTAATATTACGTAATACCTGGTTTAGTTTACAAAGAACTTGTCTAGCAACTTAGTCATATTACAAAGCTTAAATATACTTAACCTAACAAAGTTATCTCTAGTTTCCGATACATAGAATTGTTAAGTTAAATATTTGAGTTGAATAATACTGATTTTAATCTCTACACTGCTATAATGAGATTCTTTAAGTACATTCAATTAATAAGTAAATATGACCTATGCTAATTTTTAACATGTTGGATAATTACATGAATTAAAACCCACTTCCCAATCTTAGTCCACAGCAGGTTTTGTTATAAATGAAGTGAGGGACGATATTTCACTTCTTTCAGCGGGCATTTTGTTAAATTCAATTTCTTCACTCAAATTCTGAGTGTCTGAAGTGTTTTCATTAACAGGCCATTTCTTGTGACTTGGAGCATATAACACCAACAAAGCAATTATGTAAATATTCCACATTCCATATACTCCAGTGAAAAATGCTGATGTATATTCCAGTTCAATATTATCATCCCATTTCCACTGTCCCTCAGCGACTTGACCGAGTATAAAGCCAATTACTGTCATTGCTGCACAAATAAGAGTGGCCAACATTAAGAAATTGAAGCGGTATATAATTCCTTCATAGTGCAAACGGCGAACGGAGCTCATAGCAGGCATTGACTGTCGTTTCTGTGATATATTCAAAAACACTTGCCATACCATATAACTCAAAAACATGAAGTACATTCCAGTAGATATGCCAGCGAGAATAATAAATGACAATGCCAAGTTTGTCCCAAGTTCTGTAACCCAGATTGAGTAGAATGGGTTTCTCAGTTGAATACCACGTTCGCACATGTCAAAAATAAATAATGACACGCAACCTAAGAGAACAGCACTTAAGTGGCGCCAATATTTCCGCAGTGTGCTCTTAGCTCTCACTTCTTGTATCAACATATGCTCTCCGGAAAATACAAGCCAGAATGAAAATAAACTTGCATAGAAGAATCCTTGACGTACATCACTCAAGAGTAACATAAAAGGTAGATCAAAGTGTAACGTCAAATACTCAATAGGCATATCTAATACACATAAAGCTATGCCCAAAGCAAATAACATCTCTTCCAGCAAAACAGGTTTCCGTTGCAATAGATGTATTCTATTCCAAAACCAAATCAACAACCCCACTATGCAGGGGAAAAAGGCAGTTTTTAATGACAACCATACTTGTGTAAAACCGCCATTTTGATTAATAACAGTTAGCCATATATCTTGTATGTGCCCAATGTGAGTGTTCATTTCTTTCGTGTCAACTGGAAGACGGATGTTCAGTAAATAATAGTCATGGTAGAGAGATCCAAGTTCAAAGAGAGGTACAGTAGTACAGTTGTATAAATAGCCCTCAGTTTTTACATCAATATCGCAGTCCAAGTTCCTTGTCTCCACTGACTGCTTGTAGAGCTTCCATGCATCTTCAGGATCTTCTTTGTTTCGATAAGCGAGACGAGCGTCAATCGTAACAATGCTGTGGCTTTTAACTTCCATCGCTGAATGGTACCGTATATCCATTAGTAACACGCCGATTAAGTTTTGCTGCCATCGAGAGTAATCGAAAAACTCGCCTTCTCGCGGTGTCGGCATTTGGAATGCGAAAACAATGTCGGCTTCGGACAAGTCATGACCAAGTTGAACGTTGGCGAGGTCAATACTCTCGCATTTACCATTACCGCGCACATAAAACCATTTCGTAGTGTCGTTTTTATCTTTTGAAGTATCTTTACACACGGTGCCCAATATTGTCTGAACGTTCGCAGGCACGGGCGCGACCAAGCCTCCTATCAAGAAACATATAGCTTGACAAGCCAGTAGAAACGATATTAATACGGCCAGCTTACGGCTGCTGAGATTTTCAAGCACTGTACCCGCCATTGTTTTAAATCTACATTTAATTCACAAAACACAGGTTTCCATAGCAAATTTAAGACAAAGCGACGCTGAACACACCAACCGATGTAGAGGAATGAATCATTATTGCGAATGACATGCGCTGTCAGACTTTGGTTGACAGTACTGCGCACTTGCGCAGAAGTGTGTTGCCAGTATCAAGCTTGTTGTAATACACACACGAATAACGATATAACGCGTCACATCACGTTATACGTTACATTCACTCTCGTAAATATAGGCATACTGATAATATGAAACGCACATTTTATTATTATTTTTGCAAACACAATCATCACACACAATTTAAAAAGCTAGTTTCAGTAAACTTGCTATTCAAAAAGCAGCGTAATTTGTTACGTATTTTATATTGCTACTAACTAACTAATTCGTATTTGCTTTGCCCATTCCACTCCTTTACTCCCCGTTTTAATATTATTATTTGATTGCGTTTATCCTTCTGAAACCTTGATGTGTAGTATCATTAGTGCTACCGCTACCTGATCCGAGTAAACCGGAACAGCATGAAGCTTGTTGCCCGCTCGGTAAGAAAATACGACTTGCTTTCGAATCATCTGAAGAAATAAGTTTAAATTTATTCTTTTATTAATGTTGTATTAAAAGTTGATTCAATGGCAAGTCATATTGGACTTTTGGAAATATTTTGGTGTTGCTTGAACATTTAGTTTGCTATCGATGTATATTTTTTATAATGCATTCTTTAATTATGTAATTTTATTATTTAGTAGTCGTATTGCTACGGTAACTACATAGTACGGTTTAAGATTTTTACGTAGTTACATATAAATTACAGGTTATCGATTTAAAATTGTATTCAATGAAATTAATAAACAAATAATATTGGCTTCGTAAAACTGTAATTATGCATGTTTTTTATATGTTTTGCTATTGATTAATAAATTCACGTAGACAATACTAATTTTATAATTACCAAAATCAAGAGCAAGATCGCTGTTAATAAGAAATAGTTTTTCATAAAACCGTTGAGTGGTTTTTACAATTTGTCATAGTTGAAAAATTTTTTTTCACCATTTACTTACTAAACGATCGTAAAATGTTAAATTTCATAGTGTATTCTTGCTCTCGATTGAAGTTGTATTTGGTGTGAGAACTAATAATTGTAATTTACTGTTCCTATTCCTAATTGCACAATTTTACAAAAATTTGATTTTTTTGATTTGTTTTTTTAATTTTAATTGCGTTTTTGCCTTGACATGATCTGATTTTGTTTGTTGTTTTTTTCCTCTTCCTCACAACCCATGCACGAATCCCCGTTAACACATTTTGGTGTTTTTATTTCGACCTCTCCTTTTACCGAACGGTTTCGTTTTGAACCTTCCCGATCCTGTCCGTTTATAAATCCTGCACTGGACGCCGCATGCAGCCAAAGGACGCACAAACATCGAACTGCGAGAGCAATTCATTCTGGCCGATGGAGTTTCGCAAAGCATGGCCGCGTTTAGACCGCGTACGCCACGCTCGAACACAAATACGCCTCCCTCTACTGGACCCATAACGAAGGTAAGTGGACCTGCTTCCAATGTTTATAATGTACATCTTTCTTCCTACAGGTTACTTAGTCATATTTTCGCACTTGTACTCCATATTCGCACAGTAGTAGTAGAGGGAGCAATCGGTTTGGGTTTCTCTTATTTTTGCTTTCCGTTGAATCTTGTACATGGATGGCGGTATCCATTTGCAAGATGCAATTGCGTCGTGGACCGCATGATAAGCGTAGCGTTGTCGTATCGCATTAGTGTGCTAAGCTAAGCATTGACCTGAACAAGCTCGTGTAGTGTTTGGTGTTGCTAGTCTTTTGCTCAAACCACTCGGATGGAGGTGGCACGTGACGCATATGGATGTATGGTAACGTATTCTGTTTGTCCTCTCCTCTAGATCCCTTCACCCGCTTTACACAAATATAAGCGTGTCCGTCGACTATTGTGTGGACTAATAGTAACTCGTAACTCGGTCTCGTTTACTCGCGTTTCGGCGAACGATTGGCACTATGAAAGTATCTAATTGCCCTCAAACGTTTTCGTTGTTAATGAAAGATCCGATTTTCAATTGATGCGTTTAGCTGAAGAGTTTATGGAGCAGTTGAGGCCAATATTTGAGGCTTTGAGACAGAGGGAAGAGCTCCCTTGCTCTTATCCGCTGCATGTGGGTTCGACGCACGGCACTAAGCAAGCTTTCATTTACGGCCACTCAAGATCTCAAGGCTCGACGACGCCGGGGCCCCACCACTATACCCATCACCATGGATACCAACCTTCTCCAGGATACCACTGGGTAATAAAAGGCTGTGTGAAACGTTTGGCGGTTGCACTCTATCGATCTAACTGCAGCTGATTTGTTTTTGTATTAATTAGTCACTTTGATCTGTGTTGTAGGTGACATAATAGATCTTCAACTCATTTAGTTCGGCATGCACATGACACATTTTTCTATTGATGTATCCTTGGGGACCATTTATAAAATACGTCACTCGTTAAGAGATGAGATTTCACTGAAGTCATATATATGTGTCTTGTGTGACAAGGGCGGGAAAAATGAAATATGGAAAACATTACAAAATACATAAACCATTTCTATTTACAAAAAACTACACATAAAAATGTTTAACGTCACCCTATGGTGGGAATCTCACGAGTGTGCTTAGAAATATAAGTAAGGGTATGGAAAAGAAGAATTCTTCTTCCGGTTGTGTGACGTAATTTTTGGATGGTCCCATGTTAAATTGTCATTCATCATCGATTACCATTAATTCATTATTTGTTCGATTTTCATGGACTAAATCGTTAATTTTTTGCTACATATATTAATTGATGTATAGGTAAGGGAACGAACGGCACGCTCGGTACCAATGTCTGCGGGTGGAGTAGCTGGTCGCGCCTCAAGGTCTTCTCTAAGTGCAGGAACTCCGGATTCACTTAGCGACAACGAAGCCGCTAGTGGTCTAGGACAAAGATATAGGAAACCCAGTGTACCAAGGTAGGTTTGAACTAATTCTTTCTCAAACTAAATTTCGTCGAGATACTTTGACTTATAATAGTTTCATTAACATTGTATTAATTAAAAATTTGTCCTCGGTAGATCTACGTTGACACCCGGAGGTTCGCGACCTGGTTCCAGACCTGGATCACGAACTGGTTCCAAGCCACCATCAAGACATGGATCCAATTTATCTTTAGACAGCACAGGTATACAAACTTTCTTATAATATCTAATAGTGTGCAGATAAAGTTTAGGTTATAATTATTAATAATAAAACAAAAATGACTGATGATAGTAGTGTCTTTAAAATTAATGTAAATATTTTTCTAGCGTATCAAATATTTTGTAAATTTATTTTACCCGTGCCAATAATGATGTCATAAATAGTGTTCTCATAATTAATCGTATTGTTAATACATTTTCAGACGACGTCTCCACACCGTCGCGGATCCCAATGAGGAAAGTGACAAACACAAGGGCGTCGTTGGCACGTGCTGCTGCTACGGCCAGCAAATTGGGGGTGACTACGCCCAACGGTGGGTCACGGCCAAGGACACCTACTGGCATATTAACGCCGGCTAGTGGAAGGTACGTCAGCAATTGTTTATGAATAACATTTTTAGCTTTCTAAAGAAATGGACATGGACACTAATGGGAGCTCGATTTCATTTGTTGGGAAATTACCCAAGCTCCAATTTCATTATGATTTTTGTTTTGGTCTTATTTGTAGTTCTAATATTGGTTTAACAGGAAAGAGGTTAAATCAAACAATAATTTAACAATTCTAATCTCGATGGTAGTAAAGCTATTAAAACTAATACATTCATTACTTTTAAATGTCGAATAAACATAACTTAATTGTAAATAGCAATTGTAGCATAATTAACCTGCTACTGAAGCTAATTTTTTTTCGTCTATAATTTTGTATTAAATCCATAAATTTTACGTTAACTTTTAACTGGGCCCGGGCAGGTATCATAGCGGAGCGATGTACCGCACTTCAAGTATACCTACATTGTCACCGGTTCCCGCCTTAGTGAGGTACAAATATTGAAAATGCTAGTGCAGTTTGTTTTGGGGTGGTGCTAGCTTATATCGCAATTCGATTTTATTCGATTTTCCAATTCTAAATTTGAAATTTAAAGCGAGAAAATTGTTCAACAGCATGCTTTTTACTTATGTAATAATTTCAAATTGCGATAGTGTTTTGTTTGAAAATTCAAGAAATTAGCACAGAAACGGGTTGTATGGGGATTGGCGTTTTTTTGTAGTGATTGAACTCGTGAAGGAAGCTCTCGTTTTCTGTATATCGCAATGTTTATTATGAACAGCTATTGAAAATGGTGATGGGGTACTGTCGTGAAAAATGAATGTTGGGCGTCGTGATCTAACTAATCCAAGCTTTTGTTACACTGTGAATTCACTAATTATATATATATATATATATATATATATATATATTGCGTATAAGATTTTAATGGTCTTTTATATTTTCCTTTCCACATGCATCGATTCTAAACACGGGATTTAACACAGCTCGACACATTCCCAGCCGTCCTCGATGGCTTCTGAACCTCCAAAATCCCTATCCCATCCCGCATTCCAATCCCAAGGTGTAACGAAAATTCCCATTTACGTCGGCAACCGATCGCAACGGTCGGTTTCCACTGAACGAAGACTGATATCTGGAAAGTCCAGAGAGGCATCACAGGATCCCAGCCCCATGTCCCACGATCCTAAATCCGACCAACGAAGTCCAGAAGACGACTCTTCCCTGTTCAGTATTTCGGGAATGACGAGCGACAATGAATATGAGAGTAATATAAGCGAGTCGAGCGGTGATGCATCGAAACCGACCCAACGCGACGCTAAAGGGTACAGGCTTATTCTGTTAGCTTTGTTTTGGCCCTGTTGTTTTGATTACCATACGTTCTTTTGATCATTCATTCCTTTGAGTATCATCATTCGTTCTTTTTATAAACTCACTTAAGAACATAGTCCCCCACTTTTCATATCCATTAAACATAGCTTGATCTCGTTATATCGCAGAAATAAAAGCCATTTAGCAAATACAATATTCATAATCCATATCACATCACGCTATCATAGTTTGGAGCATACTTTGACGAAGCTTTTTACTAACAGCATTTTTGGCTTGCACTACATTGAAATGAAAAAGCATTGTTCGTATTTTGGGTGTACGGTTTGCACCGGCGAGAGAAATATTTGTATATTTATCATGTTGTATGTGATAGCTTATTTCACTGCCTTATGTATTTTCCAGTTTTATTACTGCACATGCACTTTACAGTAAAGTAAGCACTTCCAAGCACAAACATTCTTAGTAGTTAATCGTTGAAAAAGTATTTTAGAAGAAGAAGCAATCGGGATTTGAATCCACGAACGTGTTCAGGTCACAATTATTCACGTAACTTTTAACATGTTCGCGTAAGAAAATCATTGTCTTTGTTAATAGAAACATGTGCAATAATAAAACAATGTCTTATAATCTATATCTAATCTGTCTGTCTCTGTGCTCGCTAACACCATCCACATAGGAGTGGGTCGTTCGTATCGACCGACGGAAATACACCTAGCAGGAGTCGTATACCGGTACCAAAGGAGCACAACACTAACACTAGTCACTCTAGGTAATCTATCGCTGTTTCTTCGTAGAACGTAGCTGTTTGTTTTTATGTAGCTGATGAGAATATTATTGTATTGGGGATTGATTCTGCACGACTTAGTTGCGTGCAACACCGTGCTGTTGGATTTTATCCGAGTGCAAAATATATTATCTAATCGGATGGTTTAATCAAATTTGTACCAACTGTGTGTTTGTTTATCAATCTAATTGATCTTTTTATGTTTAAACTAATCTAATTGGTCTTTTTATATATAGACCAATTTATTTGCTCTTTTGTAAGATTAGACCAATGTAATTGGTCTATTTTAAATTAGACCATGCAGTTATTTTGCATTGGATAAATTCTAACAACACACGTTTCGAACACTGTCTTAAATCTAATCTAATCGTTTAACAGACAAAGAACACCTTCGGGAAGCACAACACCAGTTAGGCCGGGCCAGCAGACAGCGACCTCAAGACTATTACGAAAGACTTCGGACGCGTCAGATAGTGGGACGCCAGCAACGCCCGTTACTCGGCGCACGTCCACCTCACGAACAACTGAAAAACGAGAACCATTCCGACTATAGACGATGCCAGATAACGTTACTAGTATAGCGTGATATGCGCCGTTTTGACATTTAAACACGCGATTTTAGTTGCGCGTTAACGATTTTATAGCTAAAATTATAATATATAACATGCCTAATATAGTCAAAGCGGTGTGTACGCTATTGTTATATTTATTACTAACCAATTAATTCGCAAATCGAGCCAAGCTTGTACGAATCTTGCGAATACGGCTTGTAGTATGTAATTTTATAGTTGTAGAAGTAAACACAAAGTCTGCACTTGTTGCCTTGTATTTTTTTCTACCGAGCAAATTCTATTCGACTTAGTTCTATAGACTCTTACCCGTCACTTCCGAAACTATGTTTTAATTGTGAATATGCCTTCTCTTATTTAGTGTCAATGTTGCCATAATTGTTAGTGTATGTTAAATACGTAAGTCTCGAAAGTGGGGACAACGAGTGTGATTAAATTTTTTTCTCTTTAGGGACCATTTGTTTTTGTCGTACATGTAATTTTCGATCACAGTTTTCTCGCTGTAGTGTCGCTGGTGTAGTTACGCCAGACTATGCCTTTCGCCAGACGGTGTCAAAACGCTTGTCGAAAATAATTGAAGGTGATAATAGGGATAATTTCATTGTAATGCACAATTATGTTTCTTAATTCGTGTAGGACACAACGGATGTGTATTCGTGATCTTTGATTACATTATGTATGTGATTTTATTTTATTTGCACAATATTTATTGTGGTTACTGTAAGTTTATCCAGTTGTAGGGGACGACTATCGCCAGAGTCGTTTCTGATTTTCTATAGCTCTGCTCAGTTTATTGAAATTCCATAGTGGACTTTATTTTGTAAGTATACTAAAGTACATTTTGTCAACACAAAAGACATTTACTTAATAAAGTTAAGAATACTTTTATATAAAAATGAACGCTTTAATGTAACCTTCCTTAAAAAGTTAACCTACACTCACATATACTTGTTAATTTTTATTATAACTCTGACTACTTTTAAGCATCTATTATTAGAAGTATAATTATTGTAAAACTATTAATCTGGTCATTTATTTAAATCATTGTTATCTTTGTTATTTATGTAAAGCAAATATAATTACTAAAGCTTGCAATATTTTTTGTAAATGATTCTGAAGAGCTACAGTTTAAAAAATCTCGTAATTGATTTCAAAATAAAATGTAACAATAACTTATGAAGTTTTATTACACACTTATGACCCTTCTTTACAACCTTTCTCTTAAAGCTCCCACCCGCATTGCGGCGGTACAAGCCGAGGCCGATGCCCCCCTCGGGGCCCCCTTGGTCTAGCCGCAAACACGGCGAGCGCTAGCGCGCTCTCCCAAACGCCGGTTAGTATTCAAGGCACCGTCAGGGCTCAATACGTAAAAATCAATTTTAAAAAAATTACATTTGTCAGTCTGTCAACAGTCGGACAGGCGACAAGTCAACAACAGTACTAACTTACGCCAATACATGGAGCTTATTGCTATATTTATGTAACAATGGGCCATCTTTTTGGAACGAATCCCTTAACTTTTATTGTTTTATATAAGAAATTTATAATTTAAATGTCAAAAGTTGCGGACCCGATATAAAAAAAAATATTCTATAGTCGACTAGGTATCAATGACACACGTTACGTTGATTAAAAATTAACAATGAAATTGAACAAAAGGACGATTCAGGTCCTGCAAAAAAATGTTTCAAGTCTTTCACAGCTAGAACAATTATTTAGTTAATATATGAATTACTTTTTTTTACAAATACAATTAACTTACTTGTCGTCACACAGTATGTGTAAATGAGTAAAACTCTGAATATAAACCGTAATGATACTACTTTAGATATACATTATCAGAATGTTAGGGGTCTTAGAACCAAGTTACTTGACGTTCACAAAAATGCTTTATTAAATGATTATGCAGTTATGATTCTAACAGAGACCTGGAAAACATTTTCGATGCCGAAAAATGAAGCTAAAAGAAGAGATGTTATTTTAGAATAAAAATGCGGTGTCCAAATTGCTATAAAAAATCCTTTAAATCTTGTACAAGGACTGAATTTAAAAGCACCGCAGAAGACTTATGGGTATGCATAGATCTCCCATCCAAACAAGGTTGGAATGCGCTAAATCTCTGTGCCCCTCCCGTTAATAGCACAGTATTGGAATCATTTTTAGTGCATCTGCTAGAGCCATTAGTGAATCAGAAAATATCTTTATTATTGGGGATTTTAACATGAGTCACATTTGCTGGACTAAAGAAGATTTCTCAACTTATTTAAATCCCAGTAACTATGATGATACGATAGCCGCTAAATTAGTAGATTTTATGTAATTCATTAAAAAATAAAAATAACAAAATATTCGACTTAGTTTTGTCCGGTATTGGTAACATCAAAGTTAGCGAGTGTTTAGATCATATTATCTCAGTTATTGACGGCCATCATACACCACTAAGTAAACTGTTAAACCTAGCATCAACAAAAAATTTAAAATTGATTAATACAGACAGCAAATCGTTACATAATTTTTACAAATCAAACTATGATGCCTTAAAGAAAGAACGTGTTCTCGTTGATGATATGGTTTTTGTTTTTTACTCCATTTTAAGGAAACTTATACAAGAATACGTTCCATTAAAGCACAAAAGATATAGAAAATATCCGGTTTGGTACACACGTTCTCATATCAGACTGCTAAATGAAAAATAGAAATATCAAAAGCGATATAGAATTTACAAAAATGAGATGGATAAAATTCAATACAATTTATTGAAGGGCCGATCTCAAGATATAATAAACAAATCGTTTAGCAACTATATCAGTATTACAGAACAATTTTATCTCTCTAAGAAATTTCTGACTTATATAAATCTAAGTGCAAAGATGATGGTCCTTTTCTGCTATAATGAATTTTAATGATGAAGTTGCAAATAATCTTTTTGCAGGTTATGATACGGCTTAACTCTTTTCAGATTATTTCTCGGTAGGTAATGCAACATTTAACAGAATAAGAGGTTACTTGACACTCACAAAGGTGCTGGAATAGATACGATTCCACCAATATTATAAAAATTGCGCACATGAACTATCCAATTCCTTAACTATGATATGCAATGCTTCTCCTGACTCTGAAACTTTTCCGAACGAATGAAAGCGTGGTGTAGTTATTCCTATATTTAAACAGGGCAGCAAAGCTCATATAAAAAACTATAGACCTATCACCATATTGTCAACCCCAGCAGAAATTTTCGAGACTTCAGGAGTCGGTAGCTCAATTGGTAAAGCAACAGCACGGAACGCTGACGATACCGGTTCAAGTCCTGCCCGATTCGAAAATTTTTTCAATTTATTTTCGATTTTTAAATTACACTATATAATTTATTATTTTTCACTAAACTCACCTCCGCCTACTTTCTAAAAATAAAATTTTCATACTTCAATGTTCAAAATCTGTAGCTAAAACCTTTCGTGTTTTTAAAATCATTATTATATTAATATTGTATGTCTGTTGTAAGTTTTTTTTTACTACATCCAAATCCGAGTGTGTACATTTCTTTTTAAATGTATACATTCTTTTAAATACCGTAATTTTTCTTATTACCATTGGTAAAAAAGCAGAATAAAAGTAACAAAAATAATTGTTACTAATAAATATTAAAAATTATCTTTTTACTATCACGCCTTGTCATTCCTCTCTTGAACACGTGACATTGGCAAAATCCATTAAGGATGGGAAAGCCATCAAATTAAGAAGAAGAAGATGTTAGTTGTCGCATAGTCAAATGTCAAAATACATTGAATCAAACATCTGTGAATCATTTGCTACTTTGTAATTCATGAACGTGTTGTGAATATTGATTCGTTAGTGGCAAAGATTGATAAAATTTATATTTTGTATAATAACTATGTATTTAAATTAAATTGAGCGCTATTTTATGATATAATATATCATGCCTTACTGTGATAAATTTGTGTGATCATGAATTATATAAAGAGGTTCTCATACAACTTTAAGTAGATAGTAAATGTTTTTGAATTATAAGCTGAACGAAGTAAATAATTAATATGTTTAATTACAAATATTTGTCCCGGGAACACCTGGAGGGATTTGACAATTATAAGGTAATTCCTATACGTATATTGCAATTTGTAGCAATAACTTAACCTCATTGACATCAAATCGATATGCGCATCATATAACATCATTAAATTAATTTTACGCTATTGCGTACATTTGTTTACCTCATACTGGTTTTATTTTTTTGAATACTACCGATCTCAAAAGACCGATATTCAGCTTACAATAGTAACTATGCTCTTTTTTTTCAAATAATGCTTAAAATTTAGAACGAATTAAACATGGAGTAGTAGGTACAAAATCAATAATTCCATACTATTAATTTTGCAGCTATACAAATAACTCTTTATTATACTTTGTTTTGAATGTAATATTGTAGATTTTAGTTTATAGTTTATTTATATAATTCACAAATTTTATGTACTTAGATATAACTTATTAGGTATGTTAATTATTTTTAATACTTCATTAGTTAAACAGAATTTAAAATGTATTTATTAAGTGGGAACTCTTGAAAAAGTTTTATCAAGTTTACTTTATTTAGACAAATCTTTTTTTTCTTAACTAAATATATTGTGATGGATTTTTACTAACAATTATTTATTTATAAATTTTCAGTATATGTCAAAAGATACCAGCCCACTAAGTGTATATGTTATGCACCCATTTTGGAACAAAGTTGTTGAGGTAAGTGCAGAAAGTAGTAAGTTTTCTTAACAAATATTAAGTCCAAACAATGAATTTGTTACCCAACATCATAGATTTTTTTCAGGAGCGATGGCCTCCATAAAATGTCTATTTTTATATAATGTACTGCGCATACTACAAAAATCACTTCAACAAGTTTCGTTAAAATGCATGCTATATTAGCCAAATTAAAAAGTAACACTCTGCATTTAAATAGCTGGAACAACTTGTATTATATAATTTGCTACAAAAGAATAGAAATGTATTAAGTTATACACTTAAGACTACAAAAAAGCAATAGGATTTTTAAATAAGAAAATCTTATGTTCTAAGGCACTGTGTGGCTTCTCAGAGGCCTCCAAAGATTATGAGTTGTTAACCAAGTTCTAATTTAGTTAATCGTAATATACTTAAAATATTTCTATAACTGTGCAAACAACTATTTCTCACTATTTGCACAACTGTTCAAAGTAAATTACATGTATTTGTTAGAAATTTAGTATCTATAAACGAAAAGATGACTGTTGTTTAAAGAATTCCTTATCACATCAGTCCGAATTCATAATCAATCTAAGTGCTAAAAGTCCAATTCTATTGTTATCAGGAAAAATCTAATTACGTTGTAGATATTTGCAAAGATAAGAAACATTAAACATAACTCTTAAGTTATTAATGATGAATAATAACGACAAAAACAACTTCCTATGGTAGTTTCTCGAGATCAATTAGTGTCAGGTGATATTTTTTACAATAATTGTATGATAGCTATATCAGCGACTTTGTCCGCGTGCAATAAATTAATATTTATTAATTTAAACTGCTATCCGTCATCCAGCTCAGACGAGCGACCCGCCCCCCCATATAGTGTCGCAGACATTTTTTTAGATCATTTAAAAAGGAAATCATTCTGAGATTAACGCATTCAAACATACAAACAAACTCTTCAGCTTTATATATTAGTAAAGATATAACATACTAATTATTACTTGTACTTCATGTGATAAAATTGTTGATTGTCTGCCCGTGTTGTAAATTTTTTCAATCTAAAATTAATTCTTAATTTCTTTGTTTTTACTTCCAGCTTGTACCGAGATGGGTAGCACCAAACGTTCTTACGTTTTCTGGTTTCCTGCTAACAGTGCTCGATTTCATTCTACTGTCATACTATGATTATGACTATACAGCAGCCAGTGCAGTTGCAAAAAATGAGACGGTTGTTCCACCGCTGAATGAACATGTTGAAGTTATACCACAATCCTTGTGGTATTTTCTATCTGTGTTCCTGTTTTTGGCTTATACCCTAGGTTTGTATTTTATATACACATTAATAATGAAAATTACTTATGTTAAACAATTTACACTGTTAGGCATTAGACCTATGAGAATATTTATCAATAATATAAATATGTATAAGACAGATCACATTTTTTTAAAGAGTTCTGTGGCATATAAGCTGAATATCTGATTATGGCTTCAGAAACTAAAGTAAAATGTTATTTAGTTTGCCATCTGCTAGTTTTAAAAATTCTATAAGTGCTAGTTACTCTGTGTAATAAAAATAACAGATGAAAATTTAATTCAGTTTTGGTTAATATTTTAACAATGAGCATAATGCTGTGGGTTTTCTAGATGGTATAGATGGTAAGCAAGCCCGTCGCACTCAAACATCTGGCCCTTTAGGAGAACTTTTTGACCATGGACTGGACTCCTACACAGTATTCTTCATACCCGCCTGCCTTTATTCTATATTTGGCCGCCTTGACTTCTCTATATCTCCTATAAGGTAGTTATTTATAAATTATCTCTACTAATATTATAAGGATAAAGAGTTTGATTTTTTTTATTTGAACGCCCTAATCTCAAAAACTACTGGGACAAATTGAAAATGTCTATTTGTATTTGGTAGAACATTTATCGAGAAAGGCTTTAGGCTATATAACATGACGCTGTTACCAATAAGGCGAAGAAACAGTGGGAAATGGAGAAAAAATTACTGGCACAGCTAGTCAAATATAAAACCTTTTAAAGCAAAATCCTTCTTGTTCTTTTATTTATCATATAGGTCTAAAAGTCTGAAATCATCTTGTTTCAAACCTAAATATTTGGCTATGAGCTTCAAATAACTTATATATGTTTGTATAATGAGTATATTCATTATTAAATCTTTATGTTTTAGAATGTATTATGTGATGTGGAATTTGCTCCTCAACTTTTATATAAGTCACTGGGAAAAATACAACACGGGTGTATTGTTTCTGCCATGGGGATACGATTTCAGTATGTGGGTAAGATTTCTTAATTATATTCTGAATATACTAATAAATAAATTGAGTTTCTAAGAAATATCTTAGTAAAATAAATTGAAAAAAATTTACGACTCGGGCAGGACTTGAACCGGCATCGTCAGCGTTCCGTGCTGTTGCTCTGCCCATTGAGCTACCGAGTCCTAAATTAAGAATGTTAGATTGAACTACCTAGTGAGACTATGAGTTATTGACATACTGTGTGGATGCAATACTTACAATTAGTCACCATTATGTTTTTCAATAAACTACAATCTATCGAGTTTTAAAATGTAAATTTATGAAATAGAACCTTATAGTCAAAGAAACGTCCATCGGCCAAAAGAAAGAACATTTAGAATATCTCCTTCTTTTTCCAAAATTTTTTTTGTTTTTGGGCACTGATAGAACGCTGGGTATTCAGTCTACACTATTTTCTAACGATTTTACTTAAGATTGATTCTGTAATTCTGAATAAGATAGTTTTCGGTTTCTACTCTAATTGATCATAAGATGCTTGCATGAAATAATGGAGTAATGTTATTACAGGCTTCGACATTTTTCTTCATGTGGACCGGGATGAAGGGAACTGCATATTACAAGAAGTACATATTTGGCAGCTACACCCTGGCCAATGCTTTTGAATGGGCCATTTACAGCACAGGAGTATTCACAAACTTACCAGTGGCCTTGTATAACATATACAAGTAAGTTCATTTTCTACATTGATATAATGTTAACAATATATGCTTCATATTACAAATTATTCAACCAATGGATTGAAAGAATTACAAGTAGTTGATACCCTCCCACAAACAAACAACTTATTGTGCTATTTTAATAGAGTTACCTTGTCTAATCTGTGCTATTCTATCCTTGTAAATCCTTTGTATTTTATTTTTCATTTTACTTAGCCTTGTGTATGGATGAATATGTAATCAATATTTCAACAGTGAAATCCTATTTTCTGGACTTTGGATAGACGCATTCCTTATCCATTTGCCTCATCGATATTTTTATAGCCAAATACACAGCAGACTTCTTTGCTTCCCTTCCTAACCGAAATTATTTTTTTTATGTTTTCTCCAGAATTCAAAGCCTTTCGTGTTTTATTTATTGCTAAATAAACATAGAAAAAGAAGAAATAAAATTAACTTATCATAAAATACAACATTAGTTTGTTATTAATCTTTCTTTTCTTTCAGATCCTATAAACTACGTACTGGCAAAATGCGTAGTCCCATAGAAGCAATGAGACCGCTTTGGTCCATACTCACCGTGTTCTTGGTATCATCCTTTTGGGTTCATAAGTCTTCAAGTCTAGTGGACGTGGAGCCCCGCGCCGTTTTCTTGTTGATTGGCACTTTGTTTAGTAATGTAGCAGTGAGTATATTTAAATATATTTAAATGCTAATAAATAATATTAGGCCGCTAGAGGCAGAGTGGCCTAACTGCGATTTTTGTCACTTTAGTTTTTAGTATTTATATTTTCATAGTCTAAAAATAATATAAGGAACACAGCGACCGAAAATATTTAAATAAAACACATCACGTAAAAACGCTAAATATTTAATTACGATCCGACATTTGTCGATGATGTAGAGACTTAAAACGGAGGGCGTCCCTTATATTGCTGCTATCTGCAGCGCTAGCGCCATCTGTTTCGTCGTATTGATATTAGTAGAAACTGGCTGAGTCTTTACATCTCACTCACCGTATCCTTATCCAAGGGCATGCCGTTTATAGATATTTAGTTTATATTATGGTTGGATCTCAGCTCCTTGATATTTTAAGACATAATTATTGGATTTTGATTTCAATTGCTTCGCGTACCATTCTTGTAAATAGTCTGCTATCTTGCATATACACTATATTTATACTGTTTTTTACTTAAACATTTCTAATTGCATACACTTCAAACAATACTTTTATAAATATGTTATAAAACAGTAAATGATCTATTCCAGTGTCGCCTGATAGTCAGTCAAATGAGTAACCAACGCTGTGAAGCTATCAATTGGTTACTTTGGCCCCTAACAGTATGCTCACTCGCTTCAATTATATACCCAGCATATGAACTAAAGATCTTCTACGCTCTCACCATCTTTGTTGTCGCTGCCCATGTGCATTACGGGGCTTGTGTGGTGAGTTTTACTAAAAATGATTGCTATTTAACCAAAAATTTTGCTAGAAAGACGTTGTGCTAGTTTGGTAACCGAAAGAAATTTAGTGTTGTGCACCAATTTCACGTTCCTAACAATATAATGTCAGGCCAGTGACTTAGTGGTTCATAAAAATAAATTTCAATTACCTATATTTTTTAAATTTTAAAAAAATTAAATTTAAATAAATTTTAAAACTTTTTATTAAACTTATAACGGTCATCGTAACATGCTCAAATCAAATATGGGAGTTGTTAAAATAATTTTAAAATTTTGTAACGTTAGTGTTTTATTTAAATTCGTATCTATTTGCGTAAACTGCAGACAGTATTAAATGTAACATTTTTTTCATAAATAAGGGCCAATTATATTGATGGATTTTATGGGAAATCCACTAAATTCGAAAAAGAGCCATTTAGCAAATTTTCGAGATAATATTATTTCTATATTCTATCTCCACACTGTCTAAAAAAGCTATTGTTTCCAGGTGGGGCAAATGTGTGATCACTTCAGGATAAGATGTTTCCACATCAAACAGCGTACAGATTGACTCTTAGATGACAATGTGTGCTAGATACATAACATGCCAATAGTCAGAATTGTTACATGGCTAATGATATCAAAATAAATCGCACGCGCAGGCGCAGTTAAAGCTTAACATCAAATAAAAGTTAACTCTAAGGTTTGGCTTAACGGATTTGTTGTTTTAAAACATTTCATCAATTACTGTGTCTTAAAATTGTTGCTATAAGAATAGGTTTTTAAGTTATATGTTTTTGACTTTCAGCTTTTACTGTACAATTCTGACAATTTCCTGTAATAATACCACCTTAGGCCATACTCCATCATGTATTTTGGACTTATTACCGTGCATAATCGCATAATCACACTGTTTACTCAAACCAGTTTTATTTTTTGTATATGCAGCTTGTGTTTTAGTCAAACTATTTTACCTTCTTAAAATTGGCAAGTTATGTTACATTTAAAGATCGTGTACGTCTCCAAATCAAGAAATAACAACAGTACACATCTTTAGTTCCAGGGCTTTTAGCATGCATTGTCTTATTTTAATTCCATATCTTAATTTAAATGGAAACCTAGTTTAATTTATAGTCGTTTATTTTAGGTTAAGTTTAACAAACGTCTGAAATTATCAGAAGCGGGATCAGTGTATTTTAATTCAGGTATTACAGTGAATAAAAGGTATTTTAAAAATATGTATTATGGGCAGGGCGTCAACGTCTTATCGCTTGTTCCAATTATAGTATTTTTGCAGAAACGAGTTAATACGTAATTGACTGTTTGATATATTAACAACAGTATGTTTGCCAAGGATCTTGAGTCCTCGTTCTTTGAAAAAATAGGAAAATGACCCGGGATGAACGCGTTGACTCTCTTAATAACTCATTTGAGTGAATTAAGTAAAGGTTTATCTTTAATCCTCATTTAGAATACTATTAAATTGAATGAATCACTAAATTCATCACATATTTTTTATAATTTTTACACCATTGTATTATATAAATGTTTAAGCTAGCTTAGAAACATTTAATACTCAATGATCATTATTTATTTTACATCATGTTCACTTTTACACTTGTCAATAAGTATTTTGTACAGACATCTCATTGAGAACTTTTCAAACCAATAAACAATTACTGGGCAATATATGTTAATTATTATTATTGATTACACAACATTCATTTTACATATTATTGTCCTTGTTTTATTTTATTGGGCCTGGTAAGATAGAATACAATGTTAAAGATGAAAAAAGACCTGCTTAATTAAAGGTTGGTAGTTTGTTTTTTCTATTATTTAAGTATATCTTACTTCATTTATGATACATAATCCTAATTACTAAACATTGAACTAAGGTTGTTTGTACTTTATACTAGTATTTCAATAAACAGCATATCATCACATTACATCTATATTATGTGTATGGTGAACCTTTGGTCTCTCTCCTCATAAATAAACATTGTTACAATCTAAGTAGAAAATCAGTTAAATCATGATGAGTACATTTGTTAACCAGTTCTTCCTAACATGCCTTCATAGTATAAATGTAGATGCAGTTAAATCAATTATAAATAATATCCAATAATTGTTCTATAGTGAAACTAATAAGAAGTGAGGTCTCTATTTATGAAGGAATAATGTAATGATTAATTAATTATTCTCACAGCATAAAATCAATTCTTAGCCTATTACCCAAAGCAGAATTTTAAAGTAGTATGTAGCTACTTATGGTTCTATAGTAGGCAAAAGCCACATCGAAATTATGGCTTTAAGACAATTGTGAACACGTGGCTTATAGCAATACACAGTGTATTTTTGTGAAAAAAAATAAAAGTTTATTAAATTGTTTTATATTTTATTTAACTAGACTTAGTTTTTTTCGATGGGATATTAAATTTGAAAATTCCATTATTTGAAATGGCAAAATATCATACACATTTCAAATGATGGAATTTTCAGTATATATCAAAAAATATTATATTATATCATAAACAAAATCTTTTTAACTCGTGCTTATTCTTCCGAGCTTTTCTGTCAATAGTTAAAAAGTAAAAACTCACCTATGATAATATGCAAAATATTTTACACTTTTATTAATTAAAATATACTTTCTTTAAATAATCCTCTTTTACTTTTTCTCTCTCTGACACTTCAGGTAGGTATGGAGCCAGACCTTTTGATCTTCTATCTTGAGAGACCTTTCCCTATAAAAAAGCATTTGTTTTATGTCAGCATAAGTTCTAAGTGATGATTTTATTATTGCCATAAAGATATTTACCCAAAACTTTTTACATGTGTTATAATTGTCAAAGTACTGTTCACACTTATCAGCGTTGTATCCGTTTCTGCTTAAGCAGTTATAAGACGCTTCTTGCTCCTAAAACGATCAAAATATATTAAAATTACGCAATTGATTATAATATGATAAAAACAAATTGTACATGTACCTTTAAACAGGGGTTATTGCGTTCCGCGTCTGGATTTTTCTGGGCCGGCATTATATCTGAAGTTTTATTTTTTTTATTTATGTTATGTTAGAGGTATTATATATTAACATGTCCTTTGTTATAATATATATAATTATATAAAAACTATGTTTTCGATTTTATCATTCATGACAGCTGACGAGCTGACAGTTCGTATCTCAGTTTTCATTATTTATTGACAGCAGACAGCGCACTATGTCAATAAAGAAAACTATTGAATGGTTGGAGATGATATTTCGATCATCATCATAATTGTTATCTTTGCTATGTTTTGCCCCTTATTTTATTTATAATTATACAGACATTTAACTGTTTTCTAAATCCTTTTTATATCCGCAATTCAATATAATACATATTTGCGTATAACGCAACGTATCTGGATGTGCGTGACAGCGCGTTAGTTGATGACATATTGTTGTTAATGACATTTCACATTACACACGAGATGTGAATTTTATCCAATCGAAACGGTTGTTTTTCCTGCAAGCGCAGTTTTCATTGGACACTTATTACTAATGCTTTAAATATTCTGTAATAGGAAGTTGACTTTTGTAAATTACAAAATTTACGACGCGAGTGTTAGTGGAACGTCCTCTTTTATTTGAATGTTTTTTTTAATTCTTTACAATGTTTATTCGGAAATAACGTGCCTAAATATTTTTATGTAGTTTTTATTGTGCATTAAATTAATAAACAATCGAAATGTCGAAGAATAAGATCGCCGCTCGAATCGACAGCCAAAGTGTTGAAGTTAAGACTAAGGTATTCAAATTTCTAATTTCTTACCATAAAATGCATTCTAGTGAGTGAAATTGTTTGTTTTTCCTACATTTTCAATGTTTGTTTATACAGCAAATAGATTTTGTTTAAACCAGAATATTATGGATGCTGATTGATTAGAAGTAGATTGTGGAATCCACAGGAAAGGTAGTAGTAGTAAGTTAATCTACAATCAAAATTGATCTACAATTAAAACAGTTGCTACTTTTTGCTCTACTCTTCTCTTAGCATCATCATTAACTAAAATCATAATTCTATAGTATTATAGGACCTTTCTTACAACAACATAAAAAATTTTGTTTGCCACATACAATAATATTTTCGTGCAATGTAATGTTTAACAAATTACTTTTACTCTTGTTACAGTTTGATGCAGAGTTCCGACGTTTCTCACTAAACAAATCTGAAAAACTAAAATATGACGACTTCAAAGCATTAATAGAGAAACTTTATAGACTACATGATGTAGCTTTTCTCATCAGTTACACAGATCCTCGGGATGGAGATCTCTTGCCCATCAATAATGATGATAACTTAGCTCGAGCTTTACTTACTGCTAGGCCTTTATTAAGAGTTATTATTCAAAGGAAAGGTAAGATTTACATACATTTTACATGGTGTTTCACAATAGGAAGTTTATTTAGTAGGTATTATTTATTATACTAAATTTGTCAGGGCACAGGTGCCTGCAAAAATATCATAAGTATTACCAGAAAGTAAATAAAATACTGTTTCCATATTGCGGGTATTAAGCAGACACATTTCAGTTCATTTATTTTATATACACAGAATTGAAATTGTTTGTTACTGTAGTATATGCACGTGGGTCTAAATCAATGCTTGGCAATATATTTTACCATTGAGCCACACGGGCAGTTGTACATACGTAGAAAATTTCAAGTATTAAAAAAAAAGTACATGATTGTAATAAGAAGGCAGAGTATTTTTACAATATTTTTTAATGTCAACGCTAAAAAAATTAAATAGAGATTCAGAATTGAATTTAAGTTTATCTCACCCAATGCATCAAAGAATGTGCAGAAGTGAGGCATGGTATGAGAATAGATAGTAATTAGTTTAATAATAACCACTAAGCATTACTTGCATACAAATGTGTTAACCCAGTTCTTTATTACATTATGTGTTGGTACTTAGTACTAGTAAGTAGTAGAAAAAGATTTACCACTTTCACAGCTTAAGGTTTGAATGTGCCTTTTAACTATGGACAAAATATAGTCATACAATTGTTATATGTTCATATGACCCAAACCATTGTTCCATTACATAGCAGTAATAACATTTTACTTTAAAAGAATTATAAATATGAATAAACACTTCTTAAACACTTGAACTAACATATATTAATAAAAGCTTGCTTATACCTTAAACTTTTATATGTATTGTAAAACTTACACATCTCATGAAAAGATATATTTGTACATTTGAATCCAAATTTTTAAAGTAACACTCATGGTATCTCAATTAATGTGCTTAAATTGGACTGAAATCAACGGCGCGTGACGTCGAGTATAACGACTCTTGAATTGAATGGCATTTTTAATCTCCATTAGCTGTGTCAGCGAATTCGTTCGCGTAGAATAGTCATTTTAGACATCCATTTTTTTTGCAAACCTCTCCATCTTATTAAACTTAAGCTGTTTACCACGACTTAATCTTAAAAGATAGACATACTGTCTTTACATTTTTTTAAGTCATTAGAAGGAATCATTCTTTCATACATAATTTTGGGTATTTTATACCGTTTATGCATCGGAAAGCCACGAAGATAGATATTTTTTCCCGTTTTCTCCACATTTCCCGCTGTTTGTTCGCTCCTATTACTCGCAGCGCAATGTTTAATAGCCTCGATATATTCTCTAACTAACACCAAAGAATATTTCAATTCGAACCAGTAGTTCCTGAGATTAGCGCGTTCAAACAAACAAACAAACTCATCAGCTTTATATATATTAGTATAGATTTTAATCTAGTTTGGTGTGCGAATTGTAGGGTCAAGTCGACAACTCAACCGATTTTGATAAGATTGGTTGGTGTGGTTTTTTGGTGGGCAAAAGCACTCAACGTGAGTAGTTTAAATACTGTCTATAGTTTATGCGATTAGTACACATTAAATAAAACACTTTAACGGTTTCAAACGCGATATATTAGTTAAACTTATTTGAAAATGATTTTTAACTTTGGCCCGACGTTTCGGGTGCTTTGCAGCAGCCGTGGTCACGGGGAGACTAAAGATGAAGGATGACGTCAAAGTAAAAAATTGCTACCCTAGCGCCATCTGTTCCGTCGAAGTTGGTATTTAGCGAAACTTACAGAATTGACTAACGGTGTCTTCGCGTTTGCCGGTATGCTGTTTATTGGGATCCAGAGTTTTTAATATGAGATTCCAGGTTCAAATCAGTAGCAATTTTTTACTTTGACGTCAGAGACATCCTCCATCTTTAGTCTCCCCGTGACCACGGCTGCTGCAAAGCATCCGAAACCTCGGGCCGGTTCATCGTTCATTAATTCATATGGTTGAATTACGGAAATAGGAAAACCTTAAATGCCCGTAAGTAAGGTAATAGTGAAGTCTCAATTGAACGCCGTATTTACGATTCAATCATTTACAAGCTCCCCCAAGTACGAGTTTCATAGTTATCGAAGGAGATCCATTTGGGAACAATGTCATAATGTATAACTCATCAGAATGTCCGGGAAATCTAAGATCTAAAGCTGAAGAGTTTGTTTCTTTGTTTGTATGTTTGAACGCGCTAATATCAGGAACTACTGGTTCGAATTATTTTTCTGTTGGTTAGAACATTTATCGAGGAAGGCTTATAGGCTATAAAACATCGCGCTGCAATTTATAGGATGTCAAAAATAACTATTCTACGTTGCTGACACAGCTAATATATATTTTTGAAGTATAGAGTACAATGTTTGTGTTCAAATGCTTTCGTTAACCATGAAACTCGTACTAAGCTCCACACAGGACGGTTCCCAATTAGCATAGAATGCGACACACCTATACCATTGTCGTATTGCGGACGAGTTGATATATCTTATCTTACACTGATATTCGCGTGTTTTCATGTCATTAATTCACAGTTTTTAACTTTATTCAAACGTAACAACACAATCACATACTGTCTGTAGTTTACGTCGAGTAGTACACATTTTAATAAAACACTTTAACGGTTTAAAACGCAGAATATATTCGTTAAACTTATTGTAAAAATTATTTTAACTACGGTCCGACGTTTTGGGTGTTTTGCAGCAGTCGAGGTCATTGGGAGACCCTATAAAAGTTTAAATAATATATTTCGCGTTTAAACAAGTAAAAGTAGGCATTTTTCGCGTCGTAATTTTTGTCGCAATTATTTCGAAAACAAGAAATTTATTTTCGCTTAAAAAGTCTATGACGGTCTATACACGAAATCACAACATCTGTATCGTATATAAGTATTTTCAAGACAAACCACTGTGTGCATATTGTTTAGATACTTATAAATATTTAATAAATAGAAAATCGCTTTGATGATAAAATAATTGACGTCTTATAGCTTGTCTGTGATATTATAAAAGTTATATCAATGTAAAGATTATTCTCCGCTCCAGATATATTATATGCTTCGGTGATAAGAATTCACGTGTGTACAGTCCGCGTAATCCTCAAAGGTGTTTGATTATCATCGCGTGCGCATCATATTGACGTCATCGTAATCATGATCCTCGTTTGGTTTGGCTGTATTCTTTAAACACTATCATTAATGCAATAGATTTGAATATTGCTTTGAAATCAAATATATAAATATAATTAATCTATAAAATGTTTTTTTGATTGGGTAACTTCTTTTTTCGCCTGTCACCTATCATCGCGAGTAGCATTGTGTGCCTTTTAAAAACCAAAATATTGTGGAAAAAGTGCATAAAACCACTTAAGTGATAATGAATTTTGTTGCTCGGAGGTTGGTCAATAGAAAGTAATATTATCAAAGTTTTTCGTAAGCCCTATAAAACGTAATTTGTGAAAGTTATTCTCATATTCAATGGCTAAATTTATATCTTAGCAATCCTTGCTGAGCACATGTTGAGTCTTGATGCCTTTTAGCACAAAATTAAAATTGTACTTTTTTTGTACTCTTTTAATTGTAAGGCGTCTTTTTATTCCTTATTTTAATTGTAAATTATGTACTTTGTGATAATAAACGGATTATTTATTTATTTCTTTTATAATTGTCAGGCATGTTACGATCTTAAGCAATATTTTTAAATCTCTACACGCAAAGGGTTAAAACTTGAAAAAATGTTACTAAGACAGTGCTACTTTTGTCTTTCGCTATTCCATTAGGCTGTAGCCTAGACATACTAGCAAATTGAGTTACATCTCAAGTACCTCCTCCTCCTCCTTTTCTCTTGGCGGTCAAAAGATTTTACAATTAATGGATAATTGTTGGCGGTATACAATAAAATAATAAAATACACATTTAAGTTGTCCAATAGAAGAGATATTTTTGTCCTTTTTGCTCGATATCAATCATCGTTGGAACAAGTATAACAGTTTAGTGCAGTATTGGCACCGTGACCTTAGACGTCTTTAAAGGGCTAAGGAAATGCAAGGGCAGCTTGCGGATATTCATATATAGAAAGATACGCAGTTTATAACGAAAAAAATGTTTTACGTGATTACTTTAATTGTTGCTTTACGGTAACAGACTTTTTTCCATATACGTACTAGGACCAGAAGCATAGCATACCATACATATCATGTCAGGTGAAATAAGCTAGGCATATAACATGTCAAGATGTGCTGTTGTGGATGTGGATTTCCGAATATCCAAAGTCAAGATATGGTCTTGACTTTGGATATTCGGAAATCCACTGAATTCGCACTGCGATTAAACTTCACGGCTTTTTCATCTGTGGCTCGTGGTTTGTAATCCGCTGGACAGGATTTTAGACATTCCTACCACCCATATTTCCAGACGAGGTCCAGGGTTAAAAAAAATGTTTAGAAACACGTTGGATCTGGTGGGGATCAAATCCATAACCCGTTGATTATTTACCATACATTGCTACTATTATACCATCGAGTTTCTCCAGGAATGATCATAAACTATCTTGGTCGGGACTGACGTAACGAAATTCACGGAATACCTCAACGGTCGACACAATATATCATATTTTATAGGCGCAAGTACAAAGGAGTCCAACGACTAACAAAGACACAACATTCAATGCAGGCAACCAGATATAGAAGGCGTTTGATTAGTCACTGTTATTGCCAGTACATTGAATTAATTGTCTCTAATAGTATTGCTACACTGTTGCGTCAACCACTTTTAGCTCAAATTCTTCAATTGACCTTTTTCGAAATACTGTCTATAGTTTACGCGAGTGGTACACATTTAAATAAAACACTTTAACGGTTTAAAACGCGATATATTAGTTTAACTTATTTGAAAATGATTTTTAACTTCGGCCCGACGTTACGGATGCTTTGCAGCAGCCGTGGTCACGGGTAGACGACGGAGAGAAATCCAATCCCTCCCCCTGGCATGGCAAACACATTTCTGTGTCTGATATACTGATCGTTCCTTCGCTGTCGTGTCATTGGGAATCGAACCCAGGACCTCCTACAGAGGCGGTATTATGTTTTAAATAAAACTTATTAATTATCAAATCTTAAATAGGCTTAAACGCGAAATATATTAAGCCAATGAGTTTCGACTATGGCTTTTAAAAATCGCTCTCAAAGACGGGTTCCAGTTTAATTTAATTACTCGAATATATGGCCGTGGTTTAACTCATTTAAAATAGTTTTTTATTTTATTGTAGATGCTTAATAAAACAACCAACCTAAAAAAATACATTTTATATCTAAGCTTGCTATGATATTTTTAAATATTTTATTTTATTTATTTTATTCATTCAAAATTAGCTACCTGTCCGTGTGTGTGTATGCGAATAGTGCATATTTAAATAAAACACTTTTTACCGTTTAAAATGCGAAATGTAAATATAACTATATTTACAAATTATTTTAACTACATCCTGACGTTTCGGATGCTTTGCAGTCCCCCTTGACCATGGCCGCTTACTACTGCTGTTGTTTTGTTAAAAATATATTTTTTTCAGGAGACAGCCTTGAAGAACTTAACGGCTATGGAACTATGCGACCTAGGAATATTATATCGTCTATACTGAGCGGAACGCCGGCTAAGAACAAGGGCCTCGCTATATCCAACCCACATGACTTTAGGATGGTGAGTGAGCTTAGAAGACATTATGCTATTGATAATTAAAAGTAAACGCATGAACCTTAATGCGCAAGTGTTAAGGTTGAAATTACATTGCGCGAGAGGTGCACGTATCTAGGTTGAAAATATTCGACGATGACGCGTAGGATGTGGGACACGGTAGCTCAATTGGTTCCGGCAAGAGGGCGGTTGTGGATGCCGTTTCAAGCCCTGCTCGTGTCGTAAAGTTTAGGCTACGAAGCTTTGCAGTAGTGGTCACGGGAGGATGTTTAAACCGTCAAAATTGATTCAATCACTATGATATCTAGCGAAAACTTTTGATAAAGTTTATATATATTTTTTTTAATTATAGGTGTCGGCGATAATAGATGTAGACATAGTACCAGAAACCTGCAGACGAGTGAAATTGTTAAAGCACGGGTCTGATAGGCCTTTAGGATTTTTTATAAGGTACCTTCTTTTTTATTTCGTTAAGAGGTAACTTAATGGCTAAGTGCGAGAGTCCTAGATTAATATCCCAAAGGAACAAACTAGATAGCTCCAGTTGGCAGTCACCTGCCATCTGGAGCTATCTAGTCTAAGACTGGTCTCTACCGTCCGTACCGGACTACTAGTAAAATTGTAGTAAAACAGCCACAAAAATGTGTTTGTTCCTCACACTATGTATAGGAGAGGAAATTTTTGGAGATGTCTACCAGCTTAACATTGACATTAGCGGCATTATTATATTATGCTGCTTTGCTGAATTGTGAAACGTAATGTTAGGTATTAAGTTCATAATATCATTAAAAGAAACCCTAATATATGTTATGTGTTAAGTCATATCTCGCCTACGAATATTTTCAGAGATGGAACCTCAGTCAGGGTGACCCCGAATGGCGTGGAGCGGTCACCTGGTATCTTCATATCACGACTGGTACCGGGTGGTCTGGCTGAATCGACTGGTTTGCTCGGGGTGAACGATGAAGTTCTAGAAGTCAACGGCATTGACGTCTCCAACAAGACATTGGACCAGGTATATAAAATAATCTTAATAATTCTTAAATTTTAATAAAATACTTTAACGGTTTAAAACGCGATGTGTATTAGGTAAACTTATTTGATTAATTATATTAACTACGGCCCGACGTATCTGATGCTTTGCAGTGGTCGTGGTCACGGAAATAGTCCCCTGTGACCGCGGCATGCGTCTTAAATCGTTTAATCGTTAACCGTGTTTTATTTTAATTTATAAGTCTTACTAACAAACTGTCCCGAAGTGCTAAATCATATTTTCTCTTTCCTACGATTTTATAATGACAAAAATCAATAACTTTTTGATATAGATGAGTTGTGATCAAGTTTTTTAAAGGCAAGATAATTCATTATCTAAAGTCAAAATGGGCCGACAGTGCATCTTGCGTAAATGTTATATGACTGGTTTATTTCGCCTCCCATCAAGTAAACCCATGTTTGTCTGTCCTCCACTATCATTAAAAAAATCACTAGGATCCGAACCTAAATCATATGTCGCTTATCACCTTACTAGGCACAAGTTGAAGTTTGTACAGTGATAGTCCATGATACTTATAGCTTTTGTGTGCGCCCGCGCAAAGCTCTAAAAACATACTAACACATACAAAAACGAATTAAGCAAAGACACAAACCTTTTATTGTAATGTTAATGTATTCCCTTCCAGGTAACAGACATGATGGTAGCAAACTCTTCAAACCTCATAATCACAGTGCGCCCCGCGAACCAACGAGCTGGATTACCAGTTGTGGAAGCGAGTCGCAATTCACAGCCTTCGAGCGAGCCGGACGAAGACAGGTAAAATTGTTGTATTTAATTGTGCCCGCAACTATGCTGAACTGGTCTGTTTTCCCCAATATTTTTCATCGTTATTATGCAAATAATGGAAGCGCTATCCTTATTGTAGTATACATATATAAGATATTGGTTGAGGATTAAAAAAAAAATTGGTTCTCTGAATATGAAGTTTATTCTTAACATGCTCTTACAATTTAAAACAACTATCATTTACAGTAATAAATTATAAGCTTACCGGAATAGTATAGAGAAACGAGTATAAATGTTTACTATTATTATATCCCCAATTATATCATTTTTTATAACACAATGTTTTATACAAATATCTTTACATCATCCGCCATTTTGCACTCACAGCTTGAAAACGCAAATTTGAGTTTAAGAATGTCAATATCATTCATTACACATATATAATTGGAAAACTGAAGCTCTCAATTAGTTTATATCGTGTTGAGGGTGTTTAATTAAATGAAACTTTGTATTTATCTGTTTAGAGAAGAATTTCCAAGCTTGTTCATAATGTATTAACTGATTATAATGCAAATGCCTTGGTCTAAAGGTGGAAATAAATATTTAAATAATCAACGGGTGCTTTCGATCCCCACCGGGTCAAAAATGTTTCTTGAAATCTTAATATTAAATGGATAGTAGGAATCTCCACAGTTCTGTTCGGCTTACGGACCAACGTCCTCAGGTGGAAGTCGTGAAGTTTAATCCCGTTTCGCTTTTAGTCTGTGGATTTCCAAATATCCAAATCCATATATCCTATATATATGACCTTCCATCGAGTAAATCTCATGATTCCTGTCCTGTTTGTCCCCAATCATAAAAAAATATTTTATAAATTTAATAATGAATGAAAAATATTTCTTTCAGATTTGACCAAGAAGACCAAGATGAGATAGTAGATCTTACAGCGGTGACTCTTCAAGACCAAGAACCCACTTACCAGCCGCTAACAAAGGACGATGGTCAGATATTGCATCTCTAGTACATACTGAAACGATATCAGATGTGTAAGCGACCTATTTAATGTCAGATGTGATTGGACAATATCCTCAAAGTTTTTGGTGCAAATAAGTATTATCTGTTTTGAGAGACTAGATTATACAACATTTCAGTCGAGTGTTATTTGTACTTAGCTCAGACCCGATTTTTTTCAGAAAAAAAATGATCTATGTCTTGCGGTGAAATTGGGTCTCGATAGAATTTTAGTCAAGTTTTCCAGTAGAAAATGCCAGAGCTTATTCGATTTGGTATTAAAAAAATATATGGTTTAAAAAATCTACCGTTTTGCAAAAAAAAAAAAGCCTGGTTTTTCCGTGTCGTATATTGTACAAACAGGCTAGAGCAGGTTAAAAAACAAACATTGATTGTGCTATGACTTTTGCGATGCTAATATTAGATCTTAATCGCGTGAAGACAATAATATTTTGATCATATCTGGTTTAAGTGGAACGAAATTGTCGTAAACACTTTGTCTAATATAGGATTATAAGTTTGATAGTTCACATTAAAGGAATAAAAAATAAACGTAAGACGTAATATACTTAGCGCATTTTTTTATATAAAAACATTCCAGTTACGTTTTAATATAGGACGACAACGCATTTTGAGATGTTACATGACTGGGATATTTCACCTTCCCACACTTGTCCGTTTTAGTCTATTATATCAAAAATGTGTTGAAACTTTTTGAATTTATTAAAAAAGATATACTATTGTCAAACTTTTCATCCTATACGAGACATTTAATACACACAGCCATTACGAAGCATTCCATTATTTGCATTATAGTTTTGCGAAGTATATCTGACTTATGTCTGTAGTCTGACAATAGTGTTAAAAGTAGACTATAATACGTACTTAATGTATTCAATGCGTGTATTTTTCTATCACGTCTAGTAGCCAAACAAGTAGAGAAGGCCTGGGTCTTCCCTTTTTAGGCAGAAAGGGCCCTGGGCTAGCCTCAATATATGTATTGGATATTGTATTTAATATTTATACAATAGAATCAGTTGCGATGCTCTAGAATAAGAATCCACTTCCTATGGAAGGTGCTAACGTTCATGTTTTCGAGTTTAAAAATTTAACAAATTAAGAATTTATGCATTAACGTTAATTTATTATAATCATCTTGTTAGACATCTTTAACTTTTAAGTATTCGGCAAAATATACTATTCGAGGACAATACACTGCAAACTCTATGTAGCGACACTTGCGAAGAGTTGTTTCTAGATTGGAGAGATAAATATTAGATACACCGTTTATTCTTCCTTTTTAGTTGGTTCTCGGTAGATATAGTCAACAATTCTTAACCGTTATTCACTATATTCTGTTATTTTCATTTGACGTCTTGTTCAACGACTTCTTTAATAAAGAAAGATTGATCTGGTGATTTATTGAACTCCATCCATCGATTCAGTTCATTGTTTCGTGTCTTAAAGTTTACATTGTTTTTTGTTATTACAAACATTCCATTTAAGGTGTTGTCGTGCCTTGAATCTCTTTTTACTGTTGCCAATCGATGTTATAGCTTCAAGTGTTTCGTCATTAAATACTATGTATAGTTTGTGGCCTGATAAAGTGCCTTGAGGAACCCCCTATAGCAATAATTTATATAAACGTTTTTACAAGTATATTATCACGGATAGCACATTATTTATATTGGTTTTTACAACTTAGATGTAAGCGGACCTGTGTTATCGAATCGTTAATTTACACATCGTAGTGAAGCGAGTTTTGTCTACGAACGATGCTTTTTTTAGTTACGCGTGTATATTATCAAATAGTTTAGTTGTTTAGATCAAAGCGTTTTAGATCGTAGAGCTAAGTTTATCGGTAAAGATACTCCTAAGAATGTAAGTGAGGGTAACATTCCACATATCGGGTAAGCGTTGTATGTTAAAAGTACTTACGTCAATTGAATAACAAGTAAAACATTCTAAATCACGGTTATTATTAAAATTAAATTTTATCTTACATATATCCATTATGTGGGGTATATTTTAGATAGATGTTGTTGTAAAAGCAAAATTTTCTAATCCTTTTGCTTTATAAAACTGCTTTCCTTATAAATAGGGGAATAGCAGTTTGTGTTTTGTCTCTGGGACTTACAAGTTCATGATCATTAAAAAGCAAAAATCTATTATAATGTTTTCTTTCTAAGGGCGATTCCGTTATTATTGTACGTATTATATAGTTTTTAAATGAAGTATTAGATATGCATTCCAAGCCCATTGTTTCATGTTCTTTTTAGTTGATACTCGAAAAGTCTTTTAATGTAAAGGTATTCTAAACAATATTGTTTTAATATTTATAAGTATTATTCGAAATCATGGTACTTAAAATAACTGAATTTAAAAGTGAGATGCGATTTCTGATTGGCTCAAAGTTTTGGTCAAATTGTACGCTAGAATGAATTATATTGTTTAGTAGATATATTTACACTTTAGTTAGTTTACACCTTGTGTTGTATGTAATTAAATATTATTCTTATTGAAATTATGTTTTCATCTGTAGTCGATAATCTAATAATATATGGTCATAAGTTTCTCCCCCCCGTGGGCCTCACCCCATGTCTGTTGTCCTGTCCGGTTGAAATAATTTATTGTTTCTCAGGAATTCGAACCCACGCTAGGAAACGCGTTCAACTATAGAATCACAGAGGTGATGAACCGTAACTCAAAATCAATTACATATTTCAAACGTCGTGACTATGATTGCTAAAAGATTCTAAAAAAGTTTATTTAATAAAAGTTGAAACTTCGACCCGTTTAAAAAAAAATTGTCAACTTCAATGTGACTTTTTTAACATTAAAAAAATAGAACTAGCTACATAGATACAAATACGATTTGTCTCCTTGTCTGCAAACGTGGCAGGACTTTTGACCTTTTCTATGATAAACAAATATTAATTATATTTATTATAATCTGTCGATTACGACATGTAATATTGAATTTATTCAAATATATTGTATAAAAAATACCTTTTCTCTTTTTTTTTTTTCATTTCGCCAACCAGGATTAGGATAATACATTATTGAACTCAAAAACCGCCTTCACAATCCACTTCAGCCAAATTTATTTTGAGATACTTATAAAATACGGTCGACAACATCGTGATGCTAACGAAACATCTAATTTACGCGCGAAAGTAAAATTTATATGCTAGATCTGTTTTACGTACACTTCACTTTAACAACAAGATGAAGCAAAATTGCTATACTTTATTAAAATACTCTCTATGTGCTTGAAATATGGACGACAGTGAAACAACTAAGTCGCAAACAAAACTTGGCCAAGGTCTGGGTCTCCAGAAATAAATATTACTCCAGAAACATTGGACGCTGCCAACTTTTACACCGTGTCGTCAGTTAATTCAAGAAAATCGTAGCAGATGGTCAACCCTGTTAAGTGTCAATGCGAAAAGTGTTTATGTGTGTATTCATATTGAAACACACTTAGATTAGCATCCAATTTAGAATAGTACTTAGTTCTGTCAAGCATATTAATTGCATCAATTTGTGGCAGCCAAAACAATGGGAGACGAGTACCACGTGGTGACAAGGATGGAAGACATAACGGAGCAGGATGACAGACATCTAGCAGGCGCACGAAAGGAAATTCGAAATGATTTACACGTTATTATCCCCGAAAACCCGTTTCCAGAAATAGAAGTAGATGCGTATCCACCTTTGAAGTTCTCCTGGGTTATCCCTAAAAAGCTCGCGGCTATGGCCTTCCCCAGGCATAAAGAAAATTTAAAATTCCTGGTGAACCAAGGTGTAACGCATCTGGTAACACTAACAGCGGGAAAGAAACCGCCCGTAGAGGATATACCAAGATTACGATGGACTGAGATACCCGTTGAGGAGTTCGATGTTCCCACGGTTGAACAGATCGCGAAATTTATAGATATTTGCAAGAAAGCTGATAAAAGTGGAGAGGTAAGTTGGTGAAGTTTAAAAATCGAAAATAAATTGAAAAAATGTTCGACTCAGACAGGACTTGAACCGGCATCGTCAGCGTTCCGTGCTGTTGCTCCACCAAGTGGTAGATATTGAGATTAATAGAGTAATTTATTTTCGATTTTCAAATTATATAGTGCCATCATGTGCATAACATGTGAAAAGTATGAAAGTTTTTTGGTGAAGTGTATTGGAATAATTCTTATAGCCAAACGAAAACAAATGGTCATTTCTAAAGAATAAATAAAAAACGCTATGCGGTTACCATGTCGTAAAGAAAAAAGGGCTAAATGGGTGCTATATTATAATTAGCTCTTGCAAAATTATATTAATTTTCTAGCGTTGATTATCTCTGTTTTTTGGCCATTAGGTGCTTGGAATTCACTGCCGTCAGGGTCGCAGCCGTTCTGGCGTGATGCTAGCGTGTTATCTAGTCCATTTCCATCGCTTCGACCCCGAACAGGCCCTCAACGTAATTCGTATGATCCGTCCAGGTAAGATTTTTTAAACTAATATTATTATTAAGGGCTTAACAAAACACGTGTTGCACATAAGCGTTGAAAGTGTTTATACAAAAATGAATAAGTTTTTTAATGTCAGGGTCATGTGACTTCGGTGATCAAGAAGAGGCGGTTGGCAGATATTACGAGCGTCTTACAGAAAATAATCCTTTAAAATTCGGAGTCAGCGGTGATGTCATGGAGGAATTTATCGAGGCAGCAAAAGAATACACGAAGAAGATGCTTTAGCTTTTTATCTATCCTAAGCAGTTTGTTATTCGAATCGTCAATACTGACTGAATTTAAAAAGAAGTTAGTGAATACGTATTCAGCTAGTTATATATAGTTTAAGATTTATAGTCTGTTAAGGTGATAAAATAAGACAACGGCGTAATTTCTAATTAATATTTTACACACTATGCACGCGTTGTTTATTTTGGCACACTACTCTTCCGGAAGCAATATCTTCACTTTCTATAATAAACTCTTTGATCACGACCATTATACTGCAAGGTCTATCTGTCATAATATTGAGTAAAAACCCAGTAATAAAAGTTAACATTCAATTTTAGCCTACAAGCAGTATGTTTATTATTTACATCTGTAAATTTTTTACACTGTGATGAAAATTTTTAATTTAAAATGATGTTGTGTACCTGATATTGTTCATTGAGGTATTAAATGACGTTGGTTTTATCTGTTATTTTTATTTTTGTAATCTATATGAGAGTATTATTATCTATAATAAATAATTACCGTTTATCCACTTCTTAATTTATAGTTGTCATTAATTTATAGCATTTAAGCATCCATCGATGATGTTCAAAGATGATGAATTCTATAAATAGTTATAAATTCTTCACCTGTCCCATTTAAATAGTCTATCTATGCATTTCGATCAATGTCGCGGCTAGTCGATCATTCCCGCCAATTTTGATGCCAAGAGTACCCAATGCTTTTGGCGCGAATCCAATCGTTGTCAAACTTTCGATACCAAATCTTAAAATAGGCTACCTATATTCTATGTTGAACAAACAATACACAAAGGTGTTTAAATGTGTCAACGGTGTAGAAAGTGATTTTATTTGTTTCTTCTCTTATTGTGCGCGTGAGTGATGGTCAGTTAGCGATTAAGGTAGTATATTTGATATAATTGTTTAAAACTATTGTCTGTTTCTGAGTATAGTATAACTAAATATGTCTAAGATTCCAACTCAAATACAGCTTAAGCAGAATTTCTTTAATGCAATAAGAATAATAAAAAGTTTTCTTCTTTTCACTCTAAATAAATTTCAAGCGATAGATGTTTATATTATTATGACAGAATAACAAATATTTTGCTGATGCGGTCTATGTTTTAAAGATTAAAATGACGACATTACGAGCGGGACCCAATGTGAAATTGGCGAAAATTTTCTATAAATATGCAGATAGAACTGAACAAGTTGAGCATTCCACTGAGGAAAAATCTGTTGAGAGAGTAGAGATAACGGATAAAGAAACTGTTCTAAAGGAAACCGTGAGCGATGTAAATGAAGCCTACCCTCCATACAACTTTTCATGGTTTATCGAAGGGAAGATTGCGGCTATGGGCTGGCCACAGACAGTCGCCAATCTGAATTATCTAGCCGATTTAGGAATAAACCATATAATAACGCTATCTCCTGAAAGAATTCCACCAATTTTACAATGTGACAGGAAAATGAAATGGACAGAGATAAGGATTAAAGAATTTGGGGCGCCATCTTTAAAACAGATAATAAAATTTATTGAGATCTGTAAAAGAGCGGAGATGATGGGTGAGGTATGTATGTAAATAATTTTTATGATTGAGGAGGACAGATAAGGAGGGTTCACTTGATGGTAGGTAAAATACCTCAGCCATATATCTTCTCGATAGATGGCACTGTCAACATATTTTGGCTTTAGATATTGACCACAGACTGAAACGTGATAAACTTCATGGCCTTTTCATCTCAGGACCGTGGTTCCTGACCCGTACAGAATTTTTCGTGATTCCACCATATATCGAAATTAGGACCAGCACTCTTGCTTATCTGATTTGGATACTTGCACATTTCGGACTGTTTTTAGGTGGTAGGCGTGCACTGCCGACATGGGCGTGGAAGGACAGGAACAATGCTGGCGTGTTACTTGGTTTTCTTCCAGAATATGGCACCGGAGCGTGCTGTTCTTACTACTAGACTGCGAAGACCAGGTTAGGCTAATTAGTTATTGAATTATATAGTATTTAACTGTTACTTTGGTAAAATAAGTACGTTAGTTAGTGTTATGGTAGCATTGTATGAGTAATAATCAAAGGGTCCAACCTTTTTTTAATTTTTCTGAATCAGGAACTATTTAAATGGGGGGGGGGAAATATCAAAATTCCAACAGGGTCACGAGCCAACGTCTACAGATGAAAAATGTCATTTCCATCATCCAGTCAAAAAGACGAAGTGTGTCTTGTTGGGATGTTATATGGCTGAGGTGTTTTACCTACCATCAAGTGACCCGCATGCTTGGCCGTCCTCCTCTATCATAAAAATGTTGAAAAAATTTATACCACGGTTAATTTATTTATAGTGTTATAGGTTTGTACGATCGCCGGTATGACGATTCTTTGTCAGTCAAAACATTTTATATTATCTATGTTGTTTCAGGATCATGCGAGACATACGAACAAGAGAAAATCGTTTGCTACTATAACGATTGTCTTCGTGGAACAATCACTAAGCCCGACTACCGTCTAGTCGATGATAAACTGTACTTTGATTACACTATGAAGTATACATATGATCGTGACTCTGAAGAAGAAATTATAGATGACGAAGAACAGGAAATAAAGGATTCTAAAACGTTGAAAGACAGAGTGGATGACGCCATCTTAAAAGCAAAGCCCAAAACTAATGCCATGGTTATAAATCATAAGATTTATTTTTGACTTAGAGAGATGTTAGTTGTTATTATTGCTTAAATAGGTAAAACAAATCAAACATATGTTTCTTTTATTTTATTTATGCATACAAACTTAAAACGTCTTAAAAGTTTTTATTAAACTTCCACTAGTGCATATGGAAATGAATATGAATAGATTTGTTGTTGAACAAATGAAGGAATTAAGTCCATGGTTTTTTTTAAGCCTACATTATTATAAACATATTAAGACCTGAACTATATTAGGTAAATAGTTTTTGTCTTAGACAGCTGTTTTCTTGCTTGAAAGTTAAAATTAATTAACTAATAAAATTCCCATTTTAACCTTTATGTATTTATAAATTTACCTCATTTCAACAATATACGCGCCGTTAAATTGTAGTTTCATATAAAACTCTTACGGCATAAATTATGAATTACAGATATATTTTTGTATGCAAATTTCAACAATCAATCAGTATGACAGCTTTTATAATCTTCGTATTTGACATCCCAGTAGACCTGGCTGTGCCCAAGGCCTTGGCACTACAGTGATGCTCTGAACTAATTCATCTCGTCTGACCTTAACTTGAATGCGTTGGCCAACTGAATGAGACACAATTTGATGTACTTGAGTGATATCTGTAAAGTTGTTGCTGTTGACCGAGCCAAATTGAATAATTTCATCGTTTTCACACAGCCCCTGAAATCAAAAAGATTAGAATTATAGAATTATTCCAATCAAGTGAAATTCTGCTTCACATTGTAGGGCGTGATATTTCTCTTACATTTAACTGATCAGTTTTATTTACAGAGAAGCAGTTGAACAGACTTCCATGCCCGACAACACAAAAATTGAATATAATTTCCCTGGGATTCAAACCCAGAACCTATTGCTTAAGCCATGCTATCAATTCTTGCTTTCAGGATGACTTTACAATAGACAATTGATTATTGTCAATTAGACAGCAAGCAAATAGCAAAACAAAGCTACATATTTCTTGTTAAAGTAAATAATGTTTTTCCAACCAGGGGGATACAGATAATCATTTACTTATTTGTATAAAAAACATTATTTTATTCCTTCCCCCCACTTCTGCATGAAATATCAGACTTTACTCCAACCGTAGTACTTACAGCAATGTCTGCTGGTGATCCCTCTTGTACAAATCCTACTATTGCAAAAGTTTTACAGGAGTCATCACCATTTCTGATTTCAGCTCCATTATTGAAACCATTTGTAAAACTGGGCATTGGAACACTTCTAGGCATTGAGCTTTCCCCATTTGTACCAACATAGTTTGAATGTACTTCATATAGACCTCGCTCGATTGCTTTCATGAGTTCTTTGTGGTCATTTTGTAGGCCTATATAGAACATAAAATGAGACTGAGATGACTGTTATTAAAGGTAAAAGACATACATGTTGTTTCTTTCTAAGCGTCAATTATACCTACAAATAATTCTGTGTCTCGCGTGCCTAACTTTGTAAACATCGATATCGTTCCGTGGGTATCCCTCAGAATCAACTAATTGGTCGTGCATTCCCACATTATTCGTTTCGAGAATTGCAGTTTGATCTCTGATTTCACTTTCAATGCGGTCCTTTTCTTGCATTAATTTTATGACGCGATCTCTAGCGGGTCCATCCATATTTAAGCCAACCATTTCCAAAAAACCACACACTTGTTACTAAATTTATAAATTGTTTAAATGTTTTGTTTATAACGTATGTGTTTGCAAATCACGATGACGATTTACACAGATGTAGGAGAATAGGGAATATGACATCACAGACGTATTTTTTACTTTCTAGTGTCATCTGTAACCATAGATAGTGGTGTTGCTATATATTATTAAGTAAATAAGAAAATTATAATAACTTATTGTAAAAATATATAACCTTACAATGTTAGCTCTTAATGTCTAATGATTTTTTACTATTTCGAAAGAAACCAAACATACAGTTTAATCCTTCGTTGTGTTTTAAAGTATTTTGTATTTTTGGTTTCGCATCCTGAATATTATCCACGAAAAGCCGCTTTCTCCACTTAACCAACATGGTGATGACCACAGTTTATATAATAACAATACCAGTCAATATATTTTACCCTCAAAATATCATTTTGAGTATATCATCAAGTATTCAAGAGGAAAGTTTCAATCTGTGTTGCTTAGATGTACAAAACTGAAGAGAGTTTTTTTTACCGACTTCATGCATATAATATAATAAGGTATGTTCTAATGTATTTAAGAAAATATTTATGAAATAATTTCTACTTAACTACATCAAAGTATGTTTTAGTTAGTGTAAAGTTTTTTTTTCTTGTTTACTGTTTGAATCCGGTTATTTTCATTTCAAGTGTTATTTCAATCGACCCAGTATTCAAATCGGAGATCTTTAGATTCATAGATGTAATATATTTTGTACACAATATTTTAAAATATCTATGGAATGATATCCCGTTTTGCACTTTAAAATGTGGTGTTTTAATTTTTATGTAGGCGAGTTTTTTTTGTAAGATACTCATTTAATTTGCCCAAAATTTATTACACGACTTTGAAGAATGACGATCCGATACTTGCGACTAATAGAAACTACTATATTATATTAAAAAATGGGAACCCAAGGTTATAAAATGTATATGTTTAATTTTGCAGGGAATTAGTATCTACTTACTGAGTTATGATTATTTTCGGTAGGTTACTTGATAACGAAAATCCCGTTGCTAAACGTTATCAGCATTTCGCTATCGATCGTATTTTTATTTGTTATTATAAATTTTATCAGCTTAAAGATAGTAGTGTTTTATTGATAGGAACTCAGCACTCCAATCGCTTGCTGCCATTCTCATAAAACATATTGTATCGAATATTACACTAGGTAATTGTGCTTCATCAAAAAAGATAAGATACATTTAATTCTGTTAGACAGTATTAAATTGTCTTCGATCGGCAAATGACTCTGTTGTTATGGACTGCAACATGAAAGCAAGACCAAAAAGATCTTCGTCGCGGGTTTCACAAGAGAGTGACGATTCCAGGCTACCCAGTCAATGTGACTCGAAATATTATCCTGGTAAAACTACCACAGATGGCACCGTATATAATCCACCAGCTTATGTAAAAGAAGTTGACCCACAAGGAGAGACGGAGGATGAACCACAAGGTGAAACAGAAGAGACTCTACAAGGTGAAACAGAAGAGATTCCAGATCGACGAATCATCTATCCTTGTTCCCTATGGATAAATACTAAGCCACTTAATCGACACGCAACAACATATGAATTGGAAAGATTTGAAAAGAACCTACTAATAATATTCAATCAAGAAGAGATTATAGGCTATGAGCCCCGATTAGGGACGGAAAAGGACGTGACTGTATTAATAGAGACGTTTTCGATGTTTGGTTTCGAGCCCGAAGTACATAAGGATTACACAAAAAAAAAATTGTTCGGGGTCTTGGATAGCTGTAAGTGTTTAAATCAACATTTGTAGACGAATCACTTACTCAGATTTTATTTACTACTTAGAGTTCCCCAGCCACGAAAAGCCGCCACAGTTTTCAAATGTAACGCGTGACGGCGCCACTAGCAAACCTATATTGCAAAAAAATAAATTTAAAGCACAGAAAACAAAACCACCATCAATTTTAGATTTTTCTGCCACAAAAGCATATGGGTTTACTAGAGTCTTTATTAAGGACATTTATCCTGCGACCATATAAATGTTATTCTTTATAACGACGAAAAAATGCTCTATATCTTGAGTTTAGCTTTAAAGAGATTATTGGTACATATATTACTTGCTTTAGTGTTGCATTTAACCTAAATACATTCTTAACGTAACAAATACATTCTTTAGATAACCCTATTTTAATATTTATTAAAATTGACATACATTGAGAGAGCTTTATAAAATTGAATATAATAAAAGAGTTTTATAATATTTTTGCATGTATGTGTAGTTATAGATAGACGCGAAGTTTTTTTTTTAAGATAGAGGAGGACAGACAGGCAGGGTTTACTTGATGGAAGGTAAAATATCCAAGCCATATATCCATTTCTCGGCTTTTTCATTTTTCTATTATGAAATAATTTTACAATAGTCATAAGCTTGAGTTTTTTTATACAGAGCGTATCGTGATTTTCAGTTAACCATCGTAATTTCTCTAATTATGGCTGTGTGGCGATCGTTGTTCTGACCCACGGGACGGTAGATGGCAGACTGAGGGCGAAGGATCAGCATTACACCGAGTTTGATATAATAGATGCGTTCAAAACTTACGACAAACCATCATTAGTTACCAAGCCTAAACTTTTGATTATCCAGGTAAATTTTTGTTTATAACATCTTAATTGTTTAGATTTTTATGTGACGTCTGTATTAACGGCTGTAGGATCTAAGAAGTCCGGGGTTCAATTCCCGAGGGAAGGACACAGAAGTTTATGTATATGGGACTGCAATGGAACAAATGTCACTATCATTTTATCATGATGAGTTCATATACCTTATCATCTTTAATAATTTTTATTTGTATTTCTATTTTTCTCCACAGCTACGTATTATTTTGTGTCTGTTATTTAAGATATCGTGTTAACAGTATTTAATTTTTACTTCATTATATTTTATACGTTATTTGATACATGCTTTAGTCCGTTCAACTGCTTTATCTGTACTAAGAGTAAATTATTTTTGTCGAAAAATACGCTAATCTATTTAAATAAAACACTTTAACGGTTTACAACGCGATATATTTGTTAAACTTATTTTACGACGTTTCGGATGCTTTGCAGCAGCCGTGGTCACGGGGAGAACCGTGGCCACGCCCGGGGCATATATTCATAATATATAGTATAAATTTAACTAATATATCGCGTTTTAAACCGTTAAAGTGTTTTATTTAAATGTATATTACTCGCGTAAACTATAGACAGTATTTTATGATTCAGACAGTATTGGCCAGAACTTAAATTATCTCAAGGGTTAAATGCAAAATGCACAATAATTTATTCCACACGCACAAAGCATACAAACACAAATCATTATTAATCAGATGTATGTGGAAAAAATAACTCAGCTTTTCGTTGTGCCTTGAATTAGGCACACTCCGCCATTTCTCAGTCTATTGGCTTACGTCGTGTATGTCTTTTTTTAATATTACAGGCCTGTAGGGGGAAGAAATCTGTTGTCGGTGTTAATGTTGGCAACGCCGCTGCTATACGAAAAGATGAAGTATACGACTTCGAACCGTACACGTTGCCCGTGGAGTCAGACATTTTTGTCTTGCATAGCTCCTATATGGGGAATCCTTCGCATAGGTGAGACAGTTCTATATATTATAAAGCTGAAGGTTTTTTTTTGTTTAAACGCACTAATTATAATAACAACTAGTTAGAATAGATTTTTTTGTTGCATAAACCATTTAGCGAGGTAGGCTATAAAACATTAAGTTGGGACCAATAGGAACGAAGAATTGGGGAAAATTAATGATTATTCGAGATGTTCCGTTGCGTGTGCTGCGAAAACAGTGTAAAAGAATGATTCCTCGTAAAATGCTCTAAAAAATTGCCGCGATTTTATGTCTGTTTTAAGCTATATGGCAAGAATTACATTTAGCGAGAGGTGCATGTATCAATAGTTTGGAAAAAATCGACGTTGCAGTGTAGGACTCGGTAGCTCAATTGGTAGAGCAACAGCACTGAACGCTGACGATGTCGGTTCAAGTCCTGCCCGGGTCATGAAATTTTGAAAATCGAAAATAAATTTAAAAATAATTGACTCGAGCAGGACATGAACCAGCTGTTGTTCTACCAATTGAGCTACCGAGTCCTACACCTCATCGTTGAATTTTTTCAACATCGTGTTACAAAGCATTTCTCGAGCAATGTTTTTTTTTTTCAATTTATGTTCGATGTTTAAATTATAAAGTGCCATCATGTGAAAAATTTTAAATTTCCATATGTTTTATCTCTATCATTCAAATTCTAAATTGTATTTACTCACAAATAACACCGTAAGATCAATAGCTCTCTTATTTTTCCAGGGACGAATTAAACGGATCGTGGCTAATACAGACGCTGTGCAAAAATATATGTAAGCTAGCACCGACCCATGACTTGGAGTATATAGCGACTGAGGTGAAGAGGGAAGTCGCAATCGACAGATACCACGAAGAATACAATACGGCGACAAAGGAAACGGAGACAAACAAACAGATACCCGTAGTTACTACGACCCTAATTCGAAAGCTCTATTTAAGGAAATTCGGCGATCCCCCAATTTCGTGTGCAGATAACGCAGATTGCAAAAGCGAAGTGCAATTAAACTCATCGACACCACTTATGATGGAGTTTGGGCCGTGTCTTTGCTTTTTAGATTATTATATTTACATTAGGAAATACTTACGGTAAGTAACTGTACATCGTCGTTTAATTTAAAAATCGAATTAAAATTGAAAAAAATTCCGACTCGGGCAGGACTTGAACCGGCATCGTCAGCGTTCCGCGCTGTTGCTATTCCAATTGAGCTACCGAGTCAACAGCACGGAACGCTGACGATGCCGGTTCAAGTCCTGCCCGAGTCGAATTTTTTTTCAATTTTAATTCGATTTTTAAATTATATAGTGTATATACCTTCATGTGCAATGTAAAAAACATGTAAAAAATAATAAAATTTTCAATCGACCTTTAAGTTTTGGTGGTAGGGACCTCAAAATCCAGGTCTCGAACCACAGATGAAAAAGTCGCCTTTAACTGCGTTTCGGTTTCAATCTGTGGATTATCGAAAATCCAAAATGAAAATATCGGCGCATCTTCCTCTGTTATAAAAAATGTCTGTTAGAGTATTCAGCCGAATATAAAAATTACAACGTGCGTGGAAAGTCCAAACTTTGGCTTTACTGAAAAGGATTTAACCTACGAGCATACTTGACGGTTTAAAACGCGAAATAAAAGTAAAACTTTAATTTAAAATTACTTTAACAACGGCCCGACGTTTCGGTTAGTTTGCAGCAGTCGTTGCGGAATAAATAAATTTAAATAAAAATAGGGCAAACAATTATTTCGCGTTTTTCAAAACATTAAAAGGTTTCTATTTATTTGTGTATACGTTTCTGAATATTTAAAAAATGGGTAGATTCAAATAAATGTTCAATGAGCTGTTCACAGCCTTTGTATTTACCGAAAGGCAATATCTAGATCTACCCAAGGTACTGCATTAAAAGATTATTATATGACTCAAATCACTGATATAGTGAATTTATCAAGGATGCGCCTGTCATATTACTCATCGTTGGCATATTTTAAAACGATAATGTTTTAAAATATGCATATTTGACCGTCTCTGCAGCCAAATGTTTAGACAGCTTGCGTTAAGCTCGAGAGAGAGGTCCTGGGTTCGAAACCCAGGGTAACAAAAATTGTTTCCGTCAGGGCACAGAAGTCTGATCAACTACTTGCCTGTTAAAGAACGGATTAGTGAAACGGACACAGAAATGTGGTCGCCCCATGCCCCACGAGGGGATACGGGATTTCACACACACACACACACACACAATATGATGAAGAATATATTGCTATATGAAGATATACCTACCTATATGAGTCGTGTCTTTGCGTGTCTTATTTACGCGAGTATTACACATATGAATGATCACTTTTAACGATTTAAAACGTGAAATATATTAATTACCTCATTTACAATTTATTTTAAATACGGCCCGACGTTTCGGATGCATCAGCCGTCGCGGGGGACAAATAATAAAATCCCAAGTTAACTAATAAATTTCGCCTTTTAAACCGTTAAAAGTTTTTTATTATATGGACTGTTTTAATTCGCTGTAAATATACGAACAAGATTTGCGAGATAGATCATCGAGTGGACTATTTGTTTACGCTTTCAGGAGCGCTTTGTTGCAGCCGAGACTTTTTTAGATTTCAATTGTAATTTTGTTTATTTATATCTTATTTATTTGTTTATTATTTTTTTGTGCATTAAGACGCCGGTAATGAAACCCGTGCTGAGAATTATTTATGCCACGAATCACTTCCTTACCAAATACAATAACACCTAATAAGTAACATAAATTAAATAATTTAGTCTCTAATTAACTAAGATGTTACGCTCTGTAACTGATATAAGAAATAGATGATTTTTGTGATGATTTTAGTGCTTGGGTGAGATTCATCTTTGAATACAATAGAAATACGTTTATTCAGGAACAACAAACAAACGACAAATAAATAAATGTAATTACAGTTAAAACTTATTCTACAAATAACAAATTTAATTAAACATTAAATAAATTCACCAATATAGTTGCCTCTGAAAAGGAAGCAACTCAGCTACGTTGGGACATTTAGTCCCGACACTGATATTCTGTGTTTTTCTGAAGCTAGTCGTATAGTGCCTCGTGATCTTTCATCCTCGTACAATACAGTATCTGTTGTTTTTTTAAAGAAAATTAATCAAATAATTAGCTTTTTGCTGTATCGTGTAGATGTAGAGCCTCATGTAGAGCCTCTTCAGTCAATAATGTTGCCTTGTACGAAAAGACAAGTAACCGATTGACAAAGGACGACTTTAATTTTGACTAACACCATCGCTCTTTTAAATAACGTGATAACCTTACCCCATATAACAACTCAACAAGATGCGCTGTCTAGCTATTTCGGCTTTGGATATTTGGAAATCCACAGACTGAAATCGCGATTAAATTTTCCGGTTATTTTATCTGTGAACGGTAGTTCGTGACCCGAACGGAATTTATATGTTCCTACGACCCATTTAATAAAAACAGAAAACAGAAAAATTATACAATGAAACATGTTGGTTCCGGTGAGGATCGAAGCCACGACCCTTTAATTATTGCTATCATTAGACCGACGAGTCATCACCGCATTTTTATAAATAACTTTAGATTTTGAAAGAATTCTTTCCGTACTATTGACGATATCATTACGGTTATTGTACTTTTTATATAGCACTGATTTTTTTACAGATTATATCTTGATGTTAACCCAGGCGACACCACAGCTCAATCTTTTTGGGACATAAGTGAAGCTTTCGAAGAGGACTTTGGATTTAACGCAGCGAAAGGAAAAATGACTAAAGCTATTGTTAACCACCTTTTTAATCACGCTAAGGATTTCGAATTTTATAAATATCTTTATTTTAAAAAATAGCATAAATAATAAAGTATTGTTTATATTATATTTTAAATTTTATTTTAGTGGAGACGAACGCCAACCAACCGGTCTTTAAATAGTTTAAGCGGAGTACACATTTAAATAAAACACTTTAACGGTTTAAAACGCGATATAATTTTTGTTAAAATTATTTTCAACTACTTTGCAGCAGCTATGGTCCTCCATCCTCCATCATTAGCCTCCCCGTGACCACGGCCTGCTGCAAAGCATCCAAACCCGTAGTTAAAAATAATTTTCAAAAAACGCGATATAATTTTTGTTAAAATTATTTACAACTACTTTGCAGCAGCCATGGTCCTCCATCCTCCATCATTAGCCTCCCCGTGACCACGGCTGCTGCAAAGCATCCGAAACCCGTAGTTAAAAATAATTTTCAAAAAACTTTAACTAAAATATATCGCGTTTTAAACCGTTAAAGTGATTTATTCAACCGATCTTTGTTTTTTTAAGAATCATGTGAGAAGTTTGTCTTCGCGGCTACGATTATAGAATGGTACTTAGACTAATATTTTAAAATATAAGTATAACGTATTTTGCTCTCATTGTCGAAGAAGCAGTCAAATATTTGTCTACAAATAAAAAATAAGAGTTTGTTGAAAAAATTGTTACACGATTAAATTAATTGCACTGCCGGTTGTAAGAAATAAGATTTATCTTATCACTAGTTGTGCTCGCGACTTCGTCCGCGTAAAATAGAAATATTTGGGCATCAAAATTTGTTTTTGCTAACCTTTTTAAATTTATTCGTTACTCACGACGTTTTCCCCAATGTCATATCGTTCTTTCAAGTTAATCATCAAAGATAGACATATATTGTCGGGCATATTTTTTAGTTAATTTAGAGAAATCATGTTTTCATACAAGCTTTTCGTGTATCTTGTACCGTGGTAGCCGAAAGTCTTTCTCGAAAATAACTTTAACCAACACAAACATATTTTTCAATTCGAACCAGTATTTCCTGAGATTACCGCATTTAAACGAACAAACCTTTCAGCCTTATACTATTCGTAGAGATAATTCTACTTACTTACTACTTCTTCTTCTTCTACTTCTTTATTCGAGGAAACAGATAAATAAAAAGTTTCTTTTAACTTACTAGCGTGTGTAAGAGAAATAACTGACGCATAATTTTGGCTGTAATTCATAATTTATATTTGAAATTAAAAATGTAATTTCATGAAAGAAAACCGTTTACACCTTGAACCAAATAGTGTATTAGAGGTGATTGCCAAAACATTAGCGTAGGAAATTCTATCCAAACGCGTGTCATGTATTTTAATACGTACGTTTATTATTGTATATTCTATTTCGACAATAACTAAAAGAGATGATTCTGATTATATCATTACTTTTAACGGGTTTAAAGCGAACTATATTAACTAACTTCTTTGTAGTTTAATTTACTATGGCCCAACGATTCGAGTACTCTGCTGCTGCCGTGGTCACAGGGGGTCTGAAGATGGAGGATTTTCCTAAAGAGTTGACTTTAAAATTGCGTCCTCCATCTTCAGTCCGGGAGCATCCGAAATGTCGAGCAACAGTTAATTTAAATTACATTAAAAATAAATTATTTCGCGTTATATATCAAATTAAAGTAAAAATGACTATTTTGCTATTTCGAGTATTTAAGTGCCTTTCGAAATTGTCTTAAAACTAGCAGAAGACAAACAACACAATATAATAGAAGTACCATTTAACACTTTATAAAGATGGTACGGACTTCCAATCGGAAGTCAACACATTTAGACACTACACTTTACGACATTTAAGTTGCATAGCCCGTTGAAAATTTAAAGTCTGAAATCTACTATATATATCCTATATAATAATTTCTCAAAAAGTTAAATTATATACGAATTGCTTCAACCTCACTAACGAGCAGGTCATGAATCGACGTAATTCATGACTCTGAATCTGAAAATAAGATAATTAGTCAGCCTCATTAATCCTGTATTGTCCTGAGTCAGCCTCCTTAGAAAATATCAAACCGCATTAATAGATGACTAGAAGTCTATTTACTCCGACTCCTTTTTGTAATAAACAGGTAAAACAGTTGAATTGTTTCGATCAGGCAGCACAGAAGTCTGATGAACTTGACTGTAAATAAAATTAATCAATGAATCGGATTCTCTAATGCGAAACCGGGGAAGAGTATTTTACTTCTTTTGTATTTAAACCTTTATTCATTTATTTATTTTGAATACTAGATTATTATATTACTATTAATAAGTTCTACCAATAATACGAAAATAAGCTGTGTCGTCGCAGAGTTTGTAGTCTGTGGATTTCTTTATATTTTTTTACTATTTATCAATTACAAAGGTCCAAGAGAACAATATAAATATATTGTGAAGTTAACCGAAATGCTAAGTGAATGGTATAATAATGGGAAAAATAGTTGTATATATTATTTATTATAAACGGTGTAATATGAAAAATATTTGTTTTTAAGCAAAATATCAAATTTAAAGTAAATACAATAATGGCTTCCAAGAACCTACCAACTAGCAAAGTTTTTGAGCAGAGTTAAAACAACCCATTTATTTTATCACCAATGCCATCTGACTTTCTTTTATGCGTCTCGTAAATTGAACTGTCACTGTTAAATTAAAGAGAAATTACTGTCGCGGATTTTATTTCACGTCTTCTCATATCGTTTTAACTATATTTCAGCCAATTGTAAGCGATATAGGATATAGCTTTATATCAATGAATCGAAGTTTATTTTTAGGGCAACACGTCGGTAGTTAACGATTCGTCCATATTTCAGTGTTCGATATTCGAAATATTTCCACTCATGTTTGACGTTCCATTGACGTATTGTGAGAACACGGTGTGGCCATAAACATTCCATAGATTATTATTCTTAAGAGGTTTGACAGATTTGTAAATAGTTATTTATATTATAGACAGAGATAGGGATAGATATTTCCTCTATCTCTGTCTTCACAGACAAGCATGGAGATCACTTTCTGGTATGTGAAAATACTTAGCTATATAACGTCTAAACAAGATTTGCTGATGACTTATTTTGGCTTTGGATATTCGAAAATCCACAGATTAAAACCGACGGTGACTAGACTAAACAGCTTTTTCATCTGTAGTCTGTGGTGCGTGACCCGGACGGAATTTTGATATTTCTACCACCATTAATATCCAATTTCCATCAAAGTCCAACGTGTTGGATCCGCTGATCGAAGCCGCAAGCTGTTGATTATTCGCCGTACATTGCTACCATTAAAATCGACGACCAGTCAAATTTACGAAAAAACTTTTTGGCGGAAACTAGAACAATATTTTCTAAATATAAAACTAATGACGCTCTTATTCGAGGGTTAGACTTGTTTAGACATTCATGGCTACATAAGAAATACTAGATTCGAGTTGCATACCCTCCATGTAACGTGTATCATATTCCATTTTCTAGGTTCTTATTTCTTTAGTTTATATACTTATCAATGGCTAAAGTAAATAAGCGATTTATAAGTATGAAAATCTTGTCATGCTTTTATATAAATACTTTAATTGCAAGACTAATCATCTCTAACTGTCACCAATTCGTGTTTATTAAATATCCCTTCCAAACGTCACTATAAATCAATTAAGGCGTCCAATAAATATTTAGCCCACCCACTTGCTGTTAATCGCCAGAAATATATATCAAAAGGATGACAAAATTAAAACATTAAAGAAGTAACTATTTAAAAAGCATACAACATCGAACAGAAAAATAAAGAATTTATTTATATTACGTTTTTTACATGAGCAGCCCATGCGCATCTAGAAAATCAGATTAGCGATTTAAAGAATAACATACTATCCTATAAAAACCATTTTGCGACCACTGAAAGCATCAATTTGAACTTCATATCCCAAATATGTTAAATAATTAATTAACAATATATTCATATTATATCGCCACATTATACCAGAGAGCAGTTGCGTTCATTTCATAGTTAAAACGTAAAACAATCGAAAATAACCACCACGATTATGTATTTTCGTGGAAACCATGTCTTTGGATAGACAAGAAGTAGTTCTAGACATATTTCTTATTTTTATTTAAAAAAAATACCTAACCTCATATAATATGCCGCCAAAAAAACACTTTCCAAGCTGACTCGCGGACTAGTTTTAAATATAATTGTGGTGTACTGTTTGAGAACTCCTATATAAGACTTAAATTCCATACATTGTTAATGCCTGTGAAATATTTCTTTCATACTCCAGCTGTGGGCACTCAGAAAATTGGCGCCGAAGATATTATGCATGTGATTTGTTCTGGCATGCGCATGATTACCGCTTGACCAAATGCACGCGTCGAACGACTCATCTGAAAGCTATTTATTAATAAAAACGCTTATTAGTTAACAGTTGCTATATTACATAATACGCTATTTATAACCGGCCATTTTTCTTACGCGTTGTTTAACGGTAGCAGTGTACGCTAATAATCAATAGGTCGTGGATCGTACGACCAGTTCTAAGATTTTTTGAAACATGTTCGTTAAAACCTATCAATGGGTGGTAGCAATATCGGAATTCCGTGCGGGTCACGAGCCACCGTCCATAGATAAAATAGAATGAAGTTGTGGCCCGATATGCGAATGCAAAATAGGCCGACAGTGCATCTTGGTTAGATGTTATACGGCTGGGGTATTTTACCTTTCATCAAGCGGACTCCATGTTTGTCTCTTCTGTCATTGAAAAAAGCGGTTTAACGTTTGCTGTTGAAGATATGAAAACAACAATCTAACCTTCAACACTTCACTAGGTAGGGGGTTACCTGATCCTTAACTCTTGGTATTAACCCTGTTGAATAGTATGTAATGTAACGATAGCAAATATCGGTTTTATCTACGAAACTTTAAGTAGTTATTAAATTTTGGTACGTGATTTTTTAAATAAATCATTATCCATCAAGATTTACATCTTGGAATCGTACGTACATAAATAACTAATGCATTGTCTATAAT